CATAAATCACAGACTATTCAAACTGACAGTGATGTTCTTTAGGCTGACCAACTTGTCTGTAACCTTCTAATGAATGATAAACAACATCTTTAAGGATCTCATCACTACAGAAAAAGTCACAATCTACTTAGACAACATTTTGATCATGTCTAAGGATCAGATGGAATATCAGAAGGTGGTATAGCAGGTATTTGAACTCATAAGAAAGCACAAACTCTTCCTCAAAGCAGAGAAGTGTAAATTTGAGATATTGAAAACAGAGTACTTAAAAGTTATAATCAGCAAAGGAAGCATTCAGATGGATCTGATTAAAGTAGCTAAAGTAACCAAGTGGCCTATCTCAGAGAAGAAAAAAAAACTGCAATCATTTCTAGGGTTCACTAATTTCTACCAATGATTCATTCAGGACTACAGCAAGATTGTGTGCCCAATGATCTAGTTGACCAGTAATATGCCCTGAAACTGGAGATTCTCTCAATAAATGGCATTCAACAACCTGAAATGGTGACTCACAAAAGATGTTATCCTTGCAATCCCAACCTAAAAAGGAAGATTCAGAGTCAAGGCCAATTTAAGTGAAGAGGTGATCAGTGCAGTACTCTTCCAGAAACAGGATAAAAAGTGGCAATTCATGGCCTTTCTGTCAAAGATGCTTATTATCACTAAGCAAAACTATGAGATCTACAACAAGGAACTCCTTGCTATAATACTTATCCTGGAAGAATAGCAGTATTATCTGATTGGAGTGGCTCAAATCTTTAAAGTATGGACAAACTATCAAAACCTCTAATACTTTCATATGTTTCAGAAGCTTAACCAACAATAAGTCTGCTAGGTGACAGAACTTTCCCAATATGAATACATGCTTCATCACAAGGCAGATACCACTAATAAGAAAGCAGACCTACTTAGCTGGCAAGCAAACTATGACCAAGATGGCAATAACAATAAAGGTGTCATATTACTAAAACTCAAGTATTTTTGGGCAATGATAATGCTGATAAAAGAGGAGATTCACAAAAAGATTAAAAGTGCAATATGTGACAATAATAAATAAGACCAGCATATGGCTCCATCACTAAATCACAAGTGCAAGATGACAAATGAAAGAGGAATGATCTGCTACAATGAGCAGATCTACATCTCAAGGGACCAACAACTCTATAGCCAAATTATCATCACATGTCATGATCACACAATAGCAGGTTATCCAGAGATTTCCAAAACTAAAGAATTAGTATTGTGAGAATACTAATGGCTGAAGATAGAATGAGACATTGAACAGTATGTAAAGAGATGCAAAACTTGTCAATAAAGCAAGTCATCAATACAACTACAAGCAGCACCACTCCACCCAAATGAGATCTCTCAATCATCTTGGACTCATATTTTGGTGAATATGATTATCAGACTACCTGACTGCAATAGCTATAATGCAATCCTTATCATCATCAACCAGTTCTCAAAAGTGATCATTCTGGTTGCATGTTTAATAAAACTAACATCAGAAGGATGAGCCAAGATTTTATGCAATGAGGTCTATGTCAAGCATGGTATGCCTCAAATCATCATCTCAGACTAAGGCCCACAGTTCATCTCCAAATTCCTCAATGATCTGTACAGACTTCTTAACATCCAATGAAATGCTTCAACCACCTATCACCTACAGACAGATAGGCAAACCAAATGCATCAATCAAGAAATTGAAAAATATCTCTGCCTCTTCATTAATTACTGGCAAGACAACTAGATAGAATAGCTCACTCTTGCAGCATTCCAACATAATAACTGCATCCACTCAGCCACTGGCAAAACTCTATTCTTTGTTAACTATAAACAACACTCAAATGTATCTCAAACTGAATATACCCACACTATGACTCCTGCATTCTCCAATTTTGCTAGCACAATATCTGCAATCTATAATGAAATCTGTATTGCTCTCAAAAATGTGGCCACCTCTATAAAGAAGCAGTACAATAAACACTAGCACTCTGAACACTCCTATTATATCAATGACAAAGTCTGGCTGAACACAACCAATCTTCATCTTCCTTGTCTGAAACAGAAATTGATGGACAAGCACATAGGATCTTTTTCAATTCTAGCAAAGATCAGTGTCTCTGCTTATAAACTGCATCTCTCCTCCAATTGAAAAATACATAATATTTTTAATGAATCTCTTCTTACTCCATTTATCACACTCATATTTCTTAATCAAGAACAGCCTTCTCCTCTGCCTTCTAACCTTATTGACAATAAAGAACATTACAAAATTGACCAAGTACTAAACTATAAATTGTGCAAGGTCAAAGCTAGAGGAAGAGGAACTATGATGATAGTAGATTATTTGGTTAGCTAGAAGGACTATGGCCTAAAATCTAATCAATGGGTAAATAAAAAACATATGAATGCTAATGACACTATACATGAGTATGAATTATCTCTTAATTAAGCTATCAGAACAATAGTCTTAAGGAGGGGGTAATGTTATGATTTTTCTATTTTTATTTGCATTTAACCTCTGTCTATACTTAGTCAAGATGCTAGATCAGCACTTAGGACCATGGAAGAGGCTTAGTCATTACAATAAGCTGATTTGTCATTGTTCTCCAACATAGTGGCAAGCTCTCAATGATGCACAGTGATTTTTTGTAGATAGTAATAATGCTCAAGGACAAAAGGCATAAAGACTTAGACAAGTACAATAGGCAGTAGTATAATTATCTCAACAAATGAACAGTATATAAGTAGGATGGCTCTTGCTGGTATAACCTCAGCTTCAAGCTAAAGTTTATTCATATCACTTCACTCTTGAGCTTTCTTGCAAAGGTCTTGAAGCATAATAGTCAACAAAACACAACAAGTAAACTCTAGTATGATTGTATAAATATGATACAGCACTAGTTTATCATGTGTTTTGATCACATGTGACTTGAATCTAACAAGTTTAGATCTATGAGATTCACTGTGGATGTCTTTTATGTTGGATTGTTGTCTTTACTATTTTTTATTATGCCAGCATAAGTTTGAGTCATATTTGAGACACTTTGCAGTTTTAGGATGGTTAATATGTTTGCCAGTAGCTGATGGCTTAGGTCTCTAATCTTTATTATAGTCACTATTTTTATGTCTGCCATAGCTTGTTTGAATTATTCTGCAATTGTCTATATAATTTCTAAGACCTTCACTATTTTCTCTGGTTGGTAGTTCAGTTTTTCTATCAATATATTCAGTAGTTGTCAGGTTTTCTTGATAGTTGTCCTTGGGATATCCTAATAGTCAGTCTTAAATCAGTGTGCACATCTCAGAGCTTTATCTATAGCTCTCTCAAGTGCTTGTGGTCTCTCTAGACTCTGTATACTATTCCAGCTGTTATTGGAAATATACTATATTATATTATCATGATTATTAAGCATTTAATTATTGTTGTCATCCTCCAGATCTTTGTCAATTGATTCTATTGTTATAGTCTCCACAGATTCTGGACAGTCTGAGAACACATCCTTGGTTGTGTCTAATCTTAATAGAGTCATATGATGTTGGTTTTTGATGCAGCCACAGATATTCAGATTTAAAGTGGAAGACCTATTTTTATCATCAATAGTGCTTCTTCCTTGATGTGCAGTGTTAGATGGGTATAGAGCAGTACTATATTAGTGCTTAATTCCAAAATCCTTCTGGATTCCATGAGCTCTCTGTTTAGTTGTTGAATTGAGACTGCTCTTTTTTTTGATTGAGCTGAGAAATTTTAAGATAGAAGGAATTAGTTTTCTGTGTTTTTGAAAGGTTTTAGACAGTGATTGAGGATTGCTTTCACTCATTTTATGCCTACTTCAATCTCTATGTTTATCTATCTAGCTTTTATCCACCTCTAATGGCATGAAAAATCCAGTGGTGATGGCAATCAAGAGTAAAGAAGAACTTTTAATCTGAAAGCCACTGACAGCATTTTGGAATAATAACAATGATATTGTCACATATATTATATGTCACAACATATGCTATTTTGGTTCTGCATAAATCTATAAATGCATATAGTTTTGGTGTCTTCTGACTGTATGCATTGCAAGATAGTCAACTGTAGTTATTTCTGCTGAAGTGGCTATTTATATTGAGAAAGATTATAATTTCCAGTGTTGATGACATTGTTTAAAAGAGCTGGTAATAGAGATTATAGTATAGTATTGTAAGTAATATAGTAGTAAGTTGAGTTGAAATCCCACTGTGTATTCTTCTTGACTGAGTATTAAGCAATAGAGTATATAATCTAATAACAGAAGAATATAAGTAACAATCTATGAAGAAGTATGAGTGATATAGTAGAAGACACAGTAATAGTATACATATCTCAGTCAGATACAGCATAGATGAAATGACTGAGATATAGATATCTATGGTCAGGCTATATAAGCAGATAATGACAGAGGATGTATATGTATAGTAAGTAGAAATAAGTGATAATCAAAAGGGTAAAAGATCAAAAAGATAAATATACAGGTATATATACAAATATCCTCTAATAAGACAAGCATTGTTCTTAACAATAGATCATACACTCATCTTGCTCAAGATTGCATCTATCTATAATCACCTATTCTTCAAAAAGAACATTCTCTCTTAGTATGCAACCAACTTTTACAAGCTAATATAACTATAATTATAACACTCAGTATAATGAGCAAGCAAAACAGAGCAGAGCTAGTAGTAGATAGAGATATGTTCTTTAGTGTGTCTATAAACTGGACTTCATCAGCCAATATTGCTATTAAAGTTTTTGATAAATTATTTCAAGACACAAAATATCCTTATATAAAAGTATTAATCAATGTCCAGATATTGGCTAATTGAAAACTAACATATAAAGTAATAGAGGAGTATCAGGGGTTCTAAGGCACCACATCATTTGAAATAGAGTGTACCAGTCTTGCATTCCATAGTTCCGCTCCGTCAGATAAGTCCGACAAGCGGACCACAACGATCGGAAGGCTCTCTCCCGACTCCCACGTACACATGGTCACATTTCGTTCAAAAGGAAATAAATGCATCAGACTATTCCTTTAGTTTTCTCTATTTTTTAGAATGTCCACTGTCGAATCCGATAAGCCTTGGCCCACCATGAATGCTAGGGGTTATCGAATTCCTGAGCAACTTTTCGGTGATGTAAGTGCGTTTTCTTAGTAACAGTTCAGTCCAGGTTATTACCTTGTAGTTTCCAGATCAAACCTATCAAAGTCGTTGCTGTTGGCGCAGGTATATCTGGTATCTGTCTTGCTCACGATGTCCAAGTTCGCGGCAGAGGTATCGACTTGACGATTTACGAGATGGGTTCTGACGTTGGTGGAACTTGGTTTTGGAATAGGTTCGTTTTCAACCTTTAATTTGAACTCAGATACAGACTTGATTTATATTCCAAGATACCCCGGCTGTCGATGTGATATACCTTCAGTAAACTACCAGGTCATTCGACGACACTTTGTACTCGTTGACTTCTCTGACTTCGACGATGAAACTGCAGATGTCGTGGTGTCCAAATCCCAGCTGGGGCGAGTTCTACGGCACAGCAGAAGACATTCAATCTTATTACAAAAGCCTCGTAGACAAGTGCACGACTCCGTTCTTCCGCAGCTTATAATTAATCGACTTCCTCATTTCCAGGTTCGGCCTGGGAAAGTACATCAATTTAAATCATGAAGTCATACACGCTGAATGGATCGACGACGCGAAGAAATGGAGACTTCGTATCAGGAGTCCAGATGCGAAAGAATTCGAAAATGAATGCGATGTCTTCATCAATGCTGGTGGTAAGTGTCGATGCTGGGTTGAAAGCGCGTCTTGACGGGCTGCCCAGGCGTTCTAAATGCCTGGAAGTGGCCCAACATTGAAGGTCTACACGACTTCAAAGGGGTTATTTGCCACACCGCACGTTGGCCTAATGACCTAGACTATAAGGGCAAGCGTGTTGCTGTCATTGGATCTGGAAGCTCTGGCATACAGGTTTTGGCCACGATACAACCTGAAGCTAAAAAGATATACCATTGGATTCGTTCCCCAACATGGATTACTTCTGCTTTTGCCCAGCAATACGCAGGCCCTGGCGGTACGAACTTCAGATGTTAGAAGAATCTCGTTTCATGAATTCTCACCATACTAATACTAGCCGTCAGACACTGAAGAGCAAAAGAAACTCTTCGCCGAAGATCCTCACCATTCATTGAAATATAGGAAGATGATCGAAGTATGTTCTTAGTTTTCTTTTATTAACATAATGTTAAGGAACCTCCCCGTTGGTAGTCTGACCTTAATCAACGATTCAAGTTCATTGTAATTGGCACGCCTGAACAGAAAGCTGTACTTGCCGTAAGCTCTTCTTACAATCTTTATTGCCGATTTTACAATCTACGTTTCAACCATAGTACGCTGATGCTGATATGCGTAGACGCCTTCAAGGTGATGAACGTTTGATCAATGCTATCGTTCCGAAAAACTTTGTTGTAGGATGTCGGAGACCTACACCCGGGAATGGTTACCTTGAAGCCCTCCTTCAACCCAATGTTCGTGTGGATACGAAAATGTTCCAGAAGATAACCGAGAAAGGTTTCATCGATGCCGATGGAAACGAAGTTGAGGTCGACATCATTGTATGCGCTACGTGCGTCATTTTATCTTATGTTTAGTTTGCGGTGCTGATATTTTTATAGAGGTTTCGATACGAGTTTCATTCCTCGTTTTCCGCTGATCGCCAGAGGCCGAAATGTTCAAGATCGCTGGGCCCAGTACCCCGTGGATGTATATATGTCTCTCGCCGTCAAAGATGTTCCGAACGTAAGCAACGTCCATGTCGTTCGTCAGTTCGATGTTCTGATTACACAGTATCTGATGTACTACGGCCCTCACGGCCCTACCGGTCATGGATCTGGGGCTCCCATGATCGAAGCACGTGAGTCATACTCTCAGTCCATGTCACTGTGTTCAAGGATAATCTTCAGTGACCGGCTGCTTCATGAAGATTCTCAAGAAGATGCAAATGGAGAATATCACGACCATAACGATAAACAGCAAGGCCGTCGATGACTTCAACGAGCATCGCGAGCTATACCTGAAGCGGACAGCGTGGTACGGTCAATGCAGCTCTTGGTTTAAGCCCGGACCGGATGGAAAGTCTCCCATTACGATTTGCCCATCCCTTATCTGAAGTTTTCATTCTTAGCTTCCCCCATTATGTTCCCTGGGAATCGCGTCCTGTTTATTGAACTGCTTACTAACCCTCGCTTCGAGGACTGGGACTATGAATATGATTCTGCAAACAACAGGTGAGCCGCCACGTCAAAATAACTTCACCAGTCAAGTTGTGTCTCACGTTGAATTCAGGTTCGGATATCTCGGAGGTGGGTTCACTATGCGTGAACATGACGGCAGAGGTAAGATGACTATTGTATTCTATATGCATTTCTTAGACTAACATTCTTGGAAAGATACCACCTTCTATTACGGTTTGCTAGATGGAAAAGACGAGCAACCGGACTATTCCGATCTCCGGTCAATATACGCACATTTGGATGTGTAGACCTTTGTGGCACTTCATAAAGTAAATTTTCTGGAACGACATCGAATCGTTGCTGCTGTACCACTTTTAGGAGATAGAAAATCACCAATGTTATTTAAACATGAGCAACTTGGACGAAATTTGGATGTTTAGCGACCGATCAGGCGGAAATTGTCTGTTGCAGTGACAAGAGGTGGACGGTTACATGTGCATCTCTTTATTAGAGAGAAACGATAAGCAGGATTATGGTATAATATCGTGACCGAAATGGACATATAGAAATATGCGAGAAACTATGAGAAGGTATATATTTACGAGTCCAGTCATAGTTCTCTGTTAGAGCTACTTACCAGCGTGCCTGTCAATGGCAGGGTCATCACGGTTGTCAGCAGGCACACCCTCCGGCTTCCTGTTCTTGTGAAGTTCCACCAACGAGCTGCACGCCACCTGGGACGCCACCTTGGCCGCCGTCGGTCCGTTGCGGTGGACTTCCACTAACACCCCGTTCGATGATGCGTTCGACAACTTCCGTAAACGCCTCGTTGACCCCAATAGACGTCTTTGCCGAGGCCTCCACAAACAGGGATCCTATCCGCTCAGCGAAGACACGACCTTCGGCAGTGGACACCTCGCGCGAAAATTCCTGTAATAATGTCAGTGCAAGTACCGAACGATGGGTTATATATACGCACTTTATCGACCTTATTACCTACAACTACCCTGACGGGCCCTTCGGTCACAGTGCCTAGATACGTTTCCATCTCCCCTACCCACCTCGGTAGTGCCTCAAAACTCTCCCTACTGCTGACATCATACACCAGCACCACGCCCTGCGCGCCCCTGTAATAGCTGGCAGTTATGGTCCGAAATCGCTCTTGACCGGCTGTGTCCCATATACTGAGCTTGACCTGTTTACCGTTGCGAAGTGTGAGACGGTGTACGCGAAAATCGACACCAATGGTGGCGGAGGCTTCATCCTCTGGTAGCCAAGTTTCGTCAGAGAATCGAAGAAGAAGTGACGACTTTCCAACAGAAGAGTTGCCAATGAGGAGCAGCTTCACATTCGTCGGCGGAGGCATGGTATAGTGGCAAGGTGGCGGTCCTCTGTCAAGGGGGATGAGCGTAAGCGGGTGTTGACGTCATGATATACACGTGACGTATAGGAGCTTCGAGGGCAAGAAACTTCAGAATATATGTACTATACGCATATATGTACATAGTTTGACCCATACAAGAAGATTTGTGGACCGAGACGGACAAAAATATAAGCCATTCAAGCGTTATTTTTGCGCCTGCATTCTTCCTCCCATCGCGCCTTCATCATCTGCAAACCCTCGTTCCGGGAACGAAGCATCATAACTGGAGCCGTAAGTTGAGCTTCCAGGTGAGGCGGAATCGCAGAGTCATTACGAATGACCTGTTCAGCGGCTTGTCAGTGGAATACGATGGTGGACTTGGGTAGAAAAACACACAGATCCAATGGAAAGGAAGAAGGAAAATGTTGCCGCACTGTTCAACATGTACATCGAGAGTGTGGAGAGTGTGCCTCGAGTCCCTGCTCCATACCTGCATACAGGGATTAGCCATGTTGTCTTCGATACCGTCCAAGGACCACTCACCGGAAGATGCTCCATGACCCAAAGATGAAACCGATGGTCAGACCGACGCCAGCACCCATGACGGCGCCCATCCTAAATAATTATGATGAAATGCCAGATAAATCTATGCAGCGTCCACCAGCAGGAAAGGATCGTACTTCACTGCAAAAAAAATTAGATTACGCTCTACTGTCCAGAAAGTAGGAAAGACTGACTTTTATCCCACACGGACGGTTCCTTGCGTCGCTGAAATTGGGACATTTCTTCACTGCTGGATAAGTTAGATGGCCCAGGTACAATGTGGTAGTCCGGGTTCAAAAGATGTCACGCGCCTGGGCATTGCTGGAACTACCATGTCAACTGGCATCCCCACCTTTCCCGATGCCCAGCAGGCCCAAATTAGTTCGTATCAGAGCTGCTCAACAGTCTGGTTGCCTCTAATAATGCTTGCTTCCAGTTCGTGCTCACCAACGAGATCTCTACCATCTCTCGTCACTAAGGGAGCAAACCGACTCCGTACTGCGATCATGGCTTGGCATGTCTCACTATTTTTTCTTACACGAAACCGCATTCTCACATCGCACTAGGGACTCGATGGCTGACAAGACGTGACAGAGAAGTGGACCTCTTCGTGAAGTTTGTATATTACGGGATGACTGTAGGTCGTGGTACGTCTCCGGCGTCTGCAATATCTCTCTGGCTGAATGTGCGACGTGGAAAGGAATTCAGACATTAGGGGAGGAGTATACCAATATATGGCAGTACTCTGCTGCCACAGGACATGCTCCGCCATTGCAGTGGTTGCGCTTAGCTTTGATACTCATACCGACGGTTCCTCCGTACATTCTATCCCGAGCCACAGAATTTGTGTCGATGTCAAGCCATCCCACATTGGCTTCCATACTTAAGGGTCTTCCTTCGACGTTGCAGGTACTAACCGAAGTCAATCTGGCCATATTCTACTTTTCTGCGACATACTATAGTCTAGTGAAACGAATTCTGGGTATCAGACATGTAAGTGAGAGTGTTTTTATTCTATTCCCTGGCTGATGACGGGGCTTAGCTATCATCCATACCTGATAATCCCGATATTCGACCACCCTCATACTCTCTGCTAGGTATACTGTTAACAATCAGACTCCTTCATCGTTTGGCGACGTCTTTGAAACAGCGATTTGCATCGGAAGAGCCATCTGCAAAAAAGGAGAAGGAACCGGTGGGAACGAATATCTCGAGCTCACAGGAGAGTTTCCTGGATGACCGCGCTATATCAAGTCTCATTGGGCCCGCTGATCTCGAAGCAGACACCTCAAGGCTCACTGAGGAAGATGGCGGGACGGCATTGGATATATCGTCAATACCCGATGCGTTGAGGGCTGGGAGAAATTGTACACTGTGTCTCGAAGAGAGAACCGATAGCTGTGCTACAGAATGCGGACATTTATTTTGTTGGACATGTATTGTTGGCTGGGGTAGAGAAAAGGTACGTTCGCTTGCGTGACGACAAAATGTGATATCCTAAATACGTCTTTAGGCCGAATGCCCTCTCTGTCGTCAATCCCTGAATTTGTCGCACCTCCTTCCCATTTACAACTTGTAATTTTTTTGGTAGTTATATATATAATACAGGCAAATGAAAACATTTACAACATCGTTCATACTACCTGCTGTATCAGTGTAATATTGTCTCCTTTGAGTAGAATACGTCCTGCGACCGGAGGGTGAGAAACTTGACTGATGAGGGAAAAAAAAACACAAACCAAGTTCTTTTCGGGGTTGGGCATCTTTGACGAAAATTTCGGCGGCGTCGTCGATGACCAGGTTCATGAATTCATCGAAACCCTGTAGGAAGAAAGGCAGTAAGTTTGAGCACATAATAAAACCACAAAGATGTATGAATATGCCCGCGGGGAGCTCAGCCCAACGAGGAGTGCGTTATTCATCGCCCTTGCCGGAATGATCAAGACACAACTGATGGCAAGACGAGAGATGTCCTAGACGTACAATAATTTGACCCTCAATCCGCATGTCGATGTTGTCGTATAGCCAAATGACGACTTTTGTTCGCTGCGTCAGCATCTGAGGTCAATACAGATACTTGAAGACATGGTTGGCAACGCACCTGTTGAAGATTTTTGAAAATTACATTCTGGAGAACCATTGTCAACAGTCGAGCAAGGCCACAGCGAAAAACTCACGATGGGCTGCACCATCACACGCTGCTGGCGACCAGACATGACGAACAAATAATATGAAGATGGAACAAAGATGAAGGAGGTCGTGGACGGTGGCAAGTGCTTCACGTGCCAACAAGGCCAAAGCAGTGCAGTCTCACTTTTCTCCCACTTGCCTGGACGCGTCAACGCCTTTCTAGCATGGAGGTCAGTACTCGCCCCAAGCATTGCAGTACTTCTGCTCAAGACGATATTCTTTTCAGGTATTTGCTCCAGCAAATTCGTCGACGGCGGCAGCCGTCACTTTCATCACCTTCGTGCAAGACCTGAAAAAGAAAACCAAAACATGGGGTTCCATGATAGAACTCTGCACCAATGGAGAGAAGACATTAGAACGGTTCAGATATCAGTTTCCTGATGATTGGCTTTACAGCGACCAACTTAGAGGAGAGTGGAGCGCATACAACGAGATATTGAAGCGAAAGAATGATTCCATACAGGAGCAGCTAGGTACATCCACCGTTACTAGATCTACTTCGTCTTCCCTCATATTTCTCTTTAGCTGGATTGCAGCTGAAGATTGTTGCCGAGGACAAGATTGTCGAGAACAAGATCAATGACCTTCTGGTGGAATGGGAGCAGACGCGGCCCGTGCAGGGTAATATGCGCGCCGATACCGCCATGAATGCCATCGGCGTCTTTGAGAATAAACTAACTCGCGTTCAGGAGGAGTACGATCTCGTTTGTAAGGCAAAGGAGGCACTGGACCTCGAGCTGACACGACACACGCGACTAGAGCCTGTTTTTGAGGAGTTACGTGATCTCAAGGCAGTGTGGACAGCTTTGTCTGGTATCTGGAATCAAATATCTGAACTACGGGATATCGCTTGGGCTACCGTGCAGCCGCGCAAGTTACGGCAGCGTATAGACGGACTCTTGTCTTCTACAAAGGAGATGCCCACGAGGATGAGGCAGTATGCCGCTTTTGAATACGTCCAGGATGTTTTGAGGGGGTTGTTGAAATCCAATGCCATCGTGTCAGAGCTCAAATCAGAGGCGCTGAAGGATAGGCATTGGAAGCAGCTGTTCAAAGTGCTGAGGCTCCCAGCGCAGATTAGCCTGACCTTGTACGTTTCCCTCAATTCACATCTGATTCTCACATCTCTCATTCATTATTTAGGATGACACTCGGTCATGTTTACGATTTGGACCTCAAAAAGAACGAAACGATCATTAAAGAGGTTATCATTCAGGCTCAAGGAGAGGTTAGCTTGGCTATGATGCTCACAACATTGTCCTCATGAATGACCAGATGGCTCTTGAAGAATACATCAAGCAAGTCAAGGAGATATGGACCAACTACACCCTTGACCTTGTCAATTACCAGAACAAATGCCGCTTGATCAGGCATGTGAAGTTTTTCTTTTTTTTGATTCAAGAGTCACATGCTCATTATATTGTACAGAGGATGGGATGACCTTTTTAATAAGTGCAGCGAAAACTTAAGCTCCTTGACTGCAATGAAGTTGTCCCCATATTATAAAGGTGAGGAGGTCTTAGGCATCTCCCGGTGGACTAAACGCCAACGTTACCTATAGTCTTTGAAGAGGAGGCCGGTTCTTGGGAGGAAAAGCTCAATCGAATTCATGTTCTCTTCGGTACGTATCCTTTGACTAGAGAGCTTCTTCGTCTTAATGCTTTATACAGATGTCTGGATTGACGTTCAGCGCCAATGGGTTTATCTTGAGGGTATATTTTCGGGCAGCGCCGACATCAAGCACCTTCTTCCTGTCGAGAGCGCTCGGTTCCAGAATATCAACTCCGAGTTTCTCACCGTGATGAAGAAGGTCTACAAGTCCCCTTTCGTCATCGACGTCATGAACATTCAAGGCATCCAGAAAAGTTTGGAACGTTTGGCAGACCTACTGAACAAGATTCAGAAGGCTCTTGGAGAGTATCTGGAACGGGAGCGTTCATCATTTCCCCGCTTCTACTTTGTTGGCGATGAAGATTTACTCGAGATTATTGGTAACAGCAAAGATATTCTTCGGATCATGAAACATCTGAAGAAAATGTTTGCCGGTATCTCCACCATCAAGCTTGACGAGGAGTTAAGTCAGATACAAGGGATGGCATCTAGGGCGGGAGAGGAGGTCATGTTCACGGAGCCAATTTTATTAGCTGACCATCCCAAGATCAACGATTGGCTGGCAAGAATTGAGACGATGATGAGGTTGTCACTTGCCAACCTACTCACGGATGCCGTTATAAAACTGCAAACGTTTTATGGCTCTGGCTCCAAGTTATTTATGGATCCACTGATGGCCTGGATGGAGAAGTATCCTGCTCAACTTGTTACACTTGCAGTACAAGTTGTATGGACATCATCTGTTGAAGACGCCTTGGAGTCGGGAGCTACCCCAGATGCACCATTGGACACTGTACACCAAGCATTGGATCTACTTGCTGACATCGTTTTGCAGGAACTGAGTCCTGTCACTCGGCGAAAATGTGAACATCTCATCACAGAGCTAGTGCACCAGCGAGATGTCACGCGTTCGCTTATCCAACAGAATGTGCTCGATCCTAAAGGTTTCACCTGGCTGTATCAGATGCGCTTTTACCTCGACAGGACAATCGAGAACCCCTTGGAGAAGCTTTCCATTAAGGCCGCTGATGCTTCTTTCCCTTATGGATGGGAGTACCTTGGTGTTCCTGATCGACTTGTTCAAACACCACTTACCGATCGCGTCTACCTCACCCTGACACAGGCGCTATATAACCAACTTGGCGGCGCTCCATTCGGTCCCGCCGGCACAGGTATGTTGTTTGTCCTGTTATCTGGAAATCCTAACCGTCAATGCTAGGTAAAACAGAGTCTGTTAAAGCGTTGGGCGTGCAGCTGGGCCGCTTCGTGCTTGTCTTTTGTTGCGACGAGACTTTCGATTTCCAGGCAATGGGTCGTATTTTTGTTGGACTGTGTCAAGTCGGTGCCTGGGGTTGCTTTGATGAGTTCAATCGTTTGGAAGAGCGAATTCTTAGTGCAGTCTCGCAGCAAGTTCAAAGTATCCAGCAAGGCTTGGTGTCTTTGGCCAAGAACCCAAACACAGAGATAGAACTAGTTGGGAAAAACCTTAAGATCAACAAGAATATCGGTGAGCGGTTTTATATGGGGTGTAGCCACAACTGATATATTGGTTGTAGGGATCTTCATCACGACCAATCCCAACTATGCTGGCCGTTCTCAGCTTCCTCCTAATCTGACCAAACTCTTTCGACCGTAGGTTCATTTTCTGATCTACCGGCGTAGTGCTCTGATGTTTCTTTCTAGAATGGCAATGACCCGGCCTGATCGAGAGTTGATCGCTCAAGTCATGTTGTTTTCTCAAGGTTTCCGTACCGCGGAATCGTTAGCGTCTAAAATTGTGCCATTCTTCAATCTTTGTGACGAGCAGCTGTCTCCGCAACCTCACTATGACTTCGGATTGCGTGCGCTTAAAGCGGTCCTCGCTAGTGCGGGTATCCTCAAACGAGAACGTCTGCAATCAGTCCGAGCGTCTGAGGACGATTCTGAGGCGGTCTGCCTCTCGGATGCTATCTCGGAGCAGATCATCTTAATTCAGAGTGTCACAGAGACTATAGTGCCTAAGCTGGTTGCTGAGGATGTTCCCCTTCTTACCAAGTAAGCTCGTCGTTTATGACTACAGTTTTGGCTGAACATCTAATCATTCTCTAGCCTTTTGGCTGATGTGTTCCCGGGTGTTGATTACATGCCTGTTGATCTGGACGCATTACGGGAACAGATCATAAAAGTTTGTTCTGAACGGCGACTGGTTGATGGTGATCTATGGATTTCTAAAATTTTGCAACTCTATCAAATTCAAAAGATTCAACATGGACTGATGATGGTCGGGCCATCTGGCAGTGGGAAAACCAATGCTTGGCAAGTCTTACTCGCAGCTTTGGAGAGACTCGATGGCATCGAAGGAGTTTCTTATGTCATTGATCCTAAAGCCATGCATAAGGATACTCTGTACGGTACCTTAGATGCGACTACTCGAGAGTGGAATGATGGCCTCTTTACCCACATCCTTCGCAAGATTGTGGACGATGTGCGTGGGGAGAGTGGCAAGAGACATTGGATTATCTTTGATGGTGATGTTGATCCTGAATGGGTGGAGAATCTGAACAGGTTGGTTTCATGATCCACCCTTGGCTCAAGCTAACGTATTTCCGTAGTGTGCTCGACGATAACAAACTGCTTACGTTGCCGAACGGAGAGCGGCTCAATCTACCCCCGAACGTGAGAATCATGTTCGAAGTGGAGCACCTCAAATATGCGACACTCGCTACAGTCAGCCGTTGCGGTATGATTTGGTTCTCAGGGGATGTCGTAGAACCTTCTATGGTCTATCGTCATTATCTTACCACGCTGTCGTCTGTTGCTCTTGACGCCGATGACGATGAGGCTGGCGATTTACTTGCACGACGCAGTGAGATTCCAGTATCTGACAATGCCGCTACTGCGAATTTGGTTACACAAAAGCAGGTTGCCTCTATTTTGGAGCGCTATTTCGCCGAAGGGGATCTCGTCAGTTCAGCACTCAAATTCGCCGAATCTATCGAGCATATCATGGACTATACGGTCACTCGTGCTCTCAACACTCTTTTTTCTCTTCTCAACAAGACTGTCCGAAACATCATCGAGTACAACTTCCAGCATTCTGACTTCCCCTTGTCTTTGGAACGTATAGAGCAGTACGTTACAAAGCGCTTACTCGTCAGCATCATCTGGGCCTTCTCTGGGGATGCGAAGTTAGATCTACGCGCTGAAATGGGCGATTACCTCAGAAACCAGACCGGCATCGATCTACCTCCTCTTGGACCTGGTAGTTCTCTCATAGACTTCGACGTCCAGGTGGCTAATGGTGAATGGGTTGCTTGGCAGTCTCGAGTCCCCGTTATAGAAATCGAGGCCCATGCCGTAACCGCCTCCGATCAGGTCGTCCCCACTATGGACACCGTGCGCCATGAAGAAGTGTTATATTCTTGGCTCTCAGAGCATAAACCTCTAATGCTTTGCGGACCTCCTGGATCCGGAAAAACCATGACCCTTTTCAGCGCCTTGAGGAAACTTCCCGACATGGAAGTTGTAGGCCTGAACTTCTCCAGTGCAACGACCCCAGAGCTCATCCTCAAAACGTTCGAGCAGTATTGTGAGTATCGCAAAACCCCCAATGGGGTCATTTTGGCACCTATGCAGATTGGTCGATGGCTGGTTGTATTCTGCGACGAAATTAATCTACCAGCAGCCGACAAGTACGGCACTCAACGTGTCATCTCTTTCATCCGTCAGCTGGTTGAAAGTGGGGGATATTGGCGTGCCAGTGATATGTGTTGGGTGAAACTCGAACGTATCCAGTTTGTAGGAGCCTGCAATCCTCCCACCGATCCCGGACGTGTTCCCCTCAGTCACCGATTCTTACGTCATGCACCATTAGTTATGGTGGATTATCCTGGTGAAGTGTCCTTGAAACAAATCTATGGCACTTATAACCGCGCTGCTCTGAAAGTTGTTCCCAACTTGCGCGCCTATGCAGATCCTCTTACCGATGCCATGGTTGCTTTCTATTTGGCATCTCAAAAACGATTTACCACCGATATTCAAGCACACTATGTGTACAGTCCACGGGAGCTGACACGATGGGTACGAGGCATGTACGAGGCAATCCGACCGTTGGAAATATTGTCAGTCGAAGGGTTAGTGCGCGTATGGGCCCATGAAGCGTTACGGCTGTTTCAAGATCGTCTAGTCACTGAAGAGGAGCGGCAATGGACAGATGAAAATATTGATGCAGCTGCTATGGAGCACTTCCCTACCATCAATCGCGAAGAAGCTCTGAGCCGACCAATCCTCTTTTCGAATTGGACCTCCAAGGATTATATTCCCGTTGATCGAGATACACTCCGTGAATATACTAAAGCCCGCCTTAGAGTTTTCTATGAAGAAGAGCTCGATGTTCCTCTTGTCTTGTTCAACGACGTGTTGGATCACGTTCTCCGTATCGACCGAGTCTTCCGTCAAATTCAAGGACATCTTCTGCTCATCGGAGTTAGCGGAAGTGGAAAGGTATTTCTCTACTGTTTCTGCTCATTAAACAGTAACTTAATCTTCACTAGACCACATTATCGCGTTTTGTCGCTTGGATGAATGGACTGAGCATCTTTCAAATCAAGGTGTCTAACAAGTATACGGGCGATGACTTCGACGAAGATCTTCGAGTCGTCCTCCGCCGGGCTGGATGCAAAGGTGAAAAAATCTGTTTTATCATGGACGAGTCCAACGTCTTGGACTCCGGGTTTTTGGAAAGGATGAACACACTTCTAGCCAATGCCGAAGTACCAGGTCTCTTCGAAGGTGACGAGCATGCTGCTTTGATGACTGCTTGCAAAGAAGGTTCCCAGCGCGATGGCTTAATGCTGGATTCCCATGAAGAATTGTATCGTTGGTTTACTCAGCAAGTTGCACGAAATCTTCACGTCGTGTTTACCATGAATCCTCCCGAGAACGGTCTGGCGTCTAGAGCTGCCACATCTCCCGCCCTATTCAATCGTTGCGTCCTGGACTGGTTCGGAGATTGGTCAGATCAGGCCTTCTATCAAGTGGGTATGGAGTTCACCCATAACCTGGACCTCGATCTTTCAACATACGTACCTCCGGCTCATTTCCCGATCGCCTACCGCGGTCTCTCTATGCCTCCAATCCACCGCACCGCAGTTGTGAATGCTTTGGTCCATGTCCACTCTTCCCTACACCAGATCAATCAACGTTTGTCCCGCCGTCAAGGTCGATACAATTATGTCACACCTCGTCATTACCTCGATTTGTATGTCGTAGTTTGTTTTGCTCTCCTCTCAGTCTGACACGTGTTCTCAATTAGCATCAACCACTATGTCCGTTTGTATACCGAAAAGCGTGACGAGCTGGAGGAACAGCAGCGCCACCTTCACGTGGGTCTTGACAAGCTCAGAGATACTGTAACCCAGGTCGAGGAGCTGCGCAAAAGTCTTGCCATTAAGCGGTCGCAACTCGAGGCTAAGGATGCGGAAGCTAATGAAAAGCTTAAGCGTATGGTATCTGACCAGCAGGAAGCCGAGCAGAAGAAGGCCGCTTCCATTGAAATTCAAGCAGCTTTGGTCGAGCAGGATAAGCACATCGAGCAGCGCCGTGCCATCGCAACGGCAGATCTAGCTAATGCAGAACCTGCGGTGCTTGATGCACAAGCCGCTGTCAGTAATATCAAGCGACAGCATCTGCAGGAAGTTCGAACCATGGCTAATCCACCGGAAGCCGTTAAATTGGCGATGGAGTCCGTTTGCACAATTCTTGGTCACAGAATTGACAGCTGGCGCACCGTGCAAGGAATTATCCGTCGGGACGACTTCATCCAGCGCATTGTCAACTTTGACACTACTACCCAGATGACCAAGCATCTTCGAGACATCATGAAGAGAGACTTCCTGAGTCGGCCTTCGTACAACTTCGAAACCGTGCAACGCGCCAGCAAAGCATGTGGCCCTCTAGTCAAGTGGGCTTTGGCCCAGGTTCATTTTTCTGAAATTCTTGATCGCGTCGAGCCACTCCGCAACGAGGTACAGTCGTTGGAGAAACAAGCAGAGACAACAAAAAAGCAGGCCGGTGCAATCATTCAAATGATTTCAGAGCTCGAGGCGAAGATTGCACGATACAAAGAGGAGTATGCGTTGCTGATCAGCGAGACACAGGCCATAAAGTCAGAGATGGAGCGGGTGCAAAGCAAGGTCGATCGCAGTATGAAGTTGTTGGAGAGTCTGTCATCGGAACGTGGTCGATGGGAAAGTGGCAGCCGTGCATTCGATGCCGAAATGTCCACTATTGTTGGCGATGTTCTTCTGTCGGCCGGATTTTTGGCTTATGGAGGATTTTTCGACCAACACTACCGTGAAGTCATGTGGCAAGAGTGGTCTAACCACCTTTCCGATGCTAACGTTAAGTTCAAACCAGAGCTGTCGCTCACAGAGTATCTCTCCACTGCAGATGACAGGTTGAGCTGGCAATCGAGGTCACTGCCTGCGGACAATCTCACTACGGAGAATGCTGTCATGTTGAAACGCTTCAACCGTTATCCTTTGATCATAGATCCTACGGGACAAGCAACGACTTTCCTTCTGAACGAGTACAAGGAACGGAAGATCACCGTGACAAGTTTCTTGGACGAGGCATTCCTCAAGGTCCTGGAGAGCGCCCTTCGATTTGGAAACCCGCTTCTTATACAGGATGTGGAACACCTCGATCCCATCCTGAACGCTGTTCTCAACAAGGAAATTAGGCGTACCGGAGGCCGAGTGCTCATTCGTCTAGGAAGTCAGGACATCGATTTCTCGCCTTCATTCACCATGTTTCTTTCTACGCGAGATCCCTCTGTCGAATTTTCTCCCGATATCTGTAGCCGTGTCACATTTGTCAACTTCACCATGACTCGTAGCAGTCTTCAAAGTCAATCCTTGGATCAAGTTCTCAAAGTGGAACGTCCCGACACGGAACGAAAGCGCACGGACTTGATGAAGATTCAAGGCGAATTCCGTCTTCGACTTCGAACATTGGAGAAATTGCTTCTGCAAGCGCTGAACGAATCATCAGGAAACATTCTTGATGATGACAAGGTCATTGACACTTTGGAGACTTTAAAACGAGAAGCCGCCGATATTACCTCCAAGGTTGAAGAGACCGATGTTGTCATGAAGGAGGTAGAGGAAGTCACTGCCGAGTATCTGCCCTTGGCGCAAGCTTGCAGTGCAGTTTTCTTTGTGTTGGAGCAGCTGAATCTTGTCAACCACTTCTATCAATTCTCGCTGCGCTTCTTCCTTGATATCTTTGATTACATCCTTCACCACAACCCAAATCTGAAGAGTGTGACGGATCATAGCCAGCGTCGAGATATTCTTCTGAACGATCTTTTCCTAGTGGTATACAAGAGGACCTCTCGGGCCCTTCTCTATCGTGACCACGTCATGCTTGCTGTCCTTTTGGCTCAAGTCAAGCTACGAGGTGTAGAAGAAATCACAGACGAAATGGAGTTCTTGTTGGAAAGTGCGGACAACGTTGTCCCTTCAGTCAACAGCATAGCAGGCATCACTCCTCCAAGTGCCATCCTTTCTGCCGACCAAGCCTTGCGTTTGGAAACTTATGCTAAACAGTCTATCTTCAAGCCGGTCCAGAACCATATTATCGAGCACGAAAGCAATTGGTTGCCATTCTTGCAGTCTCACCATCCAGAGCAGTCCGTTCCTACTCCTTGGGAACCCAGCACGCGTAGGTTTAATCCCTGTTAATCTAAGCATCCAGTACTGATTTTGGCTTTAGCGGCTGTGGAAGCCATTCGATCCATGCTGATCATCAAATGTCTACGACCTGACCGTCTCTTGCAAGCAACTGCCCAATTTGTCCGTCTTGTATTCAACACCGAGTTATCATCTGTATCTGATTATGACCTTGGAACCATGGTTAATGACGAAGTTCCAGCTGCGACGCCGCTGGCATTGATTTCTGTCCCCGGATATGATGCCAGTTACCGAGTGGAGAACTTAATAAAGAATACGGGCGCTCGCTCTTCTTCTGTCGCAATGGGCTCCCAAGAAGGTTTCGGCCTGGCAGATCAAGCAATTGCGGCGGCAGCCCGACAAGGTTCATGGGTTCTCCTAAAGAACGTCCATCTTGCTCCATCGTGGCTGGGACAGTTGGAGAAGAAGTTGCAAACGCTGAATCCGAACCGCAACTTCCGCCTTTTCCTCACAATGGAAGCCAGTCCATCTATTCCAGTCAATCTTCTGCGTCAATCCCGTTTAATTATAAACGAGCCACCCCCGGGTATCAAAGCCAATCTCCTTGACTCTCTTCGCAGCATATCGTCCTCTCGTTTGTCTCACGGGCCTGCTGAAAAAATTCGTCTCTATTTCCTGTTGGCCTGGTTCCATGCCATTGTCCAAGAGCGTCTTCGCTACGTTCCTCTTGGTTGGAGTAAATCCTACGACTTCAACGACTCCGATATGTCGTCGGCGTTCACTACGATGGACACTTGGTTATCCGGTGTCTCCAAGGGCCGTACAAACATCGATCCCGTTACAATACCCTGGGATGCTTTGCGCACACTGGTCAAACAGTCTGTGTATGGCGGCCGAGTTGATAGCGACTTCGACCAGAGAATTCTGGATTCATTCGTTGACGGATTATTTACCCCAGCGGCGTATAATGTCAACTTTGATTTGGTTCCAAGCGTAGGCGGCGGACAAGTTCTAGGTGTTCCTGATGGCACTAAGATGGAGCACTTCTTGTTGTGGGCGCAGGGCTTGCCTGACCGTGAACCTCCCTCTTGGCTTAGCCTTCCTCCAAGCGCAGAACGTGTGATTGCTATTGCCCAAGGTACGATGACTATTCTCCGGACGATATTCAAACGTTGATGCCCATTTACATAGGAAACGAGTTGCTTGGCAAGCTGAGGAAGATGCGAATGCTAGCAGACGATGATGATGATGTTACCCTCGCTGCCTCAACCAAATCTCAAACGTCCCAGCAACCAGCCTGGATGCGGTCTCTTCTTGACCGCTGCCAAGAATGGCTTTCTCAAGTGCCTTTTGTGAGTATGCTTCTGGTTTCTATTCGCCCGTATACTAATCTTCTCTCAGAAATTCAATATTCTTCCTCAGCAAGGGAATGACAGCCAGGACCCATTGTATCGTCTCTTCGCTAGAGAGGGCGATATTGGTCGCCGCCTACTCATACAAGTTCGCAGGGATCTTACAGATGTGGTCAAAGTTTGTCAAGGAGAGTTGAAGCAAACCAACCACTTACGAAGCCTTATGAGTTCTTTGACCAAAGGTATGGAGTTGTATTTAATCGGGGACTGAACTTTTGTTGATGCCGAACATAGGCATCATTCCCAATCACTGGCGGCAGTACAAAGTGCCCAAGGCAATGGTTGCCTCTGGATGGATTGCCAATTTTTCTCGACGACTGAATCAACTCGATAGTATCGTCGAGCTGCAGAACTTGAACGATGTCGAAGTTTGGCTTGGCGGACTCTTCTTCCCCGAGGCATATGTTACGGCGACTCGGCAAGCTGTTGCACACCGGAAAAGATGGAGTCTAGAAACCCTTACCTTGAGGCTCGATATTGAGAAAGTGAATGACCCCGAAGCCTTCATTGTTGACGGTACGGTCTCTACTCCTATGAGAAGAAGTAGTGTTGACACTGTTGACCACAGGGCTTGCATTGGAAGGTGCGTCGTGGGCGACCGACAAATTGGTACTCAATGATGGCGAGATTGTTCGGCTGAATGCGTCGCAAATTCGGTGGGTGCAGTCAGACGACTCAAGTAGACAGAACTTGGTCAATCTACCGGTATACCTAAATGGTGACCGTAGCGACGTAATGTTTACCGTCGACCTTCCATTCGATCCCAGCGCAGGCCCTCTCGTTTCCATGAGGGCAGTATGCCTCACGGCCAACGCTTAGTCGTTGCTGTACAGCATGTGACTGCTTTGCTTCTGTCATGACATACTGATACCCGGAGGAAGGATAGACATCAATCATTGCGTACGATACATAATACTCGATACCCCCACATCCCCACATAATAATGGCAGACGTCTCTGCTACCCATCTAGTATTGTATTTCACGGATTTTCACGACCTCTCGTTACAATGGATTAGAGAAAATTAGACGAACGAATTATTCAACTGAGCTTCCGCCGACGACTGTCAATACTTTCCAGTCGATCTCTACGCCAGTCTTTTTAAAGATTGCTCGTGCATCTTCTGCAATAGCTTCGAAACCGTGTGTCGCAAGAGCTAAGATTGTTGGACCTGCTCCAGACAAGCATATGCCTAGCAGGCCAGGATGGCTTGAAGGGGTGATCATTGAGGTGACTTGAGGCAGGCCGGGTATCTGCAATGAAGCATGAATATGTAACAGGCCATGCTTCAAGATGTGTAGGAACTCGCCAAAGTTTTTCGATATGGTTGATGGACTCTATCCTTCATGGCTTCGTAGATGAGCTCGGGATCCGGCGGGGATTGGGCCAGTGCTGTGGTCAAAACCGCCAGGCGCTGCATATTGAAGACCTAATAAATACGTTGAGCAAAACGCGTCCCACACTGTGCTGCAAGGAGAAACACACAAGATCTTTGCGAGAATAAGAAGTGGGGAGAACTTCTCTGGCCTTGGCGGTGCTAAGCTCGAATCTAGGTACAATAGCTACGGCCTTGATGCTATCTGACCATCCAAATCGTACAAAGTGGCCTATGCCACTGGGTGGTGCAGGTGGGTTCAGACCCCAATCTTCAGAAGCATCAGGTGGGTATTCCGGCAGGACTTCGCTCAATGGTACACTGGCCGCCTCTGTCGCGGCCACATCTAACTCCCTTAGATAGGACCCGACAAATCCTCCCACCAGGGCAGCTGTGACATTGTCTGGATGCCGCTCGACCATCAAGGCAAAGTCTAGCAATCGTTCCGTTGGAAGCTTGAGACTCCCAAGTTGGTTCCCAAGTAGCACACCAGCGATCACTGCTGCACCGGAGGATCCAAGGCCCCGTCCAAAAGGGACTTCATTGTCTGCATGGATTTGGATACCTGAGGGGAAGGAGCGAATGTTATGGCATCGCAAGACGTATAACGCGACTCGGGTGGTGAGATTTTTGTAAGCGTCCAGGGGGACTTCATCGGCGCCTTCGCCGGAATATGTGATGAGTGGGGGCACGTAGGGGGATGGGGGTACTTGGGGGACAGAGACGGTAAGAGTAAGGTAGAGAGATAGGGACAGACCAACGACATCGAAGCCTGGACCGATATTTGCAGAAGTCGCAGGTACTCTAATTCTAAATGACAATGTCATTTCGAAAACAACATATTCATGAACAACTTTTTTTTTTCCCCAGAAATAAGATTAGATAACCACGTGTTTTCCTTTTTGATCCAAAAAAAAAACTGCCTTGCTCTGAACGCCATGGCGGCACAAAAACGCTCTCTTGACAGCGCTCCTTCCTCCCACAAGTCAAAAAAATTAAAGGCCTCGACATCGGCGTTTGAAAGCGCACTGCCAGACACCTCCAGTCTCACGACAGATGACATCGACTTCCCTCGCGGTGGTGGAACAAGCTATACGCCCTTGGAGGTCAAAACAATCAGAGCAGAGGCTTTGAAAGAAGCAGATAGAGAGCTATTCAAGGTCCGTTCTTCTTATTCAAGTGAGCAATCGCTTACGCCATCGTAGGAGGCCCAAGATGAATCCAAGAAATCCAAGAAGCGTAAGAGAAAGTCTAACGTCGGTCCATCCACGGATGTATCCACGACCGGAAAAAATGATAGAATACGGATAGAACATCTGAACTACAAGGTAAGCTAAGCTTTCGCCTCCTCGTCTTTAGATCTTGACGTCCACTGCAGAGAATGAATGTCGGCATGAAGATTTTCGGTCAAATCATGTCTATCCAGCCCTTCGCCCTTATTGTATCTCTTCCCAATCAACTCTTTGGACACGTCCCAATAACCAATGTCTCCTCTCAACTCACAAGTCTACTGGAAAGGGCCGAGAATGAGGACGAGGAAGACGATGAATTCAACTCGAAAAGTGGAGTCCGTGTTCCCTGCCTGTCTGATATTTTCTGCGAAGGACAGTATGTCCGAGCAGTAGTTACTGCACTCCATACCCAGGGACATACCGACATTGCTGGTATAGGACGAACGCGAGACGACGCTGCGAGGGCTAGCAAGAGGGTCGAACTAAGCCTCTACCCGGAAAAAGTAAACGCTGGAGTAAAGAAGACCGACTTGGTTCCCGCATTTGTAGGTCTTCTTCTTCCGTTTCCGGATGGCTCCTCACTGTTTCACGCAGACCTTAACGGCAGAAGTGAGAAGCGTTGAGGACCACGGATACCAACTAGGCTTGGGTGTGCAGGGGATGGCGGGTATTCTCACTTTCAAGGATACGAAGGGCCTAACTGATGGTCAATCACTGATTGTGGGGCAATTGGTCGACGTTACAGTGCAAAAGCAGTCGTCCAATGGAAGGACATGTCATGTTACCAACGATCCCGACTTGTTTTTATCTTCTTCAGTACGTGAAATAAAAATTTCACAGTCGTAGACCTTCTAAATCTCTTCTAGCTTACCGAAATAACAAGTGTTACGTCGGTACTTCCTGGAACGGCAGTTCTGGTTCTCATAACATCAGTACATGCTACAGGCCTCAACGTCCAGGTCCTTGGTTTTTTCGACGGCACTATTGATCGACTTCATCTTCCTCGGCGTATATCAGACAAGACGCATAAAGTGGGAAAGAAGATCAAAGCAAGGGTATTATACAATTACTCAACGGCCCCCCCGCGATTTGCATTAGCTCTCAACGAACACATCGCTGAACTCGGAACATTGCGAACAAAATCAGGATTCAATATACAGGAAGCTTATCCCGTCGGCAAGATTATCGAGGACGCGAAGATTCTGAGAGTTGAGCCTGAGCGCGGAGTAGATGTTGAAGTGGAAGATGGACTAAAGGGTTTCGCACATGTAAGTTAATTGCCAGTTTCTAGAAGTTCTTACTTCATCTAGTATAGATCTCGCACATTTCCGACGAGCATCTGCCCACTGTATCCGCTTCCAGCCCTTGGAAACCCGATTCGATACACAGGGCTCGCGTCATAGGATACTTTCCCTTCGACGGTGTCCTTCAACTTTCACTTAAGCCTTCTGTTCTTGACCAACAGTTCTTCCAAGTTGATGACATCAAAGTGGGTGGAATCGTCAAGGGCACAATCAAGAAACTGGCCGACAATGGGCTCTTCGTGTCGCTGTCGGGAAACATAGATGGTGTGGTGTGGCCCAATCACTATGCTGATATCGTGCTTAAGCATCCGGCGAAAAGGTTCAAAGTCGGGACTAGTGTCAAGTGCCGGGTAAGATCAGGAACCGACTATAATATTGTTTCAATGTTGACATTTTCCCAAGGTTCTTGTAGTGGACACTGTACGGAAACGACTATCTCTCACTCACAAGAAGACCCTTCTGGAGTCCACATTGCCGATTGTGTCGTCCATTGAGGATGCCAAAATCGGTTTGGTGACCCATGCCGTTGTCTTCAAAGTGTTGACCAAGCACCTCATGGTAGAATTCTACAACAATGTAAAGGCTACCGTTCCAATACGAGAGGTTAGGTTAGTCACGTTATAGGATCGATTTGCAAGCAGGGAATTCTTACACTTCCCGCAGCGAAGTCCCGGTCAATCTGTCCGACGCTTTCTCCGTGGGAAAAATTGTTAAAGTACGAATCATTGATGTTGACCAAGAGCACGGTCGGATCGTGGCGAGCATCAAAAAATCCTCCGCCTCGCAGTCCTTCAACGCTGACATAAGCGGAGTCGGAATTGGTGACATCGTCAATGGAACTGTCTCGGAAATTCATAGTGAGAATGTGGTTCTTGCCCTACAGCCCTCCGAAGTGCGCGCATTCCTGTCTCTTAATAACCTATCTAATCATCGCGGTGTATCACTGGCTCAACTGAGTGTTGACCTGTCTATCAACGACAAACTCGAGGAGCTCGTCGTTGTGACCAGGAATACTGAGAAGAACTTTGTGATCGTCGCGACAAGGCCGAAGGGCAAGGCGAATGTGAAGGGCTCCTTGTCTATGGACAAGGTGGTTATAGGGCAGGTGGTCAGTGGACGTGTCACCCGGAGAGTACGGCAAGGTACCCTCATCAAGCTACCATCTCGTATTGGTGGCCTGCTACATCCGACGGATGCCACTGATGATTATGAGATGGGAATACCTTTCCCGGCCACCGACTCTGTATTGAAGGCTACGGTCGTAGGAATTGATGCCACCAAGAAGCAGCTGTCCCTCTCAACACGGCCTTCAAAGATCTATTCGGACGAATCAAAGCCAGTCGTCGATCGTGTAGTTGATGGTATAAATGATATACATGTAGGTGAGACGTTACGTGGTTTCATCAAGAGTATAACAGACCATGGTCTGTTCGTTACCATTGCACGGAATGTGGACGCTCGAGTGCAGATTCGTGAACTTTTTGACGACGTTAGCATTTCATCTCTTCACGTTGGCTTTATAGCTCATCTTTGTTTTAGTATGTCAAAGATTGGCAGGAGCGATTTCGGACCGATCAGGTCGTCAAAGGACGCATCCTAAGGTGACCATCATGTTAATAGTTAGTTAAGGATGCGCTCATTGTTTTAGTGTTGATATCAACACCAAAAAGGTCGAGATGACGCTCCGCTCCAATGACTTCGCAAGAAAATCGACATTCTTAAGCTACGGGGATCTGCAAAAGGGTCAAAAAATTAGCGGGACGATTAAAAAGATTGAAGAGTATGGCTTGTTCATCCAGATAGAAAGTTCAAAGCTCAGTGGTCTATGTCACAAATCTGAGGTCTCCTCTTCTTTTCTTCCTGTATCATCGTTCTCACATGAAACATTAGCTTTCAGACAACAAGGACGCGGACGTTACTGTGGCCCTGGGTAGTTTCCGAGAGGGTGATCGCGTCAAAGCAGTCATCCTCGATGTCGTAAATCGACGGATTTCTCTGAGCTGCAAGCCATCCCATTTCTCAGAAGAGGACTTCGCTGATCAAGATTCTGACGAGGCGGAAGCTGTGGAGCAATTAGGTGTCGTCGACGAAGATGCGGATGACGATGAGCAAGAGGATAGCCAAGACGGCCTTCTTCATCATGAAGCCAATGATTCTTCTGACGACAACAGCGACGACGGCGTAATGGATGTTGATTCAGCCCCCACACATCTGCGGTACCAGCTCTCATCAGCACCTAAGGAAACCACTGCAAATTCTGGGATGACGTTGAAGATGGATGCCGGATTTAATTGGTACGTCAAGGAGACACCGCCGAAACAGTCAGACGACGGATCAGACGGATCAGAAAATACAGACGATGAAGATCAACCCAGTAAGAAGCGGAAACGGAGACGCAAGGATATTGAACAAGATTTCACTGCCGACATGCACACAAAAGCGCCTGAATCTACTGCTGATTTCGAACGCTTACTGCTAGGTTCTCCGAACTCGTCCTACTTGTGGGTGCAATACATGGCGTTCTTCATGCAGCTTTCCGAGATCGACAAGGCACGGGAAACAGCAAGGCGGGCTCTCAGTACCATCAACTTTCGTGAAGAACAGGAGAAACTTAACGTGTGGATTGCGCTGCTCAATTTGGAAAATCTGTATGGAACTGATGAGACGCTGGAAGCAACTTTCAAAGAAGCGGCCCGAGCAAACGATTCCAAGACGATCCATCTTCGTCTAGCATCTATTTTCGACGCATCTAAAAAATTCCAGGTAGGCTACGACTAGGCTCTTTTGAGTCAATGACTTATCGACACCCTCCTACAGCAAGCTGAAGATCAGCATAAAAGGACTTGCAAGAAATTCGGTCGAAGCTCAAAAGTTTGGACCTTGTTCGCCGAGTTTTACCTTCGTCGTGACGACATTGAGAATTCGCGGAACTTGCTTCCACGTAGTCTTCAAAGTTTAGAAAAGAGGAAACGTACGCATGACATCTGATACTGTCATTTGTAAACTCAGACATTCTAGATCTGAAAACGATTTCAAGGTTTGCCCAATTGGAGTACAAGATGGGCGATCCTGAACGGGGGAAAACCCTTTTTGAGGGTATTGTCGATTCACATCCTAAGCGCTGGGATATATGGTCAATATATATGGATATGGAAGTGGGACAAAGCAACATCCAGAGTCTGCGGTGAGCTTGCCTTGATATTTAATGTAATGAGCAAGGACTAAACCACTTTCAGATCACTGTTTGATCGTGTTTTAGCATTCAAAATGACTAGCCATAAAGCCAAGTACGTACCAGCTTTCTTGCATCTTTCTGCTGGCTCTTATTAATTACATGCAGGTCTTTTTTCAAGAAATGGCTAGAACTAGAACGTCGCTTAGGAGATGAGGATGGGGCTACGATGGTGAAACAGAAAGCAGTCGAATGGACCCAAAGAGCCAATCCATCATAATATAATATTCATCATATATGGACCACATCAACACATATACTGCTCATGGAATATATAAGTAGGCGAAGCGAAGCTAATAACATCAGACAAAACACGAAGAAGTATGTAAGTTAGAGTGTGAGTGAATCCAAGCGAACACGACCAAAAGCCGAGGGGTGGTATATGCGTAGCAGATAAATGAAACAAAAAGGAAATGTCATGACCGTGGTGATCGTGTCCTTTCTGGCTCTGAATCGAAGCCGCTCAGCGGTCGTCGAGTGCTCATGGAGCTAGCTAGCTGTCGCTGCCAGTCGTCCAGTTCGCTAGAAAGATGCTCAAACGCCAGCGCATTCTCCGAACTTGATGTACTAGTTCGTCGAGCGGATACCCCTGACATTGGTCTCCCTTGACCGAATGTCGGTTGATCCACTTCGAGAAGGAGACCGATTTTATGTGTCAGCTGCTCGTTGTCGCGTCTGAGCGTGACGTTCTCATTGCTGAGTTTTTCGAGCAGTGTCTCCTGGTTGCCGCCTCTTGCTATAACCAGAGAAGACTTCAGTCTGTCGACCTCATGCTGGAGTTCTTCCGTCTGGACAAGCCGATCATCTGACTCTCGTCGAGATGCCACCAAGTTGTCTCGTAACACCTCCAGCTCTCTCTCCATCGATTCCAGACGCGTTCGCAGATCTCTGTTCTCACTGTGCAACCGCTGCAATTGGCGTTGCGCTTCCACAAGTTGCGTACGCATCTGATCACTTCCTTCGTCTGAAGGCGTGCTTCGCCCATTCACGCCACGTAAGCGAGGGTCGATGGGTGACCTGCCGGATCGAATGGCATCAAACTCAGATTGAAGAGTTGTATTCATGTTCTTCTGTTTGGTTAGCTCGTCCTTCATACGTCGCATCATTTTCTCGGTACCCCTACAGACGTGTTAGGAAGGATTAAGGAAAACGACCAACAACTCACTTGACATAATGGACGGCAACTTGGTAGTCATCTTCCATCTGCGCCATACGCTCCTTGTAGCTCTTCTCTGTCTCCTCAAATCTGCGTTCGGCTTGGATGAGACGAGCTTCTGCGGCTATATCGTCACCTCGGGAGGGAGTTTGTGTTGAGCGCACATGGTCAAGCTGGGTTGTGAGTTGACCAATACGGTTCTCGAGCTCTTTGGTTCGATGGAGAGCTTGCGCCAACTCTTGCTCTGTGTCTTCGCGCAGAGCTTGCTGTTCGGCAAGCTTATGATCCAGATCCGCAACGGCAGTCGACGAGGTACCGTTTACCTTGGATCTCGAAGGGAGCTCATCCTCATCGACCTCGACGCCATTTTCTGCGAAATAGTTACGAAGCATTCCCAGTCGCACCTGGGTGTCCGCAACTTCTTTAGATTTTCCGCGCAAGATTTCCTCTCTATCAGCAACATCTCTCCGAAGACGTGAAGACTCTGCAACAGCAGCAGAAAGCTTAGAGCGAAGACCTGAAATCTGTGAACGTAGGAGGGAATGCTCTGATTCGAAGGCTGATGCTCGCCGGCGCTCGTCGGTCAGCAGTCGTTGTGCCTCTTCTGCGGCTTGGTTTGTCTCCTGTAACATATTTCGCAAAGACGCGGACTCGTTCTCGATCGCCATGATCTTCTCTGCATGTCCTCTCGCAAAACGATCTTCATCAGATTTCATGTTCCGGTGGGTGTCAAGTAGCTCGCCTAAGCTGCCAGTGGTCAATGCTCTGTACGAATCGGCCTCTTGTCTGGATTGCGCCCATGAATTTTCGACGTCCGCTAGCCGAGCGCGGGTCGCTTCGACCTCAGCATTGCGAGTTTCGAGCTCGCCCCGAAGTTCCCCTACATCAGCCTCCAGGTTATTTATCCTCTCTCGTGCATGTTTGTACTGTACGTCCAGCTCATTTGCGCGTGACGACGCAGCCTCGACTGCATCTCGTGCTTGTTCCAATGCACGCACATGTTGATCACGCGAATGCATGAACTGGTTGACCTGCTCACGAAGGGCGTTTTCCTCTGCTCTGCTCTGCTCTAAAGCCGATGTTTGCGACAGTAACGTATCTGCACGATCTCGTGATTGCATTTCTAATGTGGTGTACCGATTTTCGAGATCAAGATGTCGTTGTTTGATACGGTTATGGGCATCAAGCTCCTGTTCAGCACTTTTCGTGGCATCGGCTGCCCGAGCTTCGGCTTGCTCACAAAGGGTTGTCTGTACTGCGAGCGCGTCACCGATCTCGTTGATCTTTCGATCCTGAACTCGTCGCTCATTGATTAGGATGGTCAAATCACTTTCCAGCTCCGCGACCCTTCGCCTCTCCAGCTGCAGTACCTCCGACTCGTTCGCAGATTCGAACGCGGCAAGCTTCGCGCGATAATAAGCAGCTTCTTGTGATGCACTAACTTTTACACGCTCCGCATCAGCAACGTGCTCTGAAGCCCGCTGAGCTTGTTCCATCAATGCCGTCTGAAAGTCAGGTAATCAATGCCAAGAACGTGGCTCGCGAGCTGCGGACTGACCTGCATCTGGGCTTTGAATTGCTTGAACTGCAATAAAAGCTCTGCATTCTGACCCTCAACACCGTCCTCCAATTGACTCCCGTCCTTGTCCGTATAAACATAACCTGAACGAGACGCGTTGATAAGGGCCTCTTTCATCCAAATCATTTGCCGTCGGACTCCTTCAAGTTCAAGTTCTTTGGTTTTAAGATCTCGAAGTAGATCTGCGGTCACATTATTGACCGAACCTTGCCGAGAAGAAGACTGATGGTGTGTAAATCCATTGACGATGGGGGATCCGCCGGTAGAATAAAAACCATCGGGTGGAGGTTTGGACCTGTCAGGCGATACACGCCCACCTAAGCCATTCATCGTCATTGATGCCATATTTGGCACTTGCCCGATATCCGGTCCTGTAGGCGAAACTGCCCGGCTCCCTATAGTATGTGGGCTCTTAGCTCGGTCGTGAAGCGGCTGATCAGGAGACGTAGCTCGTATGCGAGTCGAGAGCATTTCTTTCACTGGTGGTTCGGTGGGATCGACGTGATCGTCTTCTCGTCTTGGTCGCATCGGAGCCTTAGCAGTACCTGAAGGTGGAATGACACCGTTAACTGGCTTACTAGAGCCATTCGGTGACAATGCACGGCGGTCTTCGGTTTCGCTCTGCAGAGGAGATACCGATCGAGAGCCATTGAGAACATGGCCTGAGGGGGAAGAGGAGAGTTTCGTCGGCTGATTTGTTTGAGGGGGAATGGAGGACTTTCGAGCAGGATTCTGTGGAGGTGGGCTTTTACTAGCATCAGGGTACTTGATATGTTCTGTTAAACACCCTGTTTAGACAAAATTACCTTGTCATGAGGAATGAGGAGACACACTGGTATCCAAAACATGTATTATGCTCGGGTCATCCGCCTTGGAAAGTGAAGACGATTCGCCTCCAAGGACCAACACCTTTGGTCCTACAGCAGCCATAGCATGACCTGACCGACCACTAGGCTGAGGACCCATGTTTTGGAACATATACCATCTTTGATCTAGATCAATAAACAGATCAATATGTAAGATCCACTCGCAAAACAGAGACACTGACTGGATATTTTGAAGGCGGCGAGGTCCGATAGATCCTTTCCATCCACACCTCTCCCTCCAAATATGTAGATCACATCGTCAACAAGAGCAGCGGCATGACCCTCCCTTGGGGATGGGATGTAGCCGATGCAAGACAGTTCCGACCATGACTTCGTGCTGAGATCGAATGTCCAAGTGTCATTGTAATGATACTGACCGTCAGTTCCACCAAAACTAATGACATACATCAGGCAGGACACATGCTGCAGACTCGAACCACCTACATAAATATTCGATCACCGTATGTCATGCAGATATGACCCGTACGCCGTGCTGGTCGTTCCGGTGTGGTAGGTTCCAAATAATCCCATACTGTTCCCGTTTTCACTGGGCAGAGTTTGACGTTCAAGGCTGCACTGATAGAAGCGGTGAAGGAACAACTCACATGTACTGAGATCAAATGACCATATATCGTTCAAAAATTCCCCATCAACCTGACCACCAAAGACGATGAATCGCGTTCCAGCCATTGTAACTGCATGTCCATATCTACCGACAGGAACTGGTCCCTGCATTGTAAGAAGCGTCCATTTTCGGGACACTGGATATCAGTTGAGCAAGCTTAGCGCAAACCAAATAGAAAACTCAGCTTACCTAGATTAAACAGGTAGAGACCATCATCCTGTCTGTCGGAATACCGTGCTCTGACATCCGTTTTCGTATCTCCTCCCCAGACAATTAGTACATTGCTAATAATGGCACTGGCATGCCCGACTCGAGGAGAGGGGAGGTCTCCTTCAGTTTGAACCAAGGAAGCCACATAATCGCGAGTATTGAAGAAATAAAGGTCGTTCTTTGGCGTTTCGCGAACAAGGCCGCCGAAAAGATACAGGTCTCCGCTACTCGTAGAAGTCGTGGGAAGGGAATGGCCATATCGAGGGAAGGGTGATGGTGAAAGGGAAGTAGGCGGGGCAATACCTGGCTTGTTGAAGACGATAGGCGGGGCAAGTGCAAGGCGTTTGGCGGACCATGGGAAAGACGGCCGTGGAGGCTGTTGCTGTGGAGCCGGTTGTTGTTGCGACTGTGATTGTGATGGCGCGTGTAGTGCACCTGAACCCTGTTGCAAGCGTTGATGCGGGATCTGCGAGCCTGAGGAAGGACTGAAGAAATGATGAAATATTGAACAATTGGCGCAAATTGTGTTCTTGAATAAGTTACTCGAAACAAGGAAGGAAAACGACTACATACACATCGTGGGGACCATCCAACCTCACATTCCCCGGAGCCTGCTGGTGATGGTGATGCTGTTGAGCAGCACTGCTATCTTTGCTGGCAGGTGCGACCGAAGACATCTGTGCCAGTGCTTGACTCGGCGTCTGCGCTACAGAAACGGTGGCCGGGGCCGGGGGAGGCGCATGCTTCTTCCTTGAGAAGAAGGACATTCTGCGGGTTCTGCTTCCTAAGAGGGACGGTATGGCGAAAAATTGGACGTGGTAACAGAATTAAGTGATGGTGGTGCAGCGTCCAAGGCGGCGGAGTACACCGGACAAAATGGGGGTCAAAGGATGGTGATGATGGTGGTAGAAAGGAAAGGGAGAGCAGGCCTGCCTGGAGAATGGGCAGGACCCAACAACTGATGGAGGGTAGAATTGCTCGACTCGAACTGCCTCCGTCTGCAGTGATGGCTTGCAACAACCTACTTTGCCCTTGTTTGCCACCACCCTTGACGAAATCATTCAAGCACATGTAAACACAGTGACTATTTATCATGATCAAGTATTCCTGCTAGCCTGAGGTATTCTCATGATAAGGGGGTTTCTCCTTCCCACCCCTCCCACAACATGTGAGCATCGTAAATGCTGTTCTTTGCCTCATCCTCCCTTAGGACATGTCCCAGTATCACTTCCAAGTCACTTCCCAGAAAATCATAACCGTAAAAGGATGGATCTAACGTGCCAGGATCCAACAGCGACATGTCAAGCTCAAACTCTCCACCCATCCCGCCGGTAGCGTGTGGCCCACCAGAATTTGGTTCCAATGCCTGATATCCTGCTGTATACGCATCTGTCCCAGGCAGATCCAGGCGCATCCGGGTTTTTCTAGAGGAACTTCTATCCTCGGCCCTTCGTTTCTTTTGCAGTCTCTCAGTGTTATCTATCACTACCTGAGATGAGGAGCTACTAATTCGCCATCAGTATTCCGGTCCGAGTTCCATAGAGTGGCCAAGAACTTACTCAATCGTAAAGGTGTGTTTAATTTGATCCCATTTTGCTTTCACCACGTTGAGAAGCTCCGCGACAATCTCTCTGCAGCGCTTTGCACCTGACCACACGTCCTGCATGCCTTCCAGCATACTGCAACACTTCTCCGCATCAACAAGAATGGCGGTGACAAGCTCAGGGTCGGTTACTTGGGCTACCACCCGCAACATTATCACACCGGAAATGCATATCTGTTGCACCGCGTATGCCAAATGGTGGGAAGTGGGGAGTGTCTAAGGGAAATCAGCAATGGAACAACAGATCCACTAGTTGCTTACGCTCTTCACCATATCTCCAACTCTTATACACGCACCTGATATAATATTCAGTGGATTTTCGAAACCCTGTTATATTATGGACTTATGCGCCGCACTCACGCACTTCGGCAGCGAGGCTTCGCTAGTCGGATGGACCTCTTTCGGGTAAGGAATGAACGGTCGATCTGTAGACCTGAGCTTCATAAGACAGCCCACGGAAGATCCATACACTCACGGAGATTAATAGTTGCAGAGTAATATACGAAGAAAGCGATCAAACACAGCGTGAGTATTTTAGGGTTCCCTGCATCATTCGCAGCATATTTAACGTTCGAAGGTAGAGACTCGACCCAATCCTCCAGCATAACATCCAGGTGCTGTATGACCTGAGGTATCTGGGCTTTTGTTTTCCTCATATCTCGTAAGAGTTGCAAAGAATGTGCAGAGCGAACAATTTTCCCAGCAACGACGTAGATCTTAAGCAACCTAGATCTAGCGTCAGTGAAACAGTCCTGTAAAATAAGAAGAGTATTTACGCGACGAAACCGCACATATATGACGTTTGTGATTCCTTGATTTTACCTCTGCAATATGCTTCGAGGTCGTCATCGTCAACTTGGGAGGCTGTGACACTGTGATATATCAACCGTGCGGAGAAGATTAATGCTCTAACTAACAGTATTCAACGTCGCAACCATCTTCGTTTGTGGCTCCGGGGCGCCCGAGAGAGATAGAAAGAACCCTACGCGAAAGCTGTTGCAGTCGTCATTCCAGATTACGTCTTTACTCGCCTATCTAAACCGTACACACACCTATGAACGCTCATAGGTGGTCAAGTGACCGACAGGGTGATTTAAAACATACCACCAAATTCTCCTTCTCTGCTCTTTTTCAATTTCAGATAATTGTAGTCGTCTCGGCGATAGCTGTTAATAGCCATCAGAAGCTAGCACAGTCCATGCCTAGCCCCCCGTCAACTCACATGGAGACCAAGATCTTGAGCTGCGCGAATTCTAGCAGGAGCGTTTGAGCTCTGCAGAGATACGGAAGGACTGAAGACGCACGTTTGTCCAGCAGAGAGGAGCCAACTCTGCGATAGGGCTGGCAATAATGAGTGTCAGAGACATGGCTGGTAGAGTACAGCATACTCACTGTTCCATCCAGCGCAGCACATGGCTAGTAATGCTAAACACTGGACACTTGGAATTTAGAATCGATGAGAACTGGGCTACATTCTGATAATCGTTACACACTTTTCTAGGGAAATAGGTCTAGTTTCCATCCAAAATTGTACCATACTTCATTCATAAAACCTGGCAAAAATGTGTTAATGATTCCAGTTTACCGTGATAAAAACAACTAACTCAAGACCCGCGCACTCAGATGGTACGGTCCACTTCCAGCCTTGCCCTGATGTCGGTGTTGAAGCCTTTCCAGCAGACAAACTCTGTGCACAGGCAAAGACCGCAAACAAGGATGAAAGAAAGGCGTGGTCGCCTGATGGTTTGCCTGAGTGGGCCGCCCTCATAACATCGGTATACCGGGAAATAAATCTGGTACACAGGAAATAAGTCATATTTGAACATTATTACGGTGACCTGGTGGAACACTGACATCTGTCTATGTAAGGATGGGGAAAGTGTAGTGTTTTCGGTTGAAATAGGTCTCAACCTACACAAACATCAGTATGCTGCTCTCACACTTATATGGTTTTCACTCACCAACTTGTCCGCAATATCTTCCGGAGCGGGTCTGTGGTGAGTGATGGATAAGTAAACTTTAAGTATAAGATATACTACCTACAGGACGTCAAATCGTCGAAAATGCACATTTGGCCGAAAGAACGGTAATTCCCTTAGGCCAGTGAATAGACATGCGTTACGCGGGTATAACGAGACGTACAAATTTTCAGTGCTTTTGCTTACGGTTTCTGATAGAAGAGAGTCCGGTGAGGCATCGGGGGCTTGGGAAGCTCGCAATGACTGTAGGGCTTCTACTAAAACAAGGGATGATGCACCGCCTATAAATCTGGGAATTTTGAACTTTTTTTCGGTCATGAATAGCGTAGGATAGTCGACACACCGAAGGTTACCCAATGAATCCTTTGTCAAATAAGAGAAGCGGTCGGTCAATGTTTGTTCATCCTTTTCCCCGCTTTCAAAAGTAGGATCAGGCAGAGATGTCGGTTCTTCCATCAGAATGCTTGGTTCAATAGGTAAGCTTGACTGCAGCATGTTTTGGATCGACAAAGATGGGACATAAGGCGAACGCGCTGGACATGCTGACGAGAATGCGGCACTGGATGAGCTAGATGCTGAAGAAGGTTCGTTATTAGATGATTTCAGTATGACAGGCGTGCTGGAACTGTTTGCGTTAAGGCGTTGGGCAGTAACAGTGTTTCATTTTTGGACCTACCTGTTCATCTCTGGTATGTTAGCTTTGGCCCATTTTTCGAAAACGGTCGCTAAGGGAATAACGATCTTCTCCAGCCGCGCTAGTCACGTTTCGAAATTGTTTGTTATCCTAGGAAACACTTGTACTTGCTCGGAATAAATGGAAAATACTCATACTGGCGACTTCCAGAAGCATGATCCGTTATTTCTTTGACTGTCCGCGAACGTAGTTATGAGACCAAAAGCTCTTACTGCAACAGAAGACGTACAGGTACAATTCTTCTTGTTCGTTGTACAAAAGGCACATGGATCCTAGGAACAAGTTGGTGTAAATTATGAAAGCATGCATAGACACCTGCCTGGCCATCACATTTGATCTGTTCAAAGAGTCAACAAATATTCCCCCACAACATCGTATCGACGTACCTTGCACTTTCTGCATATTTCACAGCACGCCATACTCTTGTTCTCGGCCTAGGGGGCAATAGCTGAGGTAAAGCCACCTGGAGCGGACAATGCCTCTGAAGGTTGGATTTCCCTAATCGTCGCTATTCTGTTGGGAGAGGAGTGACTAGCGAAAGTCGCTGTTTTCAGAAGGTGAATCCGGGTACCATTTCAAATTTGGACTTGCGATAACGGAAAAGACAACAGCCAAGGGTGCTCGCCAAATTCAATTTTGTACATGGGGTCGAAATTTTATTCTCAAGCATCGAAGGGGTACCCACCCAACCACGTGATAGAAAATGATGCAATATATGACATCAATTTCATGACTAAGACTAAGCCATATGGCCCTTTCCGGCAGTTTCATTCAGGCGCCGCATACCTAATTCTTGGGCACTCGACTCCTACCCAAGGATAGATGGAACTTAATCAGAGTCAGTCCCTGTACTAGGAATAATGGGCCAATCCTTACCCATCTTGTCTCACATCCAGCCTACCACGAGAGTTAATATTTGCTATATAATTTAATATAGGGATTCTCATAAAATTTTTTTTAGGCCTTCCAAGGCGAACCAACCACCCTACCGGCTGTGCCGGGCCGACATTTCCGAGCACCTCTGATAACAGCCCAACAATAGGAGAATATCACGGCCGAACGTGAATCCATGCCAGGTCGCGTAGTGCATCATTTTTTTTGAGCTAGGTCATTGTGCTTGTGGTAGTAGTAGTAGTAATAGCTGCACTGCAAACGAGCAGAGGAAGGAGTAGCCTTGATTAGGGAATTAGGCTTCACATGACCGTGTGGAATGCTCATCTGCCTGGCAGTGTCTCGGCGTCTTTCTGTGCTTGCCGCGCTGGTCTATCAGGAACGCAGAAAGGCGATGCCAACGATTACTGCTCTTCCGGTCGCGTCAATACACCAGATTACCTCAAACCAAGTCGTTATATCCCTCGAGACAGCCGTGAAGGAACTTGTGGAGAACAGTCTCGATGCTGGAGCAGGAAGCATAGGTTAAATTGAGGTACTTGTACCATCGTACGATATTCATTTCTTATCCACAGAGGTCAAGTTCAAGAACTATGGAGTCAAGAGCGTGGAGGTCGTAGATAATGGGTCCGGAGTGGCAGAGGACGACTGGGAAAGCATTGGTGAGCATGGCATCGATTCATAAATACCAGAAACATCACCAATATTGCAGGTCTAAAACACCACACCTCAAAGTTGTCTTCCTTCGATGACCTTGCAACTGTATCATCATTTGGTTTTCGTGGAGAGGCCGTGTCATCCCTGTGTGCAATGTGCGAGCGTATAACCGTAGCGACGCGTGCCGACGGTCCCATAGGCGTCGTCCTTGATCTTGACAAGACTGGGAAAATAAAGACAAAGAAAAGGGCTGCGAGGCCGGTTCGTCTACTTTCCTATAAGCGGTTTTCTTCATTCATTATTTCTAGCGCGGAACGACACTAACACTTCTCAATCTCTTTGCCCCACTGCCAGTTCGGAGAAAGGAGTTTGAGCGAAACGCCAAGCGAGAATATGGTAAAACATTATCCCTTCTTCAAGCATACGCGTTAGTTCCGTGCACAAGGAAGAATGGCGTCAGACTTCTTGTCAGTAACCAGATCGATAAAGGGTAGGCGTTCATGTTATGCATTGCTGTACCGTTTTGACGTGACTCTTAGACAAAAATCCACTCCCATTCAAACTCAAGGCTTACCGTCATTGCGAGCGTCTGTGATTGCCCTCTGGGGCAGCAAGTCCCTTGATGGTGTACAAGACTTAGACCTGTCTTTTTCGATCCCCCGTGTTCAGGTTCGCAGACGGGGAAAGGCAAAGGAAGTTGATTCAACGACGAGTGCTATTGAAGTTTGCATTCGTGGTCTAATCTCATCCCCTGGGTGTGGCAGGAGTAGCACCGATAGGCAATTCCTCTACGTTAACGGACGTCCCTGCGGATTAGCCAAAGTAAGTCTGCATTTTTTCCAGCGCCCTCCTCTCATGTTTCCTTTCAGATACAGAAGACGATCAACGAAGTATATCGCGCATTTACACCCAATCACAACACCGCTTCCCAGGCTCCTTTTGTTGTGGCCGATTTCGAGATACCCACTAGTACAATTAGCGTTCTATTCCTTCGATGTGATTTCGCTCACCTTCAGCCAAAGATACCTATGATGTGAATGTGACCCCCGATAAGAGATCACTCTTCTTGCATAATGAAGTTGCCGTATTGGAGGGACTGAAGGTGCTTCTCCTCTTTTCTTTGTCCATTCTGTCCAACATTCCGGTAGTTAAGACTACAAACATTTTTCATGTCTAGAAGCTCCACGTACGAAGTCGAGAGCTCTGAACAAGGTAATCCCGAACCATCAACACAGACAAGCAGCTCGCAACGGCATGAGTCTATTGCGCGGCCGCAGGGTCCACTGAGCATCAGAAAACGAGAGAGGACAATATCACTGTACAACGCCGAAAACGAAGGACGCAGGACAAGGTCACGAACGGTAATTTCCGATCTGGATTTCTCATCCTCAGATCTCGCCATCAGCCAAACAACATCTTTGGTTGCTAGTTCGATTTCTCATCCTACTTCTCATCCTACTTCGTTCTCAGCTACGAATGAGATAAATGTCGATAGCGAGGCAGAATGCCAGAATATGCTCCCGTTGACCGGCATGGAAAGTGTCACACCTGGATGTTCCTCTTCTGTCTCCAAGCCCTCTGCATCGACCGAAACTGCACCTCTGCAAAGGATCAGTTTGGATATCGAACCATCCTCAACGCCTCCCTCGTTGAAAGGTGCCCCACCCCTGGCAGTCCCGTCGGCCACAAATCTAAAAGGCCGCGACAAAGGGGTGGTCATGAACACGTTTACATCATGGGCTCCAGCGGCTGGTAAAAATCTAAAGAACAGTGACGATCAAGCTGGATTGGGAAAGAGCATTCCCTCCACATCACAGGCCACTGATCAAAATAAGCTCGAAACAAAGGCGGTCGAAGTCAAGAAGGAGGGAGACAAGAATAACAAAAGGCCTACGCTGACCTTCCGAAGTATGCTTGTCGGATTTGCTCGAAGCGGAAGCATGGTTAACCGAGCCGTGGAAGGGTATGAAGAGGACGCGATAGACGACTCTGAGGACAACGCCAAACCCATGGATGCGGATCAAGAAGGTGAAGAAGGTGAAGTTGCACCAAATGCACAATTAGAAGCTTCTGGCGACACGACAAATAGTACAACGTCTATAAATGACTCCCAAGTCATTGATCTCGTCTCTGACGATGATGAAGATATAACTCCGATGGAATTGATAACCCCTTCACCTTCACAGGACTCCTGGCCCATCTCTCGCCCGGAAGTTGTTCGAACATCACAGGACGGAGAAGGTGATATAGGCCTTCGATTTGATCTTTCTGGTGTAGTTGGGCGGTGGAAAGCGACGTCAGACTGTTCCCATGATTCGTCGTCTTCCTCAACGAAGAAAAATGAATTCGACGACAGCGACGAAGCCGCTCTATCCCGCGTCATCTCCAAGCCTGACTTTTCCGAAATGGGTATAGTGGGGCAGTTTAATCTCGGATTCATTGTGACCCGGAGACGGAAGAGTGAAGATGGTATGGATGATCTTTTCATCGTGGATCAGCATGCTGCAGATGAAAAATACAACTTCGAAATGCTTCAAGAAACGACGATAATTAGGTCTCAGAAATTGTTTAGGTGGCTTTCTCCTCCATTATTATCATGCTACTGCTTATAAGTGTGGTGACGTAGGCCTCAACCGCTAGAGCTCACAGCGGCTGATGAACTTCTCGCGTTAGAACACCTGAACATACTAAAACAAAACGGGTTCGAGGTTGAGGGAGACGACCGGTATGAAGACGTGGAAGACGTAGGGGCTGGCTTGAAACTTCGTCTGACTGCACAACCTGTGAGCAAGAGCACAATCTTCAATATGAAAGGTGGGTCACTTCCTTCGCTCCGGCTCGTGCCTAACACAAGTTCTTCATAGACCTCGAAGAACTTATTCATCTCATGCACGATCGTCCTTCAGGAACGATGGTCCGCTGTTCCAAGGCACGAGCAATGTTTGCTATGCGAGCGTGTCGTAAGAGTGTTATGGTCGGGATGCCTCTCACGAAAGGCCAGATGACGACTGTGCGTGCTGATTTGGCGTTTCTTTGTTTCGGTCTGACCATCACTTTTCAGATCGTACACCATATGGGCACGATGGATCAACCATGGAATTGTCCTCACGGACGACCTACGATGCGACATCTATGTGACTTGGCACCAAAAGTCGATGAGTGGGTAGCACGAGACTTGGGGAGGAAGATCAATTGGTCAACTCTCGTACCATAGTGTTCTGCTCCTTTGCTTCATATTCTTGTATACATATACCAGTAGAGTCAGTTCCGGATTAATTTTTATCAATCGTGGAAGACTTTGGACCGCGTCTGACACGTGATATCATCCATCGGGATTTTTTTCACTCGCTCCTTTTTCGCAACGCACTCCCGTCTATCCTAGGTCCGCCGTTATCTATACCCATCTTGACGGTCGGCGCTTGGGTTGGACTACACTTTCCTTTTCTTGAGGAACTTAATTCCAGGGAAACGAAGAGGTGGTTTTGTGTGCGAGAGGGACCTGACGTTGAGGTGTCCGGATTCACCTTTTCTTGGTGAACGCGGAACTAGGTGGCGTTGAACATCTTCCATTGCTATTAGTATCAGTTTCAATCCATAACTTGTAGGGTAGAATGTAATGTCTATGAACGGCGAGTATATTTCGTATTCTGTATAATGCAGGTACAGTATGTTACTTCGGTTCTATTCATCGAATGAGTGCTGTCGAAAACGGAAATTATCTTCAAGTGAAAATATAAATATATGAGGGCGAAAGCGAAAGTTATTAAGACCATGTCATTCAAGGAAGTCTCAAGCTCCGTTATCCAGTAGCTGTGCTCGCCTGATATGTCCCTCCATTCTGCGCGGTTCTCATATGCAGCGGCAACATCGGCGGTTGTTGCGCATACCCAGCAGCCCACTGTGCCTGTTTTGCTCCAACAACAGTATTGGCCACCGCGGGCGTCCGTGGCGGTGGTGTGGCAGCCGCAGTACCTGTATGAGTCGCGGCAAAAAATGACCCATAAGTACTAGGCATTGATGCTGCACTTGTGACCGGTTGCGGTGTGCCTCTTCCAGAAGTGGTTCCTCCTGCATTCGGTTGAAAGCTTGAGAACCAGCCTGTATAGGCATATGGCTGGTGACCAGTAGCTTGTATGGCAGCATAAGCCTGTGCGCTGTAATATGCGTTCTGACCTCCCTGTGCTGGCTGCTGGTATTGTGAGGAGGGATAATATGGCGTTGCGGAACCCGGTCGGTACGTAGTGGTATAAGCGGCCGTAGCAGGTGCACGATACTGACCTTGTTGGGGTGTAGCATATTGATAGTTGAAACCAGAAAAGGACGTGGATGATGTAACAGTATTTGCTGGTGCTGTTGCTGTTACTGGTACTGCCGGCGTTGTTGTTTTAGGCACTGAAACAGTAGTCCCTGCTCGGTATTTGATTGTCGAATCGTCACGAAGAGCAACAGCTTGGGCCGCGGGAAGAGTTCCATTCCAACCGGCAGGGTCCGCCAAGGGCAAGGTACGCTGAAGTGCATGAAGAAGTTTTGCGGTGGGCATAATTGTAGAAGGTTCGCAGCCAGAAGTGCGCGGTCGTAGTGATGCTAAAACAGTTAAAGAATCCAGGATACTTTGTGCTAAACGAAATGTTGAATAAAATGAAGTCAAAAAGATCAGAACCTGATGCCGACCTGTTTCCCATTCTTCCGATCCTTCTTCGGCAACACTCGTACCACCATCTTCTTTCTGAAGTCGCGAGAGTTGGAGTTCTTCGAGCCGTTTCAAAGCCTTCCGGTTTCGCTCTAGAAGCTCCTCCACCGAACTCTGCATTTCCAAACTGTTCAGGGCAGCTTTGATGTTCTCCACTTCTTCCAGAGGGAGAATGTCCTTGAGTTCACTCTCCACATCAATTGTGACCGATCCACTCTCCTTGATCTCTTCCACCTCGTCCATGGCGTGATCCTCTTGATGCATCCTCTTAGCGGCCAGAAGCAGCATATTTCGTCTCTCTTCAGCGGCCTTCCTCCTCATTTCTTGGCCATAATAAACCTGACCAAGCTGATGTCTGCCAATCTCGGCATATTCGAGCTCAAACGTAGGTGCGAAACTTCCCCAGACACCGTAATCAAGAAAGTTGCCTTTGGTAGCACGTCTCTGCATAGGCATCTTTTGTTTTTGTGATGGTATCACCTTTTTGTGATATGAACCAAGACTTGGTGTTGTACGGGTAAGGGGGTATTGGTAAGGGAATATGGACACCAATTCTGCATACCCAGTAGGTAGATCTTTCAGCTCGCGAGTATCCCCAGAGGATGGGGTTGGTAGAGTCGAATTCAGAGAAGACCAATAGTCACCTTGAGGAAGATGCTGTACGAGTGCATACTTGCGCGGTGGTTGGAGAACAGAGGACAACGTTGCTGGTAGCTCGTCCTGCAGCGATTCAGCGACCGCTGGGAAAATGGACTCGGACTCTAGCGGAAACTGCACGGATCGAGTAGAAGCTTCGTCAAGGAGGGAGAGGGCAAGATTGCAGAACTGAATCTGCCGCCATGCAGGGGAAGAGAGGCGAGCTCGAGACTGTGAAGATATAGGAAATAGGTTATTTACAGCCGACTATAAAGTATATGAGCGAAAATCAAAATTCAAGGAAACTTGCAACAGACTCGGAGAAGAGACAGAGGATGATGTGGCGAATTCTGTAACAAGAATCTGAGCGAATATGAAGGATTTGAAGACGATGAAGGATCGTTTGGAAGGGGAAAGAGGCGGTCAAGCAAGCCCTGAGTATCGGTCCTGCATATCGACGACCGTGAGCTTCAATGTATTATGTGCTGAAAGAAAACGCACATTTCCAAGACATCAAGAATCTTGGCAGCATCTTCCGAGCTAAGAGGCACCTCTCCAACATCCTTGAGAGACGGTGGCGATGGCAAAGGCGTCTGTTGTTTTTCAGAATGTTCGGTCCGAGAATGTTTGGCCGCTGGCTGGGCGTCGTTTTCTGGCGAATTTGAACGACGTTTTCGTTTCTTGAGAGCAGCAGTTGACGATGTGGCAGGCTGCTGGGTAGCAGTGGCGGCGTCATCGAGCCTGTCGGTGGTAGCAGAGGAACGAGTAGCGCGAGCCATGTACGCGCGCGTCGCGTCTTGATGTTTTTGGATTTCCTAGCTGGTCGTGCTAAGGAGAGCCGGTGTCTCAATCTCTCAAAACTCCGACGGTATTTATTCAAACCCCGACACTCTCCAACAACATCGAGCTTGCCGTCGTCGCCGTCGTCCACGATGGTCGCTGCGCTCCTCCGGGGACAGCTGAGGTCGTACCCTGCCAATGGCCATGGAACATTTCTCCCTCAAATTCGGAAACTTGTCTTCGAGTACTGTGACAAATGGCCTTCCTCTGCGAATACCCGCACATACATTCTCAAACACCTCGAATCTCTAGCGCGCGCCAACCCCCATGTAGAGGTCGTGGTCAGGCAGCGCAACTACAAGGAACCTATTGTTCGTGGATACTACGGTATGTTATCTTCCTTTTTCCGAGATTCCGTCCGTGATCATACTCGCAGTCAACAATCGCGACAAAGTCATCCCGCTAAACGGCTTCGAAGTCACCGGCATTGATAAAAAAGTAGAGCTTCTCCTCGATTCATCAGGCGCCAAGATCAGGGCGCTGAAGAAACCGGTGGAAAGCTCGACGGAAGCGACGAGGGGCATTTGGAGTGGACTGCATGCCGAACGTCCCAGACTGTAACGGTGCGGATTCTGTAGGCATTTACTTACCTCACGGTGCATCTACGGCTGAGAATATTCCTTGTCGTCGTCCTTTTTTTTCCCGCGGTGCATTACTCGTACAGATGATATAGACACCTTATACACCCTTTTGGCATCGTGTTCGACATGCGTCTGATCCATCTAATCGCCTCGCCCTTTACTCCATACGCAACGTTCTATTACCCTTGCACATGTGTAAATCGCAAGGCTTAGGTATGTCTACTTATATACCGCCCGACTCAGTCCCTCTCTTCAGCATTGCTGTCGCACTACCTCAATTCCTTCGTCCACTGTTTGTTTTACGCCGCTGTCTTCCTTCCGCTCGTGTCACCGAACATTGCGTTCATGTTCAAGGTGAGGCTACCCAGCTATGCGTTTAATTGGCAGTGGTGTCAGACTGAACCCGTATCTTTAATAGGACAACAACTCGCGGAGTTCCGTCAGCAGCGACGAAATTAGATGGCTTGTTGCTTGCTCTACATTTACCCAAGATGCTTCACCCAGTCCTACTTGCCCAATCCCTATCGTAAGATTCCGTCTTTGACCTCTTTCCGTTATTAAACGTGCATCCAATCAGCCATCCAAGCGGTCCCGTTCACCGCCACCGGCTCCCGTTGGCATCAACGATTCCCTCACTCTCCTGAGAGCAAGGGGTATGCCGCGTCGCAACTATCAGAGATCGACCAAGTGCAGCAGAGCCAAAGCGATCCCGAAGCTCAACGAAGATGCTTATCAAGCAGCAGATCCAGACTGTTCTAGTCTCGAATATGCGGTTGTAAGTTTGGAATCCATCAAATGCTCAATTTGACATACCTGTGGACAGGCGCCACCGAGACTCTCCACACCTCTTCCTGCTGCCTCTTCATCTTCTCCATTCCTCATTCCCGCATCTTCGCGGGCGAAGGTGCCAAGAAATGGACGGATGACTCACGCTCTTCTTCTCGCTAACAGGCCGTTTGAGGTTGACTTATTTCCTAATAATGTCATTTCAACGCCCCCACGAAGGCAGCCACCGAAACATCGAGAATGGATATACCGTAGCCCAAAGTCTTCAGCTGATTCTCCCAAATTTCAGTCGCGTGTTAACGTTAACCCTCGACCGCGTTCGCCTTCTACATCCGGACGTCCAGGGCCTTGTCTGGACCACAGGCTTTCTTCCGGCTGTCATTCAAATTATCGAGCTTTGAACAGGAACACCAGATTTTCGCCTCCCTCCCCGCCTTCCTCTTTTTGGTCTTCGCACGATCCACGTTCTCGTATATCTGAGGACGACGCGCTTGTGACCGGCAGCAACGGCTACCCCCAGTGGGACAATTCTGACTCACGTCCATCATCCCCGCTTTCATCCAAGTTGTCCTGTGGGTCTCATCACACTACCGCAACAGAGCCGTTGCAAAGCCGGTCAGCGTCCTCGTCGACGATATCCACGTCATCTTCCTCGCCCCCACCCACGCCCATAACTTCCTCATACTTATATTCCCCAATGATGCAGAACCCCTACCCTCCTAGATCCATCCTCACGACGAGTTCATCCTCCGCTTCCACCGATCAATACTCGTCATCAGTCATGGTCTCACGACCGCAGGGTCGAAAACGGAGCGGAAGTAGCAATAAGTCCGTCAAGTTTGTGGACATGCCTACTGTTCACTATGCTAGTATATGTCATGCAGAACTAAATTGGGATTGGGCGACACCGGATGAGAACAGTGATGCGGACGAGACGGAATCGGAGATCGAGGAGGGAGGAGCATACTCACCTATGCTGGGGAGGATTCTTGGGTTTGATCAGGACGAGGATGATGCTCAAGGCACAGAGTATGAGTCTGTAATAGAACACGGGTGCCCTGAAGGAAGGAAGGATGAGACAGGGTCTCTGAGACGGCTAGTCAGTCTGAAGCGCAGTTCATCCTCAGCGTCGTCACGGTCCATCAACCGTCCGTCGATTTCTGGCCCTTTTGTACTGGGATCGCCACCTTCGGTATCTACCATTCCTTCACCACCCACGGCGATAACCAGGGCTGCATCGATTTCTCACTTACGAAGCGCACCTTCGTATGAAAGCTTCCGAAGTGCCAGGAGTAGTGGCGGGAAGAGCGCTCTCAGCGTCAAGAGCCTGAGAAGCATATCGGGCAGCATAAAAAGTCGTGCGCGAGAGTTTCGCAATTGGTTCAAGGGCAGGAGAGTGGCCGTTGTTTCGTAGCCTGTACACAGTTTCCCATAGGTCGGTGGATTTTGGGGCTGCCTTTTTATTTTTATGATTGTTAGGAAGTATGAATGCACAGTTTATTACCAAGGAACGAGGCACTTATTGCACTTTCATCTTTTCTTGATGCAAGGACTTGGCGAGGACGCGTGTTATGTTGTATTACATATTAAAGAGAAAATGGGATAGATGCTTGTCTAACTGGTACAGAGAAATCCCAACTCAATCATCTTCGACATCGAGGTCGCCCTCGACCCCAACACCTTCTCCCCTGTCATCAAACTGTATATCAGTATCGACGTCACCTTCAGCATCCCAGAACGACGTGTCCTCCTCATTTACTCGCTCAAATTCCTCATGGACAGCAGATGGATATGAATTCATCTGCGTCGTCGTGTTCGGCGAAGATAACGAAGACCGAACATTAATGAGAATTTCTTCCATGGATTCTCCTAACCGATCTTCGAGCTCCTCTACGATCTTTGAAGAGCCGCATTCAATTCAGAAGCATCACATAGAGGCTCTTGAGAACATACCACGTAAAGTTCCACAGGTATCGTTGGCGCGAGATTCACCACCTGCAATTTCTCTGCCTTTGTCAAGGCATACTTTTCGAGGTCTTTTACCAGCTGTGTGATGCCTTGCTCCGTCTGGGACTTTGTGGGTTGATATTCTGCAGATAGGTATTGAATCGCCTGAAAATACGGTTAGAGAGATTGCAGGGAATAACGGTCCCCAAGGCACACCTCAACTTCGATTGTCCGCAGGTTATGAATGACTTCGACATTGCTTGGGTGTTTCTCCCCTGGTATGATGGAAGAAATAACACCAGCAGCTTCCTCCTCTTTTTTTATTCGCAAGGCAGTTTTCGTGCGGGCGAGATGGTCACTCTCGAGTTCCCGTAATAAGGATAGTACTTCAAAATTTGACAACAGGGCTGCCCGAGCGTTTACCACCTAACTTGAGTGCTGTGAGTAATCTCTTCAAATAACACTATCATACCTCCATGAAGAAACAAGAAAACGATAGTGAACGTAGTTAGCTGCAGTGGCCCGCCCGCTGCGTGACTTATGTGACTCGTGCAGAGATTATTAGTATACAAGGCCACGACTCAGACACATGTAATAGCAACCAATGATCATGGGTAGTAATGCAAATCCAACTGAATGGAAGCACTGCAAATGAAACCAAGCTTAATGGACAGAACGGATTCAATGTATTTAACGAAAGAATGTATACATGCTACATAAGTACCTAAAAGGAACAATCTGAGTGAATAAGTTAGAGATGTCATGAAATGGATCATGCAATGTTATCTCCCTGCGAGACTGGCGTTCTTATGGACTCGAACGGCGCTCTTCTCTAGTTGCAATGACGGAGAAGACACCATCTCCGATAGAGGCATGGGCAAGGGGTCGACATAGAACGGTACATCCGAACCATAATACTCCGGATCCTCATTCGAAGGCGCAGTGCGCCGGCTGGGATAGAGGTAATCGTTTTGGCCAATTGAAAGGTCCAAAGACGCCCGATTATATTCAAAAAGGTCGCCGCCTTCTAGACGGCCAAGCCTGACACGAGGCCGTCGATAGATAGTGGCATCGTCGTCGGCATAAATTGAAGTCTGAGTAACGGGAACAAGGTCAGACAGTCGCTGTGTAGAAGGCTCGATGACCGGTTGTGTTGTCAAACGACGCTCGTGAGTTCGAAGGCGTTGATGGATGCGATTACGTTCGATCTCCTCTTCTTCATCATAAGGAATCTCGTTGCCATCCGCATCAAGGTGCGCTTGAAAAAAATAAGTCAATGCATTGATCTCGAGAGTAAATAAAGTGAGTGGCTCACTCCAACGACGCCGATGAGTCGCAGGTTCTGGCAGGGGAGACGTCACCCTTGGACCGGTAATTGTACCATCCCTAGGTCTGCGAGTATGTATCCGGCTCTGTGCCGATTGATCCTGCTGAAGCCGATCTCTTGTGGGCATCAACCAGGCCATTGCATCATCCGACCAATCAGCCTGAACATTGTGTACATGTTCTTGCCCTTCTGAATTGATTCGTCGACTAATGTAGTATCCTCTTCTGTCCTGGTCCTCCATCACACTGCCGTCTCGATCCACCGCACTGCGAGACTGGAAGTTGGGGTCTGATGGTTGAGCATAACTTAAGGGCTCGTCAAATAGAAGGGGCGGATGTGAGAGTATGGAAGATGTTGGAGTTGGCAAATTCTGAATGGAGAAGTTTGATAACAACGATAATGTGTCTGACGAGGGAGACACTGGTGACTGCATGGATGTTGGTCGTGAATATCTAAACCTGCGAGAGCCGTAAGATGTCCTTGGAGTAGGATTAGGTGCCATTTGGCTTCCATTTCTCTGCGTGTTTGGTGTGTCTAAGCTCCGAGTGGGTCGATCACCATTTGTCCGACGGATATTTTCGAGTAGCAAGTCTACTCTGGCCGATACACCCGGATCAGAACGACGCTGGCGCACAATTGAACGTAAATGTTCAAAATCACGCTCGGCAGAAAGAGGTAATGCCAGGAGCTCGTCGGACGCTGACATTGCAACGGGCGAATCAACATAGTTGTTTGAACCTGCTGCTTCAAGAGCTGCAACACGGCGACCAGTGGTTGTGCTAGGATCGTCACTGAGTTCACGACGGCGTAGCAGGCCTGATTCCAGCAATGATCTTCGTGGCAAACGAGGGGGGCTGATAGGTGAATTCAGGATGAGCGGAGGAGGAGCTGGGGCTGGTGGGGGCGTCGTGCTTTCTGAAATGGAACCAAGCGGTGCAAGAGGAAGGCGACTGTAACGTGAAGGAACGTCTGAGATGTCATTTTCGCGAACGAAATCGAAATAGAGACTTGACCGCGCTGGGTCAGATTGTCGCTCAAGGTCCCGTCCCTCGATTGCAGGCAAGGCGCCTCGAAGCCGGTCAACTTCAAAGGGCTCATCAGAGGATTCGCCAGAATCATCGAACATGGAGCCTGTAAGCATAATGGCGTCGTGTCTAGGCCTCAGTTCAGAGTCACCTTCGACCCTGTTCTCCCAATCGCGTGTTGGAATGGCGTCCGACAGTTCCAGCAGGCTTCGTCTCACTTGACGGATTCGACGGTATGCTGCCTGGAGTGCAGTAGATGCGTGCTGAAGGTTCGTCTGCGTTTGATAATGATCTGGCGCCCGAGACGTAGTCAATGGAGGTTGCGCCACTTGCTCTGGCTCGACATTGGACTGAGTCGCCGACGACGCTGGTGAGGGGTATGTGTTTGTACTCATCTCTCTAGTGCCCAGGAAATTCTCAGCAGAAGAAAACAAAGAGAAAAGGGATGACGGAAGGATTGGACGCACTGGACTTGTACTGTCCAAAAACGCTCGCAATTCGCTGGGCGGCCTTTCAACAGTGGAATATTACTGCAGCAGAATTATCTGCTGAGAATGTCTAGGTGTATCCTGTGCAGAGGAACGACAATGAGCGGAGAGTCAAAGAAAAAGGGAAACCTGGGAAGCAATCAAAACCGTAACTAGCTGGCGGAGATGCTCAAGTCCGAGGTCCGCTTCATTGGACCCGAAGTGGCTGTACAGGAAGCAATAACTTATGCCAGAACTTCCAGGTGTGTAGCCCACATTTTCTTCCATACCTGCAATATCAATTGGCAAACTTAGAAGTAGAAAGAGCATCCAACCTCATCAGGACCGTTGGTCTAGGCAAGAAAATTATTCGAGTCGAGTCATTTGAAGATGCCATCGTATACTCCGGCACTACTCACACTGAATTTGTGAGCTCTATGTGTGCCTCATGCAACTGATGTTTGAAATGTTACCAGGCTCGTGAATTGACTGGAAGGACGATAGATAATGTCGGACGTTACGGTGCCCCTCCTCTCCCCTAGACCGCAATATGCGATACTTAGTAGTAAATTTACTAGGCAAAGTATTCTATCTCGAATTGAGTAGTGGCGGTCGAATGCCCGTCATGCACTTTGGCATGACAGGAATGCTGCAGGCCAGTCGAAGTTTTGTGCACTTTTTTTAAAAAAAAAGTAGTCGCTGATTTTGGCACCGTCGTTAGGTCAAAGGACAAATGGCAACGTACTATAGAGAGACACCAAGGAAGGCAGACACAGACTGGCCTCCACGTTTCGCCAAAGTGCGCAAAGCTCCGGCATATTCCCGGTCACAATTCCATTCTCATCACTCACATAGTTCATACTGCACCTAGAACCTATGTCTGACACTGGTCCGACGGACATCATAGAGCTAGCTTTCCTAGATGCTCGCAGGCTAGGCCGAATACGTTTATGTACCTCGCCAACGAAAGAACCGCCAATCTCTGAGCTGGGATTCGATCCAATTCTGTCAATGCCGTCCTTGGAAGAGTTCCTCAAGCTGGTTGTAAAACGGTCTTGCCCAATCAAAGCGCTGCTTCTGGACCAATCTTTCAGTGCTGGCGTTGGCAACTGGGTAGCTGGTATGCACCTACAACTGTGCGCTCATACACGAATGACGTAGCTTTGTAGATGAAATATTATATCATGCTCACGTTCACCCAGAGCAGAGGTGCAACACGTTGACGGAGGAGCAAGTGGCGGCCCTGCGCGACAAGATGGTCTATGTTTGTGAAACGGCAGTCGAAGCGAACGCAGATGACACAAAATTTCCTGACAATTGGCTTTTTAAACACCGTTGGGTGGGTGGACATCCCATGCATCACGAGACGACACTAACAGTTAGTCTGTATCACAGGGTAAAGGAAGAAATACTGCACATAATTTGGCATTGGTACACCTACAACTCGTGTGTTACCTGTGAAATCATGCTCACGAGCTTCGGTAGCCGTCTGGTAAACCTGCCACAATCAAATGGATATCGGTAGGTGGACGCACTTCCGCATTCGTAATTGAACTCCAAACTACTCCTACCGGGCCTGCGACAGGTAAGAAGAGGACCCAAAGGGGGGGAAAGGTACGTGCATACCACCAAGTCAGCACGTTCCCTTTTTCATCTCTCCAGAGAACGAAGGTAGGGGAAGACAGCGACTTGCCTCCTTTAACGGAATCAGACTCTGAAGAGCGTCCCATCAAACGCCTGGTATGCTACGTTTGCTGTAACAGGGAAAGATGTTTCTAACATCACATCCTTAGACCCGATCTCATCGCCAGAAAACCGGTGTCTCTCCACCACAAAAAGGGAATCTTTCGAGAGCATCGAAGAAGCATGAGATATAGCAAAAGTAGATAGATACACTCAAAACTATTCACTGTCGGACTCCTCGTCGCTGTATTCCTCTGCCTCATCGTCGATGAATCCATTAGCTACTGGGGCATCATCATCATCATCCTCATTCTCATCGTCTTCACTGTCTTCAGCTTCCTCCTCTTCGCTCGGTTCATCACTGCTCCCCCCCAACTCCACATCTTCGATACTACCGGCGTCGTCACCACTGTCAACTTCGACTTCTACATCCATCTCCTCTTCTTCGTCTTCGCTTTCACCCTCAACATATCTTTTAACGTTCTTGTCCTTAGCTAATTTCTTTTTAGGAACGAGTGGCGCAGGCGCTACAGATGAACGCATCTCGATCTGAGATAAGACCATGTCCAGTCGCCCACTTAGGGACAACAAGCTCTCCTGCAGTGCTATCCGAGCAGTGAGTGTCGCATGAAGACCAGAAAGCCGTGCCACGAGATCAGGCATCTGAAGCAGTATGTCAGGCTGGCCACGATACATGCGATTCAATTGAGATAACCTACGGTCATCAAGTGTCCGCTATGCACGGCCAGCACCGTTTTCACCCACGCAATCAGAGTTGTACCACGTTGGGAGCCCGCCCCACCGCCACCGCCCTTCATGTTGCTCGCCCTTGCACCTCTCCCTAACCGTTCCATGCAGACCGTCAATAACGGAACAGCCAACTGAGGCGGTAGAGCCTTCACTGTATTTCGTATCAATACAAGATCGGAATGTGCCAGACATGTCTCCATAAGCTTTGAATCTGACGAGTGTAAGGCTTGGAGTAACGTCCGCGTTAAGGAAGAAGCTGGGACGACAGATATATCATTTTGTACCTTTTTCCCTGAGGGTTTGTGGCGCTTGGAAGATGAGGCTTCTTCATCGTCGCTACCCTCAGGTCGGACATTTGCACCGGAGAGTGCTGTTAATCGTTGACCTAGACTGAGCTCAGCAAGATCCACATCCAGTTCGCCTTCGGGATGCTCAAAAGCCAAGTCATCCAAGTCCGGATCATGCCCAAGCGAAACACCAGAGCCGACCGCCATCGAAGAGGACTCATTATATCGCCTGCGTGGTTCCATCTATGAGAAATGGGAATCAGGGAATACAGTACGATAGGCAACAGTTGCTAACCATAGCTGTTTCGGTGACAAGGCTGGCGGAGACGTCGCCAATTGAAACGTCTTTGATAAATGCACCGGATTCATCCAAATATGACTGCATGTAAAGAGTAAATCGTCAAGCATGGATAGGAGACACATGGAGACTTACGACAAGGTCAAATACTGGTCGCACACCTCGCACAACTCTTGCTATGCGAATTTGAGCGGGATGTCCTTGAACAAAAGATGCTGCCAGGAGCTGGGCACCGGAAGAATTTTTTGCGGAGGGTACTGCGAGTGTGGAGCGCGGTAGTAGTGTTGACACTTTGTGGGAAGAGTTGGTAGGCGGAGACAATTCTGCCGGGATGGGGAACACAGATATTCTCCCCGACGCGGCAAGAATCAAAAGGACTTGACTGGGAGAAGCAGAAGAGTGAAGAAGAGAAATGGCTCTTGCTTCAGAGTCGAGTTGTATTGAAGCAGTGAGTTTCCCCTCTGATGCTTTCCCTTTGGGAACGGCCCAAACCGATACTACTCTGTCCGCTTCTGCCATAGAAATGAAACGGTCAGAGCGTGACTGAGAGGCATCCCATTGTACGGCTGTAATGGCTGATGCATGCCCTGAAAAGGATGCTAGTTGATTGTGTTCTTGCAGGTCGGCGGAATCAAAAGATAACAGTCGAAGGGAATGGTTTGCAACGAGGATATGGCGTTCGTCTTCCGCACTAGATGGTCGAAGAGCCATGAATGAGAAGGGCACTCGGTCGTCGGATTTCCATGAACCAAGCACACCGTTGTTCTGCATATCCCACTTCCGTATAAAGCTGTCGACACTGGATGTCCATATGTTAGAGACATTGTCCGCATTTTTTACGACAATTGCTGATAATATGGCAGCTGTACTTTGAGGATCGGAGAGGGTTCGTATCACCCGGCCATGAGTGGGAGAGAAGAGAGCCAAGGTGCCATTAGAGAGACCCAGGAGGACGACTTCCACCATCTTTATCTGTGCCGTGTCGACACCCTTCTTCCGTTTCTTTTTGCTAGGTGGTTGCTCTACGTTTGGCTTGTCCGTGTCGGATAATTGCAACTGTGCCCATACCAGCGAAGTTGCCCTGCTTGCCTCAAAAATATGCTCTGCTACGGATTGGCTTGTAGAAGTGTCATAAACGCGTAAACGATGCTTGTCAACAGCGAGGGAGAGGTATGCGAAAAGATTTCCGTTGGAAGAGAAAGCAGGAAGAACGGTGGTGGTGGTGGCATCCTGCACTGCAGGTTGAGAAATGGCAGAGGTGGCCGCTGGACGACCGCGAGGCGGTTTCGACTTGGTCTTTTTCGATTTTTCCGGAGACGCCATGCAGAAGTTGTCGAGCCGAGAATTTTTTTGGGCCGTTGACCACGTGATTCAAAGCATCCCAATTTGGATGGATGAGCATCCATGATCCATCTGGCGGAGCTCTCTCTGTTACCACCACCACTCTTCCTCTCTCTGTACTTTTATTACACATCACTCCTCAGGCCGACTGATATTTTTTTTCTCTATATCGCCGTGATTTCGCTGGTCCAGCTCCTATGAATTACATTCAGGTGTGTTACAGCTTCACTGCCAGTCATGAGCTGATGATACTCAAGTTCCTTCTTGTAGCTCGAGAAACTAGGCGAGCAACGCCCGTGCATTTCTCTGCTTTGCCGCTGATACATGTCACAGGAGAAGGCACCTACGCCACAGTATACAAGGTATGACTCCGGGCCCACCCATTCTTGGTCCATAACATTATAATCATGCCCAGGGTCGATCGAGAACTACCAATGAGATTGTAGCACTCAAGGAAATCCATCTCGATGCCGAGGAAGGAACCCCATCAACAGCCATCCGAGAAATCTCGCTCATGAAGGAGCTCAAGCATGTCAACATCGTCCGCCTCCACGACGTCATACACACTGAGACGAAGCTCGTTCTCATTTTCGAGTACTGCGAACAAGATTTGAAGAAGTACATGGACAAGAATGGCGATCGTGGCGCACTCGACCCAAACACCGTGCGCAGTTTCATGTACCAACTTTTGAAGGGGACAGCGTTTTGTCACGAAAACCAGGTCCTTCATCGTGATCTTAAGCCCCAAAATCTCTTGATCAATCGGAAAGGGGAGCTGAAGCTCGGTGATTTTGGATTAGCAAGGGCGTTTGGTGTTCCTGTTAACACGTTCTCAAACGAAGTGCGTCCGCTTTGGCTGCCTCAACGGCGTCGCTAAAGTTTGCAGGTTGTCACTCTCTGGTACAGAGCTCCAGATGTCCTCCTCGGCTCACGGACATATAGTACTTCCATCGATGTGTGGTCTTGTGGTTGCATCTTTGCCGAAATGATATCCGGCGTTCCTTTGTTTCGAGGAAGAGACAACCAGGATCAACTGCTGCATATCATGCGGGTTATTGGCACGCCGTCAGAGCAGCAGATTAAAACCATATTCAAAGACGCGGTATGTCACATACTCTGGGTGCTGTCTCTTTGCTGATGCTCATCAGCCCGATATCGCCAATAAACAATTTCCTCGGTATCCGAAGATGAATTTACAACAAGTCATTCCCAAGGCTTCGCCTCATGGTATGATACTTCACCGTCGTGTCTTATTATGATATTGATGTGTAATTTCTAGCCCTCGACCTCCTCGAGCGCCTATTGAAGTTCGATCCGTCTGAACGCATATCAGCAACCGAGGCGCTCTCCCACCCTTACTTCACTTCCACAGCATCATCTTCTCCCTTCCCTATGGGTGCTCCTCCCGGCTCCATGCCGCCTCCGTCATTTAACTTCCCCCACCCTCACGGCCTCCCACCTCAGCACCAACAACAGCAGATGCAACAACAGATCTCCGCCCAGGCGTACCAGAGGCAGGCGCAGAATATCCCCATCTTTGGTCAGCACAATGCAACGGCGATACCTGTCCACGCACAGCAACAAGCACAGCATGTACAGAATCAAGTACCCTTGGCCCAAGGCGGGTTCGGTGCAATGCAATACCCGGCTCAGTATGGCCATGGGCGGTGACGATTATACTTATTCGTAGGCGTGTATGATAGAATGAACTAGGACTGTGTATACATGCACGACAATGTATTGTATTATGGCTTTCGACATTCAATCCTTCTCAACCGCCATTCCAAGAGAGGCATTGCGAGATTAACAGTTGTATCATGTGCTACGTATACAGGTAAGATAGGTGTACAAGATGAATGCGTATGTTCAAAGCAAATGCGGATATAGTACTATATGACGAAATAAATAGTTCCCGCCTTCTATGTCACTGGTAGTGATGGCCCAAACATCGATAATAATGATATCAGATCCGCTGCAGAAACATAAGTGAGTAAGTCATCAAAGGCAACCGAAGTGATTTACCCTTCTTCAATGGTTTACTGAAGAATGCGTTCATGCCTGCACTCAAACACAGCTGCTTCGTGGACTCCTGGCAATCGGCACTCAATGCTACAACTGGGGATGGATTAACATAGAGCGAAGGCCGGAATGACAGGGAGCATATCTTACTTGGCAGCATAACGGGTGACTTCCGTTTGTTCTCCACCATCCGTATCCGCTTGGCAGCCTCCACACCGTCACATATTGGCATATCTGAAAGACAACCGTCAATGCGACACTGCTTCGTAAATAAGACCATACTCACGATGGTCAAAGAGCGCTACTGTGAAGTGTCCAGGATCCCGTGATTCCCATTCTGTAAAAGCTCGCTCAATAGAACGAGGGATAGAAGTGATTTAATTCTACCTGAGATAGCTTCGTTTCCATTTGATGTCGCCGTTACATTCAGTTGATACCGTTGCAGCTGCTTAACGAGAAGCTGCTGCGCAATAGGGTTGTCTAAACGGTCTTCAGTTGAGATATCAGTCTTAAGAAATGCCGACCCCACCTTCCGCAATGAGGACATTGCCATATAGAGTACGTTGTGCTGCAGCTACATTCTGCACTGCTTTAGAAACCTCGGTAGCCGGAACACTCGGGATGGCGTTGGGAAGGTTCTTCAAGCCAGCAAGCGTCTGCAAGAGTCTGGCTTGGCGGGGTGGCTTTGTCATCTTAACAACACCTGGCGTGCTGGTTCCAAAGATTGACTGTCGAGATAGGTTTGTCGTAGGAGTGTACAAGTGAATGATTTTTGTGTCCTGCAGAGCGCTGACGTGAAGCGAACGCAGAAAATGTGCAAGTTCATTAGCATGTTCGTCAGATTGATCATCCAGAATGATGAAATCAAGTGGTGCATGGAGGTTGCTAAAACTTCGAAGAAACATTTCTGTATCTTGCATGTTTGAGATGAGCGTGACGGTAAAACCCGTAAAGAAAGTGTTCAGCAAAGCTAATGTAACACTGGACCCCGAGCAAACAAGAATTTGAGGCTGCTGCAAACTCGCCCTGAGATTTTGAATGTCCAGTAAAGACTGAACGATATCATGAGGTGTGAAGAACATGCGAAGGAAAACAAGACGTACCCGCTTCGACTCTTCGGAATGAAAGATTTTGACGGGAATTGTGAACCAGAACATTGAACCTGCATGCAGTTCTGACTGTACGCCAATAGCACCATTCATAAGTTTGACCAATTGTCTCGAAATGGATAGGCCTAGACCAGTTCCTCCAAAACGCCGAGTCGACGAGTTGTCGGCCTGCTGAAATGGCACAAACAGCAGTTCAACGTCGCTTGGTGAGAGTCCTATACCGCTATCCCTGGCATATTGGTGTCAGCAGGCAGACAGTACAAGCAAAACTGCAGTCTTACCGGATAACAAATTTGATATTTACTTCATCGGAAGAGGACATAGACGCAGGGTTGGCAACTGAACAGGTTACTTGGACATAACCCTTTTCTGTGAACTTGACTGCATTGCCGATTAGGTTCATGAGCACTGAAAAGAGCATTAACCACATGATCGTAGCCAGCAAGCAATTGTTGTTCATTACCTTGTCGGATGCGGGCATCGTCGGCATAAACCCCTGAAAGTATCAACTGATGAGTTCGCAAACAGGACATTGCGACAGGCTTACATGGCGGTACATCGGGCTCGACATTGAAAGAGAGATCCAGTTTTTTTGCTGCTACGGGAAGCAACAATTCCATGCAATCCTAAAAGAATAAATGTGGGGTTACACCGTGATTCGATGAAAGACATACTGCTATGATATTCTACAGATCGTGAGTCAGCACCCAGGTGAAATATAGACAGATATAAAACTTACCTCCACCAAAAAGCCACACGGTTCAAGCTTCAGGGCTGATACCTAGCATCAGTAATTATTCATAATGTGGAATAGTGTACTGACCCGAGGCTTCTAGCTTGCTGTAGTCAAGAATGGAATCGATGATCTACGACAAGTCAAGCTCGTCGCTTGAGCACAAGGAACGAGCGCTCTACCTTCAACAGCAGTTCGCAAGACTGTTTTGCCGTTTGGACTAATAACATATGCATGAGAATTTTTGAAGTACTGATGTAGATTTGGAGTCACACCAATTTCACTTTGGCCAGGATTGAGCTCTGTTCCGCTCAGGAGATCAAGAAGACCATAAAAAGAGCTAGACACAACCCATGAGTTGTCAGCAGCCAAAGTCTAGGAAAAATCAACTAGACCTAAACGGGGTTCGCAACTCATGGCTCATTGACGCCAAAAAGTTACTTTTAATCTGGACATGAAAGTCAGGGATACGCCAGGCTTCATTATCGAGCAGAAATACCTTCGTGGCCTTAAGGGCATCTTCTCGACTTTTACGGGCCGTTTCTAGAGCATCTCGCTGAGCAGCAATCATTTTCAGATTCTCTCTGGTGCTCGCTTGAACAGAACGGAATAGAAGCGCATTGGATATACTGATGCTCGCTTGTTGACATAAAAGTGTCAACATTATCACGATGTTGTGTGAAAATGAGTACTTTGACGACACATATACTGTCCCGAATGTTTGACCACGGTTGCTGAAGATGGGTAAACATATGACCGATCGATAGACTGTTTGACGAGCTTCTGCAGCGAATCGAGAGTCAGAAGCAGCATCATCGAATAGAAGTCGTTCCTTCGAGTTTATAGCTGTAATAGATATTAGGCCACAGAAAATAGCCCTACAATATCTTTGACATACTATGCTGAATTATCGCTTTTTGCAAAGGATCCGCAAGACTTCTGACCGACCGTGGGTGCCTATGACAAATTGAGTTGGATGGCGGAAAACCCTTGTGTGGAACGCACTCATATACTTGACACTGTTCGGGTGGCGTCATGCTTGTTGCCACCGTATAATCTCCATCTTCTCGCGTGATAACCACTAGGAGATGTTAGTAGACACTCATCAGGCCAAAATACTTTTCCTTACCGCAAGTATTTTGAGAACCAGAAGTTTCTGCAATATTATAGTCAGACGTCAGTTACCCCATGCTATATTGAGTATTCACCGGTCGCAATCTCCGTCAGCCTTTGTAACGCTGTAAGTGTGTTAGACTGTTTCACGATATGTGATATGAGTAAAAGTCCCACCTGAAGATAAGTTGATGTCGCTCGAAATATCCTTACTCCACTTCAAGATGGACGCAAGATCAGAGGCGCTCAGTGTGGACTCCTGCTCGTCACTCATGGCAGTCTTCGTCTGACCGTAAGGGAAATTCGGATCGTCTACAGTGACATTCTCGGTTTGGACAGCAACATCAGACATGAATATAGGTCGCTTGAGAGGATACTGAGGCCGGCTCCCTACCACCGTGTTGAGATAATTCCTAGGTTAGAAATGTCATGCAGATGTTGCAGAGTAAAAGGAAAGACATTGCGCACACAATGCCTTGAGCTCCCCACTGAGAGTGTCGAGATATGCCACGACGCTGCAATTCACTTCCCAGCCCTTCGACGCCTGTGCGGACGAAATGACACCCTTGCTGAATCAATGTGAGATGAGCAGCAAAAGGAAGAAAAATAAAGACAAACAAGGTAAAGACCCCAACCTTCTTCCAAGAGCCAGTCATGGTTCACTGCTAACCTTGAAACAGTTGGTACGGCGTTTTTAGAGCTGAACGAAACTTACTTGACGGCAGTATCGTACTGCTTGTTAGCACTTGGCCTGTTCAACAATGAAGACAATTCGGCGTCCTGGACAAAACTTTATTAGGTACTTTCCTGGACAAAGACATTAGTGTTGAAAGTACCACGAGAGCCACCCATGTGCTGGTGTTCACTGGACTTGGAGACAGCCACCTGGTAAAAATAAGTATGGCGAGCAGATGGTAGACGCGAAGTGAGATACTTCTTGATGAATCTCTGATTCAGTTCAATCTGTTTCAAGTAACGGTTGCGTGTTTCTTCAGTAACGTTACGCTTTCTCATGCTAGATATCATAGCCAGGCTGTGGAAAAACAGACCGTATCTGACATGTCGGTGGCTGGGTTCATTTTTGTCAAGGCAAACTTTGAAAAGACCTGAGAGGCATACTGACTTTGGGTGCCTATCTCTGGAATCGTAGACGGAAAAACCGAGCTCTGCAGCTTCGTCAAAAAATCCCAAACAGTAGAAGCCGACAATCTGGCATCGCTTCCTCAATGTCCATCAACGGGTAAAATCGCGAAGTGAATCACCTTGAAGGAGTTATACCTTTAGAAAGAATCAATGACGGTAGAATGTGATTTACTTGGCAATCTCACCAATTCAACGCAAGTGCCAGATTTCCTGACTGCGCTCGCAGTTGCGTCAAGTACTCGGCCTCATTGAACACCTCTGTGTCGAAGGCAGTTTCAGCGGAACGAGCATAGGTGTAACCCCCTAGAGCACGGATAACATTGAGACAGCCTAAAAAACTTGAGATCTTACTGTTAGTCTGGCTAAACAGAACATACGCACTTTGGGCTAATGCGATGGTATCGGCTCCGCTGGATGCCTGTTTAATTTCGTTAACGCACTAGTGAAACGTTAGTAATGATTCCCACATGAACGGCTTATAAAACATACATCCTCCGCCGCAGTAACCAGTTCGTTTACTAAAGACACCTGAGCCTGATTTACAGACTTCATACAGAACCGCCGCTCACTGTGTTCGCAAACAAAAAGCCTCGTTATGATTGCGTAGACTCGCGCGAACGCGGTGTAAACCCTGGACGAAGCTGTCAAAATGGAGTACAAGAACTGAGAACTGATAACTCTCACCGATCTCCTGCACTGTTGCCGTACTGAATTGCCTCCTCTAGACGGGGAATCATCGTGCTGATGTGCATACTGTCATATCCAGACACCATGCTGCAATAGAGCACCTGTGCTCGACTGTGGAAAGAGTTGAAACTTGGAACCAGCTCACAAGAAATAGCAGCAAACCATTTTTCACTGCTAGAACCATGCCTTTCGGCTATGCGTAAGGCTAGTCTAGCAAGATCGGCAGAAAATCGATATAACTCTCGCTGCTCCGCGGCACCTACAATGCGTAAGGAGACATAACGGAATAGCGCAACAACGACACACCTCCAAGCGCCCAGAAGAAGCCTAGAGCAGTGCCCGGAACCATTCCGTTCCTGATGACTACGATTATCATTAGCCGTTTGGATACAACTAGCTACTGACCGTAAAGCTTGTTGGATTGTCTGGAAGCAAGGGTTACAACTCATAATGGCCAATAAATGCATCTTTTGTACTCACAGTCAATCCGATGACATCTGCAAAAGCGGGAGATGTACTCCAATACGCATTAGTGCCAGCATCATTCAACAGCTCGACGGCTAACAGATGTCTTGGATCTGTAGTGCGTGGAATGGAGAGAATTTCATCAAACCCAACAGCTAAAATCTCATTTTTTACTTCTTCGAACATTCTATCAGCCTTTCTCCTGGTCGGTGCAGGATCAATTTCTACACCTAGATTCTTTAATGCCAGTAAATTGTCACTCAAGGCATCTGCAAAATTTCCTCGCATCCAATGATTGCGGGATCTAAGCCGCAGAAGATACCCTGTTTGTTCTGGTCGTTGAGCATGCAGCATACAATCTTGGACCAAATCATTTGAAGCGGCATAATCCCCTAGAGGGATCTTATTCAGAGACAGACGACAACGCTTGTGACAAAAATCGTACCTCCCCAGCTCGCTAGTCTGACAAGTTTAATCATAAATAGACATGCTGGGAGAATCGGAGGGATGCTCACGATGCAATACGAGAGAAAAGTTGAAATGTTCGCTGGGGATGTTCTGACCACGGATCGTCTCGAAGAAGAGAGCGCGCGCTATGGAAAGATCGGACAGCAAGCTAGGGATCGTCAATCTCTGCAACGGTCTAGAGTGACGCCTTTGACATACTTCGTGAGCACCCCTGGTCCATGCAGCCTCACCAGCTTCAATGAGAACAGACAGAAGTTCGTCTCTTTTGGGATGGTCATGCAAAAGGGAAAGGCATCTAAAACTCTGCGGTTGGTACATAACACAGAAAGCAGATGGTAGGTACTTACCGCTTGGCATGCTCGGCAATTCGGTAAACATCTACCGGTGTCTCATGCAACATCATCAGGACGATCTGCGTGATAAAGAGTAGCTCAGTCCTTGTGTGGACGAATTTCAGCAGTTGACGCACTCTGAAAGACATTTTTGCGGCTACATCCTCCGGTAGATTGGCAGCTTCAGCTTGTGCTGCCTGGCGGTACCGGTCATGTGCGAAGCTGCACATGTCCCGAGCGCGTTGGATCAGCCATCCTTCATCAAGTGCTTTTTGAAGTCCTAGAATTGAATTTCGAGGGCTGTTAGTTGTGTCCATTCTGTGAAAGGACAAATATTCTTCGTGTTCATCCTCGCTGCTACTGCTACCACTTGCATCCTCCAAATGCATCATCAGCGCTACTTCAGTGACTTTGAATCTATATACGACGCGATCAAATTATGTCATATGACGGGCTCGAGAAAACGTACGATTCTCCAAATAACGCAGCCCAAAGCAAGTATTTCCTAGCCTCTTCAGGAAGTTCCCTCAACTGTGATACAAGAAATGTGAGGTCTGTGGGATCCAATGTTTTTTCGGTATCAAGGCTCGACTCAATGGCAGTCATATCATATCTATAGGGTCATTAGACCCGAAGGTCAGGTCAACTGCAGTCGAAGACGTACTGCCACGAGTTGCGCTCCCAATCAAACACAATCTATCCGATGCTGCTATTAGTAGGGAATCTATAGCTGTGAGATGATTGTCATCGTACGAAGTTATGGCGGTGAAATGCGTTCAAAATACTGCGCGCCGAAAAGGCGTTCCCAGAAGAAGCCGAGTAGATAAGACGAGAGAGCGGCGCACAATCTTCCTTGGCTCGGTGGAGTGTTTTGGAGACCAGCGACGAAATTGCGTTGTACGATAGTGGTTCCAGGTTGATCCAAGTTGGCTTCGACCGACTACTAAACATGGACCGGACTCGCTCAACGATGTCACTGAATATGTAGTTGTCATTATGAGTATTGAAGTGACCTGGTGTGGATATGCTCACGCCCTATCTGACCGAATTGTGGCAAATATTAGCTGTTAGATTGTTGAGCCACGAGGTAAATCATTTAACATATTTTACAGTACCATTCTACTCTTTGAGTTGATGAATGAAGACACAAGATCAAGAGTTCTGTCAAGCCATTAGTCCTTATACAAGTAGCGAAAAGGAAGTGCGTACGATTCATCCGCTTCATGTAAGTCATCCAAGAAAAGAGCAAACAATCGCGTCTCGGCAACGACAGTGAAGACATTCTCCACCAAGGTTTGAAAGCGAGCGCGTAACTCGCGACTTGACAGGCGTTCCTTCGGAGTGTCAAGGTGAATATCTAGGAGAGCCAAAATATCCCTGAGTTCAGGTGTTCCTTGGTACAAAAGAGGCGCGTTTTGTATCTGAGGACCCAAACGTTCCTTTAGAGCCGTGACGAAGCGATGGACATCCGTATGAAAGACCATCAATTGCCGAAGGACGGAAGAGAGACAGCTAAGCTGTGCTTCGTTCATAAGATGCATCGGAAGGAGGGAAATATGGCTCACTAATGCCGAGAACGGCGCAGAATCGACGTTCTGAAATTTGGCATGCCCCCATAGTCCATGTGCTGGGCAAGTTGATCAGTCGATAGGTAATAACAATCTAACAAAACGAAGCACATCGCCATTTAGCTTGATTGATCAGTATCATAGAGCTTTTTCCGATACTGGATCGACGTTAGCATTGCCATAACCAGAAAACGAAATTTACCAACCCGGGAGAACCACTAACCACCACAACCTGAGCTCGAGCCGTTCGGGGTCTTGAACGCAATGTAGTCCTGAGTAAACCGTCACTTGTTTGCAATGACGATGTGATGCTGGGCGACACAGAGCTTTGATCGTAGGGTGTGCTTCTCGACACGGATCTAGTGACTTCAGCATTCATTACGTTAGACTTGGATGATACAGCGCTGCCCGAGGACCTGGAATCAGTGTGATCCTCGCCGTTCCCTGTCCCTGTACCCTGGCTTCCGGACGATGATATTGATATATATCCTTTTGATGCGGAAAAATGACGCGAAAAACTTGTGGACGTATTTCGGACTGAATTATAACTTCAGTTTCACAACCCTTACGACACAGCAAAGTACACTTACTAACGTTCCGGACGAGCTCTAACTCCTTATCGCGTCCGAACTGCGGTATTTCTAATGAGCTAACAGAGACGTCAAGGCCAATTACATCGCACCAGCGCCAAAGGTATGGTGAATTCCTGCCAAGAACGTGTATCAATGTATGTTAACGAAAGAAGAAAGATGTACCATGAATCTATCTTGTAATGCAATATCGAAATGAGGTATGAGCTAACCGGGATCAGTGTACGAATATGCTGAGTGAAACCGTCTCATACTGACTTCCGTGGCAGAGGTATCAGCGGATGCGGATACGGACACCAGTAGTCGTCTCTGACACTCGATTAGGTCGGTTTTGAGACCATAGGCGCTCTGATATCGTGAATCCGGATGCTTAGCCAGGAGCTGAGAAGAATAATGGTGCTACTGTTACTAAACAGCCAGGGACATGGAAACTGAAAACCTGCCTTGTCAATGATAGAAGCGAGGACTTGAGGCACATCACGTCGCACATCATGTACAGGCATTGGTCTCTTCTGCACAATGGAGTGTAAGAGCTCAAGCGGCCCGCCTTCAAAAGGCATCTGGCCCCGTCCGACAAGTAAAGTCCAAAACATTATTCCAAGGGAGTACAAATCCGTCCTGTGGTCTTGAGTCGTGGTTTCGATGCTGCCTGTTTGCTCCGGAGCAAGATAACAAAGGGCTTCCTTTACTTTAACTTTTTCAGATTCGTCGAAGGCTTTGAGCACAAGCGAGGATGGAGAACCGGATTTTTCTAATGAGATGGCTCGGTTTCCAAAGTGGACAAAGCGAACATTTCCAGAATGCGCGTTAAGATGAAAGGCATTAGCGCGGACTTGCGGCGATGGAAAACGGCGGTTAGTAGTGCATCCACTGGGAATGAGGAATGTATCCGTTACCTTCGCGGTGCATTATGCCGACCCTTGATGGAAACCGATTAAAATATATACTTCCGACAACACAAAATAACGTACTTGTGCAGGCTCTCGAGGCAATGCGTCGCTTGGATAGCAAACCTATAACGTCAATTCGAATAACCGAACAAGGATCGAGAACGACGGGACTTACTCTAAAAAAGAGGCCAAATCCATTATATCGAAAGCCTCCATTTCCTCGGTGAAATCGGGCTCCTCAATCCCAAGCATATAGATGTCGCCATGAGATGACGATGGACGGACACGCGACATATCGGCCAAGAGTAGCTCGTTTATTTTGGATGGAGGTAGATAGCGTCCGAGCAAGTTCGGGCCAGGGTGAAACAGCAGCAGCACGACGACATCGCCACTGTCCTTGGGGATGCTGAGGAAATCTATCATGCGCAAGGCAGGATTGTCAGACGACAATGCCATTCGACCGAGACTAAAAATTTTGTTTTAGTTGTATTCGCGCAGAGCAGAGGCTGACCCACATGTGAGCCTCCCTCTCCAAACACATTGAACCGTTGGACTGAGCTGAAGAGATCTTGGCTAGGACGTTCGAGCTGTCCTTCAGACTGCTGCCCTCCGCAAGATAAGTCATGCTGCCCGTGTCCTCCCATGGTATGGCCTAGATAAATACCGCGTTTGCTGAGCACGTCGCGGTGAGGGGGCTTCACATACCTTCTCGAACGTGTATCCAGGGACAGAGAGTATACCATCTGCCGGCCTGAAGTAAAGGTTAGGCAGAGTTGGCAGCCCAAATTTTCTGCGCATAGGTCTCCTAGAGTCAGCGGGAGACCTTGGTGGCAAACGTCCCTGCTCTATCAAGTCGGCCAAAATCGTGATTGGTCACTGTACGAAAGCAAGAAAAACTGCTCGGACTGGCGAGCACGGAACAGAACAGTACGGTGGAGAGTCAGCAGGGTCTAGCCAGGTCCAAATACCGTTACGAGGCAAATATGGCAATATTCATATTCGCATACGTCATGTACAATTTTTGAACTGGTTGGTACCTTTCGGTCAATAAATGTTCGACTGTTTATTCGTGAAGCATTTAGAGTAGTTTTACAGCGCAGACCATGGGCAATGTAAACAAAAGAATAACTGGAATACAAACATAAGCACACTAAGATGTCACTAAAGAGCGGGCCATAATCAGCAAATGAAGGATTTCTGGGGGTAGAAACTTACTGTAGCTAGCGGGGTCAATGTGGTCCGGCAACTCAGGGATAGCCACCTCGAACCTCGACTGTATGGATTCCAACACCTGCTGATCACTATCGGAAGAAACAAACGAAACCGCAAGACCCTTGGTTCCAAACCGACCAGCACGGCTAGAACCTCATGTCAGTGTCATCTATTTGATCTGACCTGACAATATGACACGTACCCAACACGATGCAGATAGCTGTCGGCATCGGGTGGACAGTCGTAGTTGACAACGATGTTTACCCGCTCAACGTCTATACCACGACCGAAGATATCCGTGGCGACAAGAATGCGCTTCTCGAACGCTTTGAAAGCAGAGTATCGGTTGATGCTGCAAGTTCATTGATAAGCCTATTAAAGGATGAGAATGAAAACCACTGACCGCTCCTCCTGCTGGAGACCCGAATGTATGCTAATGCTAGGAAAATTACAAGACACAAGCAGTTTGTCGAGTTCGATCGCACGGGCGACAGACTTGACGAAAATGACAACCTGAATAAAATTAGACACGGGACTGTCAACAACAAATGATGTACTCACTTGGTTGAATTCTAACGTATCCAGCAGATCGTTCAGCTTCCTGTTCTTCCCACTCTCTTCCAACTTGACGTAATGTTGCTGTAAACCATGCAGGGTAAGTTTTGTCTCGTCGTCAACAAAGATTTCAAGGGGCTAAGACAAACCAATCAATAACCGCCCACTGTGCAAAGAAACAAACTTACGTTAGCCATGAATTTTTTGCAGGTGACCCGTATCTCCTTGGCCAGCGTCGCACTGAACATCATGACTTGCTTGTGGTGAGGTGTAGCTCGGAATATTTCTTGCACGTCTCGTCGCATGTCTAATGGGTGGTGTCGCAATTAGATGAAATGGTCCATACGGTGTGCAAACGAAAAAAGGAATCGAAAAGAAAAAGGCGCCAGACTCTTCGGGTAGTGGCGACATCCTCGAGTGCTCGATCGAAACCTCCTCCGACTCTCTTTATCACAGCGAACCAACTCCCAACTAGTCAACAACGACTACTCCTGAATCCTGCCCATAGCTACTCGGGATTGAAGGTAGGGGATATGTCCCATGTGCGCCAACGAAGGTCGAAGCCATGCCCATTAAGGTGCTCGGCAAAGACGAGACAAAAGGATGATGGATGATGTGGGTCCGAAACTCGTATGACTAACCAAGCTGTTCCAGCATTTTATCACACTCGTCCAAGACGAAGTGCTTCACGTTTTTAGCATCCAACACTTTGTCCCTTGCAAGGGCATTCAAACGACCAGGGGTAGCAACAACGATGTGAGGGCATTTGTTCTTGTCGCGAAGGGTCTCAGCATCTTTGGAAACTGGAGTGCCGCCGTAAAAAGTGCTGACTCGAACTTCGGGCATATACTTGGCGAACCGGGTGTATTCGTTTTTAATCTGGAAGGCAAGTTCACGAGTGTGGCACAGAACGAGAACTGAGATTTGTCCGTTGACGGCTTCCAGTTGCTGGAGGGTAGCAAGAACGAAAACGGCCGTTTTTCCGTGGCCGGATTTGGCTTGACACAAGACATCCATTCCAAGGACTGCCTGAGGGATGCACTCTTGTTGTACTATCATTCAAACCGTCAATGCAAAGCAAGTACATTTTAAACAAATTTACGTACCCTCCGACGGGTGCTCGAAACCAAGGTCACTGATGGCACGAAGGAGCTCGGGCTTCAGCAAGAAGTCCCTATGTAGAAAGACAGTTGAGCATGAAAAAAATTCTCTCATCAGCCAGAAAAGACAGTAGCTCACCTGAACCCTGTGGAATGAATGCCAGAAAAGTTTTTCTTGTCGTCCCCATCAGCTCCTGCACCACCTGTGGCTGCACCGTTTGTGGCTGCTGCCGCCGCCGAGCCATTGGGCACAATGTCATGTTCATCTTCGTAGTCGATAAGATCTTCGTTGTCGTTGGCGCTCATGTTGTTTTGAAATCGAAAAAAAACAAGCAGAAGGAGTGATGATGAGACGAGACAAGGAAGGTTGGCAACGTCGTGCACCGGTTGACTAAGCAGTGACAAACACAGCCATGCGGTGACGCACGGACCACGTTGCCTTCTTTGATCCACTTTCGTTCGCCCGTAAGGGTAAATGTTGTGTATACATATTCAAAGTACATACAAACTAATTGTGGAGTCGACCCATGACAAGACTTTAAGCAATAGCATTCTTTGCCCTTTCTACCAATCTGACAATGTCAGGTTCGTCTTTCAGATCTAGAAATTCAAGGGCTTTCATCAAGAGATCGTCCCGTAGCTCCTTCTGGTCGTTCATATGTTTCGTTAAAAAGGCAACGTATAATACTGTGGCCCATGTCGTTTCATCGACAGGCACTTCGCAGACCTCGCGTTCCCCAACTATTCGTCGGAGGGAATCATCCAGTTTGAAAGATCCATCAAACTGCTGCAATCGCATCAGCTTGATAATGTCAGATGACACGGGAGAAGGTGCATCCGGTGGAGGGGCTGGATGTATAGAATGTGGAAGGTTATCGCGTTCTGCTTCCGGAGCCAAGCTTGTGTGCTCATACTGTGGAGACGGACTTCGCTGGAGGTGAATATCTTCCTCAGACATAGGTGGGATATCGTTCCATTCTGACCACTCCGAGCTCGAATCCTCGAGGGAGCTCATGGTTGAGTACGTCTCGTACCCGTCATCCTCTGACGGACCAAGGCGATCGTTAGAGGATGACCTTGAGCTCGGGAAAGAGATGGCCGAAGACGATTCATTAGGCCAAGCGCTAGGTACAACCTGATTGTTTCTAGAAGCAGAGCTCGAAAGAGCATTCACAACACTAGAAAACATATTTGTGATTCCGGACAATAAGTTTTGAAAACCGGACGTTCTACCATTAGCGGTGGTACGTGCATCACCAACACTGGTCCGCTCAGAGAAATTCCGGTGAGGTCTTTCATAAGGATCGACCGCGACAAAGGACGTGTGTCGGCTAGCAAGCTGATGTTCCGTTCCAAGTCTGATGATGGCGGCTTTCCGTATATCCGAGTCAGAAATGTTTCGGTCGAACGGAATAGGCCTGGGGAGGGGCGCGATTCTGGCTTCATGCTCTTGAATCAACCACCAGGCAGCTAGAGTATGGACCATGGGATATTTCTTATCGGAGTCAACAAGTTGACCGAGACGTATTGGGACTGAAAGCTCAAATGGTTCATGGGTGTCATGGTAGCGCCCACGAAGGGTGACTGCTGTAGGAGCAACAGCCCCTCTGACCCGCAGGATAGCATAAACGACAAGACGAACTCCAGCATGGATATCGCTGATTACTGTAGGCGCTTGTTGAAGCACAGGTGGAGGGCGTAGGATCACTGGATCTGTGGATCCCGACGTAGAAAAGTTGACAGATAGAGGGGATGCCAAGGACTGGTCTGGAATGCCCCAATCTATTGTAACGTCCTGTAACAACGAAGTTCGACCCGCCCGAACGAGGTGTGCACATTTCCCCATGATGTCCTCCGCTGCTGTTGCAAAAAGGCACACACCGTTTCCGGCCTGAGCAATGCCTTCGCACATTGCAGAGGAAACAGTTGTCCCTATTCCTAGGGTATATACTCGAAGTGGGGCACGAGAACCTTGTACAGTGTCACGAACTAACTGCGTTGTTCCATCGATGTCATGGGCCTATAAACAACTGTCAGTGCCCTAAAGCTACGATAATCAAACGCGACAGACCTCTCCATCAGTCAGAATGAAGATTACGGTAGGATGCTGATGTTGGCGAGATTCAAAGGTGAACTTCAAAGCTTGACGAATCTCCGTGCCCCCATAATTGGCTTCCATTTCGTCAATGTGTGTCGTCTGTGCATAAAGATAACTGGGTTAGGCCATGGTGGTACTTGAAAGGAGGATAAAACTTACGGCATCATCAAGTGTAAGTTGACTATAAGCCTGACTCCTGGTCCATAATCCAGTGACGCTGTGGCCAAAACTCATGATATTGAATGTTGTACCCTGCTGCGGGAGCACCCGCAACAGGAGTGCCAATGTATGCTTTGCAGTTTCAATCCGGTCGCCAGACATACTGCCGCTTCTATCCACGAGGAATAAATATTCCTGAGCACTGATGGAAGGCAAATGGAGCTTCGGCACTATTGTGAACTGCAGAGCAAGTGTGCCGTCCTGCTGTCTGCCACGACCTCGAATAACCTCGGCGAAGCAGCGTGGCGCATCAAGCTTATCAGCTTGCACTATGAGAACAAAATCCCTGGCTAGGAATTTCTTCGAACGGAACCTGACCGTCGTCCTACGACGAGACGGACGACCGCGATCGGTAGCATACTTCTGCTCAGATATTTCATCCGAGTGTGTTGGACTGGTGATATGTCGGATCTCACCACTGGTCTGAACGTCGACCTTGACGCGAATCCGGGTAATTGCGGAAGCTGTTGCTGCAGAAACTAGATCTGGAGGCGGCGGCCCATATCTTTCGCCAACATACATCGGCAGTTGGAAGCGGATCGAATCCTCGCGAGAATCGTTCATGAGACACATAACGAACTAGATTTGACGTGACGATCAGCCCGCAGCCCAGGCGATGAAGGTGAATACATACAACCAATTTTATTACCACTGTTTCCCTTGGTAGAATGGAGCCGATAGAGATTGTGAAGACTACGCAACAGTTAAGGAGGTTTGATATTTTATCACTCATATAGATTACCGTACTGTCATCTGTAACCCATTCCAACAATCCAGTGAAATTTCCACTTGCAACTGCCCGCTCATGCTCTTCGCGAGCCTGGGACTTCTCTTTTGAGATACCGGTGATAACTCTGCCCCTGGAAGTTTGCATTTCGAAAGAGCATATAGCAGCACTAGAGGGCACCGGGAAATAGTACCGCGCCTTACTGGTAGGATGGTCTGAAGGGTTGATGTAGGTTTGGCTTATGATCACTCTGCTGCTCACTATTGAACGACGGATGAGTGAAATGCTGAATACCAGTAAAGTCGCACAAACCATCGAGAATCAAAACTTTCGCTGACATCTCTTCCAGAGGCAAATGTATCCTATCTTGCGGAACGCCACCGTTGTGTACTATACCACTGAACGGTTCCATAGCTGATGAGGACGGTGACCAGAAGAGTCCACCCTAAATCCTGCCACGCATCGAAGCCTAAAACACGAGTCCACGGTCACGTTTAGATCCGGATAAGCGCCTGCACAAGTATGATATGTTCTACAGCCGTTCCTCCTCTTTCAGGAAGGTATACGGCGAGAAATAATGCAACCATTTCGAGGATGGTGGTGAGTACTCGAGTGTACTGGTGAAGGTCCTCATGTCTATGGCTTTCGGTCCAAACAGTGCCAAAGCATACTTCCGGGAACTTCCTTCATTGCTCTGCGCTACCACTCACCGTCATGGCCATGGCATCCCGTCTAGCTCTTCGCTCTCTGGCCCGTTCTCATCCCCGTATCACTTCATCCATTCCTTATGCATCCCGGTCACTTGCAACTCAGCCACCCAAGGACCCAGATGCTAGAGCGAGCGAAATCATCAACAAGCTCCCTTCTTCTCCTGGTCTGCTCACGAAGACTGGTACTGCCATTCTAGGTACTGGTTTGACGGCTGCAGCGATCTCGCAAGAGCTTTATGTTGTTAACGAGGAGACTGTGCTGCTCGTGGGATCTGCCATTTTCTTCACGTTCCTGGCAAAGGTACGCCGCTTTTATTCTGCGTCACAATAGGATTGTAATGGGTCCGTACACTGTAGGCCATCAAAGAACCCTACGTGAACTGGGCAGAGGGACACATTAGCCGCATCAAGAAAGTTTTGGACAGTGCGCGGCTTGAGCACACTCAGGCCGTCAAGGAGCGTATCGACTCCGTTGGACAAATGAAGGACGTTGTGCAGCTCACGCAAGGCCTTTTCTCTCTTTCAAAGGTGTGCCCGTATTGGTATTAATGCTTCTGTGTTTATACATTTTCTTTCAGGAAACTGTGACGCTGGAAGCATCCACCTTTGCTCTCAAACAACAAACGGCACTTGCTGCCGAGCTCAAGTCTGTGTTGGACTCGTGGGTCAGATATGAGCAACAACAGAAGGAGAGCGAGCAGGCAGAGTTGACAAAGACAGTCATTGACAACGTGATGAAGAGCATTAGTGACTCCAAGGTGCAAAAGGATACTTTAATTGAGGCCGTTGCAGAAATCGAGAGTGAGTCCATGCACTTGTTCTCCCCACTTTTTCCCCTGTACTGACGCGTGCGCTTCTTTCTTTCTAGGGTTGGTCAAGGCAAAAGCTGTTTAGACTCTGGTATAAATAATACCTTCCTGCACAATAAGTAGAGGACCTGTACGGTGGTGTATCAGCATTCAACCAGTGACGTTCTTCTAGCTGCTGTGCATTATGAGCTTGGTCTTGTCGTGTGCATGTGTGACTTGTTCACAAGTTCTGTCAAGTGTTGTCTCGTCCAAGAGATATAGTTTATCAGAGCAATTGAAAACTGTCGATAACCACGAAAGAAGATGTCACTGCTGAACTGACTGGTTCGGCCGATGAGCTCCGAAGCCGATGTAGGCGACCCTGGCTTGTGCTATATAAGTTTCTCCGTCAGGGCCCCCAGCTTCGGTTGGACAGCCTCTGCATTCGATAGATATCCCTGCGCAAGTCGGTTCTGCCCTGCTTTGTTCGTTCTGGTCACTGTTTTGCCATGGCCAACAGTTATCCATTCTGGTAAGTGTACGGCTGCCTCGTTTTCTGCACGGTCAGGATGCTGACTCTGCGTTGCCTAGGCTTGGAGGTGCATGCGGTTTCTCTATCTTGCGGGGATCCGCCAACTGATGGTTGAAATATTTTATCGGAATATCAGGAGTGGCCGCGTCCAGTGCGTGAAATCTACGTGTCGTCTGGATCCTGCTAACGCTGTTGTCCCCTTTGTTAGTGGCCGCCAGTTGTACACATCCCTTGGATGTCACGAAAGTGTGCGTTCTTTTCAAAATCGATAGTTCTGCGATTGCCGTTTATTCTCGAATTCAAGGCGAATGCAGACAGTGACCAACGAAGCTGGGTCGAAGCGTGCTTCCACAATCTCCATAATACGCGCCAGTGTCGCCAGTCATGGTGTTCGTAGCATGTACCAAGGCTTGTCGGCTTCATTACTTCGACAAATGACTTATTCCATGGTACGCATCGGGGCCTACGAGGATTTCAAAGATCGTCTATCGAGGAACGGCCGGCCCTCTTCGATACAGCTTCTTATGGCTGCCACTGTCGCGGGCGCTCTCGGTGGTGTCGCAGGAAATCCAGCAGGTTGCATACCTTTGGTCTCAGTGTTTCATGAAACTGATGAATGTCACCAGATATATTATTGGTTCGAATGACTAGCGATATCACTAAGCCGCCGGAGAAACGATATGGGTATTCCAATGCTCTCAGTGGACTTATCAGGCTTGTGAAGGAAGAAGGCCTCAAAGGATTAGCTAGAGGATTGGGTACTAACATAGTTTCGTCCTTACCAGTTTTAATCAAAGCCACACACTGACAAATTTACTTAGACGAGGGCCATACTCATGAACGTGCGCGTTATTTCCCCTAACTTGAAAAGTTTGTGACTCCATTTTCTCTACTAGTCGTCTCAGGTGTGGTCGTAAGTATTTGTCACCTATAATGGGCTCGGCCAATGATAATCTTCCCGGAACAGATATGATTTCTTCAAGACATCCTTATTGCAGCGGCCTGTACCCATGACGAACTATCAATTCCAAGACAATCTCGGACTTCACGTCGCATCTAGTGTCCTTGCAGGCACATTCGCCACCAGTCTGTCTGCTTTCTTTGAAGCTTATTGTATTTTGACACCTGCTGAAATAGCTGTCTGTTCCCCTGCTGATGTTATACGATCACGCATCATGTCATCCGTATGTTATGTGCTTTTGTCAAGTACCTGAACTCATCTATTCTATACCAGTCTTCAGGAGATACATTCCTTCATGTATTAACGACGTCTCTTCGGAACGAAGGACCAAGGTTTCTATTTATGGGCTGGACTCCCGCATTTATTCGTCTCGGACCCAACACCGTCTTGCTTTTCGTTTTCTTCGAGGTACAGGTCTCTCCTTCAGGATAATAACAGGTGCTGAAGCCGCTGTCTAGCAACTGAAAAAAGGATGGAGCATACTTGTATCATAACACTCCCCAGCTTGTACGGAAAATATGGAAAGTATAGCATGCGTGATTCACACTATCCCTGCAGCCTTGTATACATTCTCATCCTAGACGTATATAGACGAAATGTGACTTATTTACTGTAGATAGCAGAAGGCATTTCATACACCAAGTCATTTTTATTCATTCGCTCTCTGAAATGAAGATGCTCTTTCGCAGTGCACTAAGGGAAGGCAAGACTTGAAACTACGTCGCTGTATATACAATGATCTTGTCCAGGTCTCCTGCGTAATCTATCGCTTATCCGTCAGTATTGTACATATAATGAATGGTTCATAGGACTGACTGGTTTGATTAGAGCCAAAGGTGAGCGAATTCAAACCACTTCGGAGGGTAAGTTGCACGGGGACAGACAAGATGACATGTCCGCCGCCTGTATCTGGCTGATCCACATACACATCGATGCCACCGTTAACACTGCGTATAATGTAAGTCAACGGATTTTGCCTGGGTTGGAGAACCGAAAATCAGACCTAACAGTTACATTGCGCCACGTACTATCGCCTACCGATACGTCAGCGATGATACAGCGTATTGGAATGGGCTCCACCATTCGCATAATATAAGGCGATCCACTGGGGAGACCCGGTTCCTTGAACATTGCTGATAGTGACCGTCCCGCCGTGACCTGACCCATGAAAGGGTCAGAAAGAAGCGTGAAAAATGATAAGTCGGTACCTAGCCATCCTACACCGCCACCGGAGGAAAATGCGGAGTCACTGATAATTGTGGCAGAGCCATTTATGGTCCCGTCTTCAGCCTCGTAAGTCGTGCCGATGGCGACGGTATAAGTTCCTGACGCAAGGTTAATGCTATTATATGCCTGTGAAGGGTCATTGCGAACGCACCGGCTGTGAGGTCCACGCTCCAAACATCTGCAGCGACTATTTGGGGAGATCCAGACGACCATGATAACGGGAACCACATGTAGCGACTACTTCCAAGCAAAGATGGCCTCCACCGATCGCCCATGTATATCGCGTTTGATCCCAAAGGAAAGTCATATGCGTTCTGTGAGAAGTATGTTCGAACGGCTTCGGGGGCTATATCAGCTTGGGAGGACCATGTCCCTGACAGTGACTTTTGTGGCATAGAATAGTGAGAAGATATCTTTGATCGATGACAGGAGCTCACTGTTGTTGAAAAATATTTGTTTGGGTTGGGTGTCCATCCAGACGTGTGGGAAGCGAAAAGGTAATATACCTGTCAATCATGAAACCTCTGTAGGGACGGTCAAAACAAAACTATACTCCATTGCGCTTAACGATACCAGGAGCTTCCAGAGTGGAAGCTATCAGGTAGAGATTTAATAGAATGACGATGATGGAGTGGCATAAGCTATACTTACCGGAAAGGACGTTGACTTGTTCAGACACATTATGGTAGTCGGTGGTCAATCGAGAGATCTTGAAATTCTGATTGTTATCTGAAGCATACAAGAGATAAGCAGTGGCTGTATGCACAGAGATCAGTCCAGATTCATTTCCGCTGTTTAAAACACAAACAATTATCTGGTTATGATAATTAGAATAAATCTCTTCAAAATCAACACAACCTACCGTCGACAAATAGCCCCATGTCCCTAGAATCAGCTCCGAGCGGTTTCCAGCTTGCTTTGTATGTGTAAGGGCCACATGGTGTCGTGGCGGTTGCGACGCCGACCATGGCAGCACCGTAACTGAATCAAATCAGAGAGTGTTTATACGTACCGAGCAAAAGGATGCAATCACTCTGATGAATCGGAGTGGAACCACATAACGTATTCGGAGTTCTTCATGCAAGATCGGCGAAAAGGAGCAGAACAGAACCGATGTGATACAATACCTGGGCGTTGAAGATGACTAGTATTAGCAGTGAGCAGCCTCTTTTGAAAGGTCAAAGATAGGGTTAATACCCTTTGGACGTTCAACGATGTTTGAAGTCGATATATCTGTACCGGAGATGGGAGAAAGAGCATCATTCTGACGAGACCATGTCATAAGATCACTAGACTATATTTCTATCAGTTCCAAGAGCCTAGATGACGGAATGAAGTGTGCAACTGTGTAACACGACACTGCTTTGAATAAGGCACTGTTGTGAGATTTGTCCTCTCCAAACCAGTAGTATGTAGATCCAACCTGATATTAATGATCTGAACAAGGTCGTTTCTTTGAGATGGACATAGTACCAACTTTCAAAAATCCGGCTCCGTGCGCTTGTATAACGGCTTCAGATGTATCGGTCCATGTGGCACCAGGGACGATAACTGCTGCACGCGTAGTGAAGAGGGAAAAAAGAGAGAACACAGGTGGAAGCCAAGTCTTCATCTTTAGGGTAGAAACACGGCGCAACAGATCCTAGGAATGCGGCTTTTATGTTTAATCACAACATTGCGCGTGAATACCGGAGAAAAGCACACATATCACGAGAAGATATTCAGCAGTAACATCGGAAAGAGTAGCAATTGCGTATGCCCCCAGTGTTGCATATCGGTCCGACGTCGCATGTGGTATCAGCAGAACGGATGCCTGCATGACCTGGAAAAAGCGGGCCGTCTGGATTCGTGAGAGCTTCGCTTGATCATCCAAGATCCATTCTACATCTCTTATCTAATCTACTTTGCTTTTTTCTTTTCTGTTTCCACCATTGTCCACAACTGTCCATGGAAGCTTTCCAGTTGTTGTCCAGAGGCGGCGCGAGGTTCAACAAAAAGCGTTTTCAGAACGACGTTCAAAGATTCAACGTGCGTTTCCTTAATTTTACAGATTCTTCATGTTGCTCAACGTTACAATAAGTCCAAGACAACATCCGATTCTTCAACAAAAGAAGGAGACTTGCCACTTCCCACCGAGCTTGATTTCTTCAAGTATGCGCAGGGAGGAACTGGAAAACGCAAGGCCAGCGTTCTATCTGATGGGAAGCAAACCAAAAAACAGAAAGTTGAAGATACTAACGAGGAAGATAATGCCGACGACGAGGAGCCTACACGACCAAGCAATGTCCAGAAAATACCAATGCGTCGACACCGTGTTACAAGCAAAGGCGAAAATGTACCGGAACCCGCCAACAGCTTTGAACACCTGGCAGAACGCTACAATATATCATCCCTTCTCAAGGCCAATCTGTCAAAAAGTGGTTTTATGGAGCCCACTAGTATCCAGTCTCACGGAATACCAATACTATTCGAAGTATGTGTTCTATGCTAGGCTCTATTGCATCGATATGTAATCGGAAGGTGCCAGTCTCGAGATCTTGCTGCTATTTCGCCTACCGGAACCGGAAAAACATTATCATACCTCCTCCCTGTGGTATCCTCTCTTGGTGCGCCAATATCTGCCACGGAAAATGGAAAAAACTGCTTCGGAGTTAGAGCTGTGATCCTTGCCCCAACGAAAGAATTAGCCCATCAGATTCATAACGAATGCCTAAAATTATGCCATGGGCGCAAATGGCGAGTTATCTTGTTCAGCAAGGCGACGGCCAACACGCTATCCGACAAGCCGGCCAGGGACAAAGTCGGTGCGTCTATACGTGCTGATCATAGAGTGAATCCAATAACTGAAAGCTTTTTACTGTAGACATCATCATCAGCACGCCATTGCGATTAGTGTCCTCCCTACAATCTGGAAGCATGGAGCTAAACAAGTGCGCTTCTCTGTCCTTTTTTCCATCACAGAGGAAACATAATACCTGGTTTCCAGTGTTCGTTACCTTATCCTCGACGAAGCCGATCGAATGTTAGATGCAGAGTTTCTGCCCCAAATTCAAGAAATCGTTGCTGCTTGCACTTACTCAAACTTGCAGAAAGCTGTCTTTAGCGCTACACTTCCTTCCGGAGCTGAAAAAACCGCCATGGAAATGCTTCACAACCCTGTTAGGATTGTCGTGGGTCTCAAGTACGTGTATCAGGTTTAGTTTCAGTATTAATGACAAACTCTGACTCTTCCTCAGAGACACACCACTTCCTCTTATTGCACAATCTCTTACATATGTTGCTGATGATCCCTCCAAGCTACCTAGTCTTCTAACATACCTTGCTCAACCATACAACCCTCCAGTTTTAATCTTTACGTCGACACAGCCTCGGGCGACTTCACTTGCAGAAGAACTAGTCCTCAATAGTGTACCAAACGTCGACTGTCTTCATGCTGGAATGACTGACAAGGAGCGTGAGGATGTCATTACCCGTATGCGGCAAGGTCAAAGCTGGGTGATGGTGTCGACCGAGGTTATGGCGCGCGGAATGGACTTTAAAGGGGTTCGTGAAGTGATCAACTACGATTTCCCTACCAGTGTACAGAGTTATATACATCGGATAGGTACGGCGATCTGTCCCCCAGAATCATATTCTCAATCCTTTCTAGGTCGAACCGGACGAGCTGGTAGGGAAGGGAAGGCTGTGACCTTTTTCACTGACGAGGACGCACCGTATCTAAGATCGTAAGACTTTTCTAAAAGCAATAACCAAGGCTGACTTTAATTCTGATAAGTATCGCAAATGTCTTATTGCAATCCGGTTCTCCAGTTCCAGAGTGGATAACAAAACTACCCAAACCATCCAAGCTCAAGCGAAGGCAAATGGGGAAAGTAGCACGCGCTGAAGTAGTCAACACTGCTCGTAGGATAGGTCGCCAAGCCGCAATCAAGAAAAGGTAGGAAGATAACTTAGATCACATTGGAACAACCGTTTGATTCTTCTTGTAGGGATATGATTGCCGGATCTAAGAGACGGAAAGCGAAGGTCGAGGCGGAGGCAGGAAGCAAAGGTTCTAAGGTGGGGCCAGAAGATACTTCGGATGAATAATTCACGTTGATTGGCGATGAGAATACGGTCCTATTATTTTCCATCACACTTTTGTTTATATTGGCAGTGAAGGATCAGAGTATTATCCTAGCAGCGAATAATGCTTCAATAATGCTCCGAGAGCAGTCAAAACAGGAAGGTTCTTCTATGCCAGAGTAGCTGTGCGAAAAAGCTTCGTACCCATCTTCCCAAGCTTAGCGAACACACATACGACTCGCTCCATAGAGGAATATTCATGCTGTTCTCGCCTTTTTCCGAATGGGTTCTTCAGAAAAGTCGGTTTGAAGCAGACCCATCGAATGAGCATGCTTCAACCAGGTTGCGCAGTCTTCTTTCGTCCGCTCTGGATGTTCGAGTTGCCATTCCATCACCTGTGTGAGCACTTGACCCATCCAAGGACCAGGTTTGGCTTCCAGGATCTCACCGACATCTCGTCCCTGGGATGATAGTTCAGAAATGCTTTTCTTGATAATAGTAAACTTACATTCAGAATTGTCCTTGCATCCGCAACTCCCAACAAGTCGAGCTCTTCGATTCGGGCTGCAAACTCGTTATACACACGTATTATTTTGTCGGCTTCCTCTGATGAAAGGAAGTCAATTCATTGGATGGATAGTGAATAATATAGATTCGATCACCACTTATCATATCTGACGAGGCATCATACAAGGGGCCCAGTTCTCGTACAAGAGAAAATAATATTGAGCTACTCCAGTGTGATCCCGTGCTCGGATTGTGAATAGACTTCTGACGCAAAAGCATACCTTACCGATAACCTGTTAAATACACACAATGGAGGATATCGAACGTACTGACCGATTGCCACTCTTTCAGGCTTTGTCTTGAACCGTTCATCATCCAATGAGGGAGACTTCAACAGATCCGAAGCAGCAAAAAGTGCAGGTACACCATCTGAGTAATGATTTTGTGTCCCTAGTTTAAGCGAATCACGGATGACAGAGAACGCGGCTGGATATGTCTTCTTCTTCTTATCTTCGTAGGTAATACCGATATATGGGGCGATGGCACAAGCAAGATACAATCGACTTTTGCACGTAGCATCGTTATTCACTACCGCTAGTAGTGCTTGATGTAAGGGAAGTAGAGGAGACGACATGGAGTGGTCTATGAGAGCCTGCAGTACGGCTGTACACTGCAGCGACAGCATAACCTTTTCGGGAGTGCGAGAAAATGTGTTTTTGATCTCTAACGGTATCGCAGAAAATATAGAGTCGTAAAGGTCAAATTCATTAATCAACTGCATTGCGTGCAGAGGAGAGTGCCCTACGAGGCATGAGATTGCATAGTTTAATAATAGAAAGGCACACCTTTCATCATTTTCGAAACTTCTTCTCCTACGCGTTCTCGCGACACTTTGGACACAAGAGCATTCTGGAAAAGAGAGTCGAGTCAGTTGAATTTTGACGTCGGCAGACGCGCACATGTATCTCTGTCTTTTTAAGACATTCTCCGACCTCTGGGACTGTTTCAAAGCCGAATCTACTGGCAAATCTTATGCACCGCAAGGCGCGCAAGGGATCATCTAAAAATGTTTGCTGAGGGGGAAGCGGGGTGCGAATCGTGCCTTGACGGATATCGTCTAGGCCCTGACCATGAATTTATTTCGCTATGCTACTGAAAACAGCAAAAACACGTACCCGTTCCGTGAAATCCTCGACAGAACGACTGTGAACGTTGTAGAACAGTGCATTTATGGTGATATCACGTCGCAAGGCATCTTGAAGTGGAGTACCGAAGGTCTGGGACAGAATAAACGAGATACTTGGATGTAATATTCCACGATGCTTACCATGCCGGTTGGTATCCGACTGGTGGTGGTATACTCCTCGCTCCTGAGGTTGACGAGGTCGAGTTCCAGGCCAAGTATTTTTAAAGTCGCAGTTTCGAGATGTTTGGACTGATCTGGATTCTGTGCAATTTTGCTGATACTTCCAGTTTCGATGCCACAACTTTTGGCGAACGCTGCAAGATGCTCAGCGAAAGGATATCCCATCATGCCCACAAGGGCGATATCTATGTCGTTGCTCTGGGAACCAAGCAACTTGAACGTGTATGAGAATGCAAAAGTGATAAAGAAAGACAGCTACGCACTTTATCCCGTACCCAACCACCTGCTATCCGGCACGACGTGCTGACATCTTTTTCTGCCTTCAAGTACTGAGTGCATTCATCCAGTAGGTTGCATAATCGGCCTTCGTCCTCGGTGAGCTCGACCTTGAGATCAACGGGTAGATGAACACGGCGAGGAGCCCCGACATTGAGATGGGCCATGGTAGAGAGACGCCGAATGCTCGGTGCTGCCTGGCGTCTGAGCAGAGTCATTGGCGTTGACGCGCTGAGTACCGGACCCAAATAGGAAGCGTGACATTCACAGTCACAGAATTTGCCAGTTCGGTTGAGACTCCAACGGTGTCCATAATTTGGAACAGCGAGGTGGTCAACCCCTTCCCTCCCTTTCTTGACTATTCTTCCTCCTCCCTGAAGCCTGTGTTTCTCATCGTCCTTGCCGTCATGGGCAACGCATTCAGCTGCTGTGACACCTGTTGTAAGGCCGTTTTCTGCATGCTCCTTGACGCGGCTGACCACCTGACAGTCCATTCGCGCAAGTCGCAAGCATACGAGCCACTTCTCTTGGAGAATGAGCGAGAGGCTGTAGCAGACCTCCTTCAATATCTCGAGAGTGCGTCTATCTGTTGTCCATGATTATTGCATATTCAACGCAGCATCCGCAGACCGTACTACCACCAACTTTTTTACTGGCTCGCCTCTCAATGCATTGACAACTCTTTCGTTTTCTGACAATGTCGATCTGCAAAGGAGTGCCGCTCTTGCATTTGCAGAGATCACTGAGAAGGAAGTGAGGCCCGTTGGTCGAGACACTCTAGATCCCATTCTTTTCCTGTTGAGCAGTCATGATACAGAGGTGCAGCGGGCTGCCAGCGCTGCGCTCGGAAACCTTGCAGTCAACAGTGAGTCAAACTTTCGAGTTTCATGTCGATGGAATCAATGGACTTCTTCTAGCTGATAACAAGCTTCTCATCGTCAAACTCGGTGGCTTGGAACCTTTGATTCGCCAAATGTTGAGCCCCAACGTAGAAGTGCAATGCAATGCCGTTGGGTGTGTAACAAATTTGGCTACCCATGGTATGTCTTTTTATACAGCAATTCCTTTGATGAATAGTAAACCTCTTGCCCGCTAGATGACAACAAGACCAAGATTGCGAAATCTGGTGCTCTTGTTCCTTTGACGCGCTTGGCCCGTTCGAAAGATATGCGCGTTCAAAGAAACGCCACTGGTGCCCTGCTAAATATGACCCATTCCGGTATGTTGGCATGATTCCAATCTGACAACTCTGACAGTGTGTTTCAGACGAGAACCGGCAGCAGCTTGTCAATGCAGGCGCTATCCCTGTGCTTGTCAGTCTCTTGAACTCGCCCGATACTGACGTCCAATACTATTGCACAACTGCGTTGAGTAACATTGCCGTAGACGGTACGTTATATTGGCTTTGAGGAAGTTCCTAATCGAACTAATGTTTGCAGGTGCCAACCGCAAGAAGCTGGCTCAGAGTGAACCCAAGCTTGTCGCTAGTTTGGTCATGCTCATGGACAGCTCCAGCCTGAAGGTTCAATGCCAAGCAGCTCTGGCACTTAGGAACTTGGCAAGTGATGGTAAGCCGAATGCGTTATCCTTGTCCAGTCGGAGTAATATGAAAATTTTTACAGAGAAGTACCAATTGGAGATTGTCAAATCAGACGGGTTGGCATCACTACTTCGGCTCCTACAGTCTACATATCTTCCTTTGATCCTGTCTTCGGCAGCATGTGTGCGAAATGTGTCCATTCATCCGCAAAACGAATCGCCAATAATCGAATCCGGCTTTTTGCAACCTTTGATCAACCTCCTTTCGTTCAAGGACAACGAAGAGGTGCAATGCCATGCTATCTCAACGCTGCGAAACCTGGCTGCTAGTTCGGAGAAGAACAAGACAGCGATCGTGAAAGCAGGCGCTGTGGAATCAATTAAAGAGCTTGTTTTGGAGGTCCCAGTAAATGTGCAGAGTGAGATGACAGCGTGCGTAGCAGTGCTGGCGTTGAGTGGTTTGTCTTTGAATTCTTTCTTCCTTTCCAGTCGCTGATGTCGCCGCACAGATGAACTCAAGGGGCGGTTACTTGAAATGGGCATCTGCGAGGTTCTAATTCCTCTTACCAATTCGCCCAGCTCAGAAGTCCAAGGAAACAGCGCTGCAGCCCTAGGCAATCTCTCATCTAAGGGTGAGTGGTGACCTTTATCGCCGTTTTTGGTTTGGGGACTCATGGTCGTCATGTTAGATGGCCGGTCGTCAACGGATGACTACTCCGCTTTCAATGACGTTTGGGACAAACCTGATGGCGGTATGCACAAGTATTTGTACAGATTCTTGACAAGCCCCGACGCAACCTTCCAACACATCGCCGTCTGGACGATTGTGCAGCTCCTCGAATCCAACGGTCTGGAGCAGTTGTTTGACAGTCGCGAACACAGCTGACATTTCGTTTAGACCCACAGCTAATCAGCAGTATCCGAAGTTCTCCTTTGCTTTTACCTAACATCCGAAATCTTGCGAACTCGGGAGCGTCGTCACCTTCGGAGTCTGTTGACTCTCGCCACTCGCATAACCAAATGTACGATGATGAGACGGATACCGGTGATGGCCAAGGCGAAATCCAACTGCTCTCGAGAAGAATCCTTGAATTTGTCGAGGGAGACGAAGGGATGTTGTCGTCGAGTGTGCCCGGATCGCACATGCAACCCGGATCATCTGTGGGCAGCTCCCGCGAGCATGAAGAGCTTCGTCGAAGCGTTCGGGAGGCGTTTGCACCTGGCTCGCATCGCTAGTCATTCCCGGCAGATCTTTTTGATTGGTGGATGGATGCGTGCATCTTGGGACTCCGGGCTGTTGTTTCTTGCGCAGGTCGGCAAATGGACAGTTTGTTTCCGCTACTATAATTTTTATGTCTACACCGCTGGTGGCTGACTCGTCGACGTTCGATTGTACACTTCTACATACCATACCTATTATGAAGAACGCTCGTTTTGGTTGATTTTATGCTACGAGGTGTGTATGTATTAGAATCATGAATATTACTTATGTTATTCGAGGATTTTGGCGGTGATTGACCGGCATGCACCGTAAGCAAGAGTAAGATGCAAAAGAATCGCAGAGGAGTACAGAACAGGAAATCTGGCAATAAGGGCATAATGGTGACCTCGTGCTTGATCAAATCAAACTTTCGGGGCCTCCTTGTATTCTTGGTGCCAGCATTGTCCTTTCTATATTTGTTGTCTAGATTGTTCTGCGAACAGGTGCCGGTCGTCTTTCTTTACCACCACCACATCCTACTTTATATCCCCTCTTTTCGCCGGTTAATTCTATTATTCGCCTTCAACGACCATATACAGGCGTTGCTGTCTAGATGCTCCATCTCCATGCGTTACCTACTCTGTACCTCCTCGTCCTTGTCGTCTCCCATGACGTCTCAGCAAGTCTCGTCTCTCGTGTCCATGATGTTGCACTCCGACACACCAAGAACATAGCACGCGACCTTCGCCTGGCTTTTGGCTCGGTCCTTGTCTCTCAGCAGTCCCAGGTCGACCCGCAGACGCGTTTCACTTATTGCAAAGCTGGAACATCAAGCAATAACAACACTGGTAGTAGCGATGATGGCGGAAACAGTAGCGGCAATAGTGGCCACTCCGGCAGCACGAGGACTGCATCCACGTCGAGTGCTTCTGCTACTGCGTCATCTTTTTCGTCGCCGTATAATTTGGTAGAGTCTCATGTGCGTTGTCGTTTTGATTAACCTAAGATGCGTGTTGATATGCGACGTGCAGGCCGGCACAGACTTTTTTAATGGTTGGACCTTCTGGACAACTTCAGATCCAACTAATGGTCAGTTTTTGTGTGGCTGTTTGCTCCGTGCACATCATTAAGTGACTGCAGGCATTGTAGATTATGTTGACGAGAGTACGGGTGTATGTCTTTCAGTCTGTCGGCTTGTGCTTATTCTAACGATGAGAGAGCAGAGAGCGAATGGGTTAGTAGACGTGAACTCGGATGGCAACGCTATTATGCGTGTCGAGACCACAGGAACCGTCTCGGGGAATCGTCAGAGTATTCGGATCACTACAGAGAGTACATACGATGGTGTACTGGCGATCATGGATTCTGTGCACATGCCAACGGGCTGTGGGACGTGGCCGTGAGTCCTGTCATGCCTCATATTCGATTATGGCGCTGATTCTTTTGTTACTCAGTGCATGGTGGTCGAATGGTAAAAGTGACGCCACTTATTCTGTCTGTTTTCCTCTGAAACCTTTTATAGGACCTAATTGGCCCATTGGTGGGGAGATAGGTTCGTCGCGTATAAGCCATTCTCTTACTGTATTGATCTCATTGCGCTACAGACATCGTGGAGGGCGTAAATGACTACACGAACAACCAGGCAACGGTTCATACTGATGTTGGATGTTCCTTGACATCTTCGAATGCGAATGTGCTTAATATCACAGGCACTGTAGTTGGCGGGACCAACTGTGCAGCATACGAGACGAGCAACCAGGGCTGTGGGGTACGCTCTGTCTCTGACGTTTCGTTTGGTGCCGCTTTCAATGACAACGGTGGCGGGGTATATGCCAGTAAGGATGATCTTGTTTTTACAACACCCCACGCTCATTGACAGTAGTGAAATGGGACGATGAGGGCATTAAGGTCTACTTCTGGCCCCAGAACTCAGTTCCGTCTGATGTTGATGCTGGGACGCCCGTTCCCGACACATGGGGGACGCCGATGGCGAATTGGCCTTCATCGGCATGCAATTCTACCAAATATTTCTATCAACATTCGTTTATTTTTGACACGACTCTTTGGTAAGTTATTTCTGTTTCTGGGAAGATCGAATGAACTTAATTACTGGGGTCAGCGGTGACTGGGCTGGTGAAGTGTGGAATAGCTCGGGGATACCAGGGCAAGAACAGAGCTGCGCTGCTCGTACAGGATACTCGAGCTGCGAGGACTTTGTCAGGGCAAAAGGAGCATCGTTTGATGAAGCTTGTGAGTGGCATCTGATTATTATGATTCTTAAAGAGTTTATCGCGTGCGCAGACTGGGAAATTAACAGCGTCAAGTTTTACGAACTGAAATAGTATGTAATGACTATTTATTATGTAAATATTTAGACATGATTAGAAGTGGCATCGCCACTGATGTGTCAGCAGCTGAGTAAATTATAACCCCGACCTCGCCACGGAAAATGCTCGAAAACTCTAGTCGTGATGCGCGTACACGGACGCGCGGCCTTGTCTTATTCAGCCATCCGTCCGTTCTCTATAAAAGCCATGTCCGCCCTCTCGTTGTTTCCAGCATTCCCCCATCTTATCGACAACCATGTTCGCCTACAGTACTCCCAAATTCTACCTTACTCAGTCCGAGTCGCTCAGTCCCAGAGACAAGTATTTCGCTGCCCTTGTCAAGGCCAAAGAAGCTGAAGAGGAATACTTGTCTGCTGAAGCTGTTGTTGAATACGAGGAGTTCGCCCTTCGCCGTCGTCTCAAGGAATTAGAGCTTCAGAAACGTCGGTTCCACGGCATCGAGTGTTATCCTTCGTATAGATCTTCTGATCGTTTTTCCCGACTACGCCTTCAGCTTGAGGAAGAGGAGCATTTTAAGGCGCTGGAGGACCAGGTCTTGGCCCGGGCTGCCCTTGCCCTGAAGAGAGAGCAAGAGAACAAGGTCCGCCTTGAGGCTCAGGAGGAGGCTGTGGCTCGTGCCATGCTTGTTCTGAAGCGCGAGCGCGAACAACGCAAGTTTATTGCCTTGGAGGAGAAAAGAAAAGCTCTGGAATCACAGAGAGCTCGCCACGGTGCTCAGCAAGCTAGGAATGTCGCGTTCATCCGGCAGGTACGTTACGGAGTCGGTCTGCATCAGTCGCATCGTTTTCATCATCCCTTTCAGTCGCGTCCTAATTACTCATTGTTCGACCCTGATACCGTTTTCCTCGAGGAGCCCAAGGTTTGTTACACAGTCTCTCGAAGTATTCATTGTCCTCATGCATGCCTCCAGAAGTCTCTATCGTTTGGAGACTACACCAACGTTGCGGCTGCCCTTGCCGCAAAGGAAGAATCCTCTAGGCATTGTTCTCGTGTCGGGAAGGTTCAAGTCAACCGCGATGATGCCAGAAAACCTCCTTCTAGCGTTGCAGGTGGGTCCTCCCGCGCCAACAATATCGACAAAGCGTCTGCACCCAATGCCATTGTTGAGTTGTTAAAGGCCATTCTCGGTGACGCGGTCGAAGTGAAGACATCCCCCGTGGAGTCTTCTTCGTCAGCTCCATCTACCTCCAACTCTATCGAGATTGTTCCCCAATCCAAGACATCTGATGTCAGGTCGCAGCAGTCTTCGTATACCAGCGTTGAAGAATGCTTGAATGCAGCGCTCGACCATGTTGCGCAGAAAGTAGAAGCAACAGCATCTCGTGCAGCTCCTACGATATGCGTGTCTCAACCTGCGGAGAAGGTACATTCTAATTATAAGGGACCCTTTGGTCACGAACTCATTCCTTATTTTCAGAAAATCTCCACAATAGAATCTTCTTTGAAGGCCGAGCTCGAAGCGCGCTTGAACAACGACCAGTCCAACGAAATCAAGGACACCATCCGCGCCATCTTCGCATCACTCAAGGATGAACATTGGAACGCTTCTTCGTTATCGAATATTAAAGGCAAGGAGAAGACTCATCCCATCAGCACCGAGGACGCCACCTCCAAAGACGTTGTATCATCCATGGAAGCTGTCAGGAATGTTGAAGCGGCCTTCCGCACCCTCGAGTCGGAGTTCGTCTTCCCTGCCCAGCTAGACTTCACCCCCGCTCTATCTCCAGCCTCGTCGGACTCTGAGTTGTCTCCTACAGGGAGATTGGCCTACACCTCACGTAACGCGCCCGTGCGGTATTATGAACAGTCACTGAGCGGGCTGCTGGCTCAGTTGGATTCGGTGGAAAGCTTCGGGGACGAAGCATTGAGAAGTGTTAGGAAGGAGGTCGTTGGAAGGGTGGAGAGTGCGCTGGAAGAGCTGGAAAGAGAGGTTGATGGTCGATGGCGCAGTAAAACTGCTAAGGAGGGCAAGGTAGCAGAAGAGCAAAGCGTCGTTAATGCTCAAGCTGCTGAACAGAAGGTGATTCCTGAATTTGCCTCACAGGTCACGGCACCGAAGGACAATGGACCTGTTTTGGTTGATACTCCAACTCCTGCTGAAGTCGTTGCCGTTCACGAGGATGACACCGTGGCTACCGACGTGATTCTTTCGGAAACGGCCGTCGTTCCATCTCAGCCTGAACCAACTGAATTGCTTGTCTCTGGCGTTGTTTCCGTGTCAACTGATAAGGGTAGCCTCATCAAAGATGAGGAACTGGAGCAAGCATCCGTCTACCCGCCCCCATCCGTCTATCCTCCTTCCTCGACTTCTATTGACACAATTCGACCGTATGACGTCGAGTCCCAGTCTTCTGAGGATCCTCGAGAGACCTTCCTCTTCTCAGAGGAGAACTCCGCGGACAAGGAGACTAGCATGAAGAAGAAGGTAGATGACGATACGGGAAGTGATTGGTCGGAGGTCGAAGCATAAACCCCTGCATTGATGAAACTGGACTCATAGTACATATGTATTTTCTTATTTTCTACTCCGGATCTGTATTTGCTATAGTACATTTAAATAATTTTATTAACATTAAGGTTCCCTGACCTCTCTTAACCATAAGCATCTTTCGCCTCAAGTTTTATAATAATAAACCTAGCTGACCCTTGTGGTTGTCGTCTGAATCAGTGCCTACGAGCAACTTACGAGTGCCTGGGTGTCCGTCTTCAACTACTACATACGAACGTATAGTTCTGTTTTAAAGACGGGTGTAAATACATCTCACCTTGTTAGGAATCGGGCAAACATCATTCATAATGTGGCGAATTAAATCATATGTGTAGCACATATCCATGTACAGAACATTACAACAACAATAGCGTGACACTTATTAGCGACGCCCTACGCTCCAGAGATCAGAAACACAAAAGTTCAAGGAGAACTTATTAGGTGACCTGCGCTGCTTCAATTTAGATCATTACGATCTACCACCCTTCTTTTTCTTGTTCACCACTTTGAACCCACCCCATTCGGACGCTTGAGGTTTCGGTTGCGCCTTGACCACCTCGGCGATAGACACAGGTTTGGTCATCCCAGCCGCGGAGGATGCTGTTCCTTTTCTCGCAGCAGCGTCAGCTTTGCGCTTGCTCACAAACTCTGACGCGAATCGTCGACCGTCCAGTATCGTGCTGTTGGAATATATCAAGTCCGAAATTAGCTCTACTGTTGATGGATCTGGGTCCATTGAGAACGACAAGAGCATCTGCATGATCTCCTCGACTGGGAACATAATGAAAATAATAAGACAATGTAAGCAACGTCATCTTGGAACACGCACCATTGACGGAGCTATTGAGCCCTTTCAAGGACTCGTTAAGCCATTTGAGGAATTCGTGAGATGGGGCGACCGGGTAATCCCCCATCTTACCTCCGGTCGCGGGTTTAGGTGCTGGCGTCGGTGCCGGTCGAATCGCAGTTGGAGAGCCATTAGCTCGGGGAACAGCTGCTGATGATGCCGCCGAAGGTACAGGCGTCCGAACGGGAGCAGCCGGAGGAGGGGCGGATTTACCGCTAGGTCCCACAGTTGTCCAAGCTCCCCCACCTAGAGTAACAGGACTCTTTACGAGACATAAGTACATACAAAACAGTATAGACAGCTTTATCACTCGCCTTAACAGTAGTTTCCGCGTAAGCCCTTCGGGAAGCTACAGAAGCTGCTGTCTCCTTCGCGGCCATCTTCCTGCGTTTCTCTTCTTCTTCTTGAATCTCCTTCATCGTTTTCTTCGTTGTTGGAACCTTTGCAGTTGTCATCCAAACGGGTTGCACAACAGTCGGGACCGGAGCTGACGTCGAGGTAGTTTCCTTGATCTGGGCATTGCTTGTGCGCGAACCGGCCTGAGATGTAGGGAGTCCCCATGAAGTAACAAATGGTTGAATCTCATCGTTGGCAGCTGAGGCAGATGCGGCGGCACGGGCGCGTTCCCTCTCGGCGGCTTTGCGAGCATCTGCCTGCCTGGCCTCTACCTCCTGGATTTCACGTAAGCTTAATGAAACGCCTGAGAGTTTGCCAGCATCGTCATCTTTGACCCAGGCAGGTTTGTGGATTGGAATGGGAGGAGAAGCTATAGGAGATGGAGGTCGTGGAGCAGGCTGGATAATGTTTTGTTTTGATGGCACAGACGCTTTGGATCCCCTAGACTTTCTGACAGAAGACACATGGAGAGAGTCTGCCTGCATTTCGGCGGGCGCTGGTTCCGGTGACTGCGCGATGGTTTGGGGAACGGCACTTTCAATATCTGATGACTTGTTATTCTGCCTGAAATCGTCTTTCGAGAGACTGCGGGAAACAAAGATATCCTCCTTCCTATTTTCCGTGGCGGGTTGCACAGGTGCGGGCCAGGGAGATGGTTCAATAGTCTTGGAAAGGCCCGCCCGCGGCAACGACCCAGATGTGCCCCAGGGTGAAGGATTGACCGTTTGTTCAAGCAGTGAAGCATTAGTCGACGGGGGATGGTTCGAGTCGAACGGGCCACTACGTCGAGGGGCAGAGGCTGGTACATCTTGAATATTTCCCCATGGTGATACAGGAGTAGTAGAACTGTTGTCTGGTATCGGCTGTTGGGGTATGCGGGTGGCGATGGACTCAGACGGCTGCAGGACGAATGTCTGGTTAGGGAATGCATTGTAACTGTTAAACGTCGGCGGAGGGGAAGCATCTGGGACAGGGTCCAGCGAGCGGAAGTCAGTACCTCCTCCAAAAGCGTTAGTGGTATGCAGGTTATCTTGAGACGCGACAGGCCCAAAACCGCCGGGTAAAGAGGACCCCAGTCCATTATTGTGGAATGATGACGGTAGTTCCACTGAGGCTCGCCCCGAGTCGAAGCCAGAGCTGATGGCGACGGCATTGCCGGTAGAACTTAGCCAAGGGCTGGAACTGAACGAACCATTTACCAAGTATGTGTTATCCACGGTGGAGGTTCTATTTGGTGTGAATTGCCCGTATGATCTGTGATCCATGCCGCCATCGGCAAAATTATTTCTTCGACCCGGGTCGGGTGAAATGAAATTTCCAGCATGACCTCCGAAGGCACTGGGATCCGGAGATCCGTTACTGTATCGGCCCGCTCCCAACGATGAAGTGGGGGATTCCGACAGGTTAGAACTCCCCAAGTAACTGTCCAGGGTCGAACTGCGTAGTGAACGGATGGGAGCAGGCTGGAACGGAACGTTGAACTGATCTTGAGAAATGGCGTACATATGCTGAGGAGAATCAACATGACGAGATAAGCCAGGAGGGAGAGCTGGGATTATTGGGGTCAGGAATATCTGGGGACCACCGACACGACGAATCAGTTCGCCTACGGACATCCAGTCGGTGTCGAGGTGTGTACGTCTCATAAGTAGATCAGCAGTAAAGTATCCTTCGTCGTGCCATTTTTGCATCACACTCGCACGGAAAGGACCTGCAAACGGAGATTAAGCAATCGAAACAAGGAAAGACAAGACATACCTTGTATTTGTCCTTGAGGGTCCAAATAAGACCATTCAACGTTAGACACATCCGTAAGGCCTGGAGGAGGATATCCTGCACTGCTGTTGGCGGGTGATGCGGAACTACTATGGCCGTTGTCGTTTCCCAAAGACATCTGAGTCACACTTGCGTCGAGATTCTGAGTTGGTGAACGAGACGTTCCAGCAGCTGCTGTAGTCTCATCACCAGCACTATGAGGATGCAATCCGTCCGGATGAGGGTCAGAATCCATGGCTTGGGAAGGGCTCTCGTCCTCTTCTTTAATTTCTGAGCTCCTCCCATCTGGCTGATATTCACCCCCAGGATCTCGTGTCGTTCCTCCACCAGATTTTGCTAGACCCTCTGAGGCCCGCCGTCGAGCTACCCACGAATCTCCACCATTCAATACGCCATCAAAGCCTGCCCCCATGCGAGAAGGACGAGGAGATGGAAGACCTGTATCGCGAGGGGACATTGGCGACTGCATAGAGGACAAGGAGAGCTTGCGAGGTATGGAAATTTGATCTGAGAACACATCAGCATTAATTCCATACAGGAAAAAATAGACTCTGACCTCCAATACTATCGCCTCTCCTTCTACCAGCTAAGGAACCAAAACGCTCTCTAAGAGGACTGGCGGCTCCGGTAGCTGAGTTTACATGAGTCAACCTAGGTCGCTCTGCTCCAGAATTCTGGCCAGAAGACGTAGGAAGATAATCGGTGGACTGACGACGGCGTAAATCTGAATTCAAGGAGACAGAAAAGAGCTGCAGGACATGAGGCCCGAGGTCAGCAGACGAAAACGCGACAGTACCGACTAAACACCTTGGAGCTCTACTCACCTTCTTTTCGGCCTCCCCCATTTCGCGTAGGGATGTAGGTTCAGTTCCTATTTCACGAACGACGCCTTCCCAGCGCTCGACTTCCAGGCCCAAACCACCCTGTCCACCACCATCACGGAAAATTTGAAGGAGCACCTCTTTGGAATACCTGAAAGGGTGAGCCTCGTCACGGCTATCGGAGAGTGGTGGTGGTGCAGAAGAGACGAGAGCAGAATATGTGGACGCGTATGTTGCCGGAGCACTTGCTGGCGGTGGTGGAGTCGGGTCGGCCTGCATCCGAGGTGCTGGTTGCTTGGTGCGCATCCATTCAGGGCCAAAATGCATCGTACTTGTCGACATTTTGTGATAATTTGTGTTCAAAGTGTGTACAACTCGAAAAATGGGGTTCGCGGCTTTTTTCAGAAATTTAAATAAGATGCATTTCTCACGTGGTAGACCTTTCAGGTAAGTCTTTAGGGCAGGCGCAAGTCTTCAATCGTAGTCTAAATACAATAGTAGTACCCTCAACAACATGATTACATCTTTACACGCCATACTGACGAAGGGAGCTCTGTAAAACAATTCTGTCAGAGACTGATTAGCTCTAGTCAATCAGTCCTGACCTTGTAGCCTGCGCGCTGTTGGCATGATGAAACCCATCAGGAACAGTATACCAAACGTCATACAGATGATAGAAACGATATAGTATCCATCAGTCTCCGTAATGCATTCCCCGTTGATGTCCTTACACATCGCTTTTCCGTAGTCGGAAACACATTCCGTTGCTTGCCAATCGTCAGGGCCAAATATCTCCTGCAAAAAAGGAATTTACCTTGGACAGCAATTTCTGTGCCGGCATCTGTTACCTTGCAAGTCGCCACACTGAAGAGGTCAACACCTGGGCTTTCGGTGAGCCGGGAGAGGAATGATCAGAGACAATCCTACCCTTCAAGACGAACCACTTGGGCCATGTACCCCCGAGGTTCGTAAATGTGTTCAATAACTTGGCAGATAAGGCCATTGCAAGAGGAGAAGATTCATGAACCTACCGTCATGTAGGTGCCCCCAATCAGAGGATCTGATACTCGAGTATGGAAAGCCGAAATACCAACAAACTGCACAGTACTACATATAAAGTTGGATCAGTGCGGACCATGGCTCGCATTGAACATAGACTTGCCTTGAAAACGACGCCAACACAGTTTGTGCTATCAGGAAGACAAAGAAGCCTCTAGAAATCGGGGGCATTGGGAACCAGTACACAATCAGTGTGCCAATGAGGCAAAAGAATAGACGAGGCACAAAGGCTATGACCCATGGGCGGAGTGGTCGATCACCCCGAGACCAGCGTGCAGCCAGCCATCCGCCGACAATTTGGAAAGGGAAGTCAATAAGGACTGCGACGGCAAGCTCTTCGCGTCTGAATCCCTTTTCGACCATTTTTAAAGAGGTGGCCGCATCATTGGCGGCAAAACCCAGCTTGGCAAAGAAATGCATTATGATGAGCTGTTGGATATCTAGATAACAGGTCATGTCAGTGTCCAGACACGCTATGAGAAGGATCCTACGCTTGAGTTTACAGATCGCCCATATTGTCTTGTAAACACCGGTTATACTCATGTCAGCCTCGTTAGCAGGTTCTTTGTCCTAAACTCGGGGATAAGATCTGTGTTTACACAGCTTTGAACCACTAACCTCCTTCTTGAAGAAGAGAAGCCACATAGTCACTAAGTAACTGGCCACACCCCAGAACTTCAAGTACGCACTCAAGGAGAGATGCGGCAGCCCCCATTGGTCGCTGAAAAGAGATGTCGAGGCGCGTCATGATGAGAGAAGGGAAACGCACGTGAACTCTCTGCTATTGAAAGCAAGGAAGACAGTGAATGAAGCGAAATAGCCAGTATTGAGGCCAATTGTTTGGCAAGTGGATGCATATGACAAGTTCTCATGTGAGAGAAGAGTCAATGCCCAACCTAGAGCCGTTTCAATGACAGGCAAAGAAATCACGCCCGGAAATAACATACCATCAACGGCGATGTCTAAAAATTAGAAAGAAGTGAGATTTAATATAGAATAGACAATTCGGGGGCAGTACCTTGGGTGGCAGAGATAAACACGAGTGATGTGAACACAAAAGTAAGTTCATAAACATACTCGGCCGCCTGTGGATCAATCAGCAAAGAAGCCGGGTGGTACGAGAAAGCCGAACATCATCCATGAGTCTCTGGACGTTGAATGATATGTATAACATCAAAGTCCCGACGATGAACTGCATCGGTATAATCCATGATTTCCGACGGCCTATAGAAACAAAGAAGACAGAGTCGACTATGGGCGACCAAAGAAGCTTGAGAGAATATGGATAGCTAGACAAAGCGAATGTTGCTAGCTGAGAGTATGACAGATGATCCTTGAGAAGGAAGGGAACAGAGCCTAAGACCAATTCGGATTAGGAGAATCCGACGGGGAAGAAATAGATCAGACCTAAAGCAAGTCCTAGCTGAACAATATGGTTCAGTATGGTCTTGGTGCAACTCTCGGTAAATTATAGTAAAGCATACCGGGACACCCTGGATTAGGTCTGGTCGGCAGGTGAGTTTGGTTGTCCTTGGGCGATAACGGCGGGGAAGCTCACACAAGACACAGAGCAGAACCATTGCCCGCTTGTCCTTTGCGGACGTGGGATGCTTGAGGCCATCGTCGGAAGCATCCTCGTCGACATCGCGCGCAGCCTGTCGCCGCTCTTCCTCGCCAAGCAAACTCATCTCAAGCCCTTCCTCCGCGTCATTCTCCATTTCCTCACGGGTGGTATGGTGAAATCTCGATGCAATAGGTGTTCTTGGAGTGACATATATACTGTGCAGTGACGAAGACCGTGCCATGGAATCCTTTGTCGAAGCTTTCGTTGGCATATCCTCGTCGGGCCGGTGATTTTTGTTGGAGGTCCTCCGAGAAGACGTTCCTGCTCTCGGAGATTTTTTGGGACGCGCTGGCATGCACTGGATGAATCAGAGCCTATCGAAGCGATACTGAAGGTATGTGGGGAAAAGGAAATTAAGGCTGGGCGGATACGTGGTGGTCAGTCATGTGACATCTGCTACGATGGAGGTTTCCAAATTTGATCGCAGTTGTCAATCCTCTATTCCGCGCACGAATCCCTTGTCTGTGCCTCATGATTTATTTTATATAGAGAGAAAATTATACCGTTGTTGGATTTAATCTTATTCGGTGCTTCACTATCTGGGAGATTGTCTGTCGTTCTACGTTCTACAACTGCAACTACCGGTCTCGATGCTGCTCTGCTCGTTTTCCAACAAACGGGACGCGCAGCGTCTGTATTGTTCCGAGTATTGGCACTTCTTTAAACGCACATGGACTGATGCTCATCGGTCGGTCTTCATTGTGGCGGCTTTTCACAAGGTCAGGGGACTAGGCTTTTTTGCACAGATTCCTTCACTGATGCGTCCTGGCATTTCTATTTTTCGGGTAGAATAGAAAATTCATTTATATCTTTGATTCGTGGCTCTTTGTACTATGTTTCAAACAGTTCAGCTACTCAATACAAAATATAGCGACGAAGCGTCTTTGATTGTGGCTGCCGCAACGTTAATTCCCGTGGCGACGAGCACAAGGGACGCCCTTGCCCATCTGGCGTACAAGTCATGTCTAATTGCTTACCAGTCAGTGCTTCCCCCCTGCATTTAGTAGAGCCAAGCTGGGACTGGTTACAAAGTGCGTACGTATTTCATGCCTCGCCAACTTGAATAATAACAATATTAATTTGTATACGAGGTAGCCAATAATCCGTAACAAATCTGGATCTGTAGAATTCGATACAATTCTACGCGGAGGGAAGTGTATTTATTTCCCATTGCGGATTATAAATGGGCTACGAATGACGGTGAACAGACCACAAACTCGAGATCCGTCCTACTTTTACGATACAGCATCCATCTTTTCTATGTTCGCCAGACGTTGAGACATGTTCCTAGGCCTACATCATCGTCGCTGTTCTGGGGCGAGGAATAGCTCCTGTACCACACCCTGCCAGCTCGCATTATGTTCGATGGCACCAGCGTTTCTGGAAAAGTGGTCAAATTTACCGGAGTCTTCGGAGTAAGATTTTTCAGTCGTCGTCGAACATTGCGACTGTCTCTGTCCTCACGGCACTAAGTTCTTTCCATAACTGACTCTCGTACCATCTCATACATTCTTGGAGAAGGGATCTACAGCTTCCCGAAGCCCAACGGAGTTCGGGAGCAACTCTCGGCGAGGGCATTCTCTGGGTGGAAGGTATTCATGTCGTCCAAACTGATCCAACGATATGGGGGTCTGATGCGGAACACTTTCGTCCCGAACATTGGTTGGAACGTAAGGAAGAGGGCATTAGACATGGGTGAGAAATATTTTCCTTCAGCGAGGGGTACGACTTATTTCCTTTCAGATGACAGTGTGCGTCTGATCGCAGTGACAGACCTCGCTCGTGCATCGGGAAGGCATCTACGACGTGTGAGATTAAGGAAGGCTTGCGGCCCATATTCAATTTACTTTTTAAATGTTGACCCCACAACAGGTTCGTTAGTTTGCTTTCACCTGTTCCTACGAGATTGAACCTTTCCAGAGTTGTCATTCGTCCTTGTATCAAGGGTCATGGACCAAGTTCCTTGTCGCTCAGAGTTCGCAAGCTCTGAACACAGAATAAAAGAGATATAGAGATATGTTATTATATATGCCTGGAATTACTGCATCATATCTTAACATATCTTTACGGCCTGACTTATATCACTGCTGAGGATGAGTTGATATCAATCATTGGCTCTACATCAAGTATCTCGGCGTAACTGAATTGCTCTTAATAGACTCTATCTAGAACGAAAGGAGCGCATGGGTACACTCCATCAAGTCTTCTAGTTAAACAAGCGTTCAGCGAACAAGCGTACCGAAAACACCAGCCCCTGAGGAGCCCTGAGACCGATCGATGCGATAAAGCCATGATCAGCACCCACAGCTAAACCAAGGTGCCTGCAACACATACAGTAATCGAATGTAAATGAGAATGTTAAAGGGGTTTGATTTGGTATGGATAATGATAGTTTGTGGGGAAAAAATGCATCAGCTTCTCCATCCGACCAAGTACGATTATGCATATGTGTGCGGCGTCAACTTAAGTCTGCAGCCGTCCTTGGGGAATAGTGTTGCGATGATCCTGCAAAAGAGTTATAAGCCTTGTTGGATACTCAATAGTGTATACTTACTCGACTTGTTCACTCTTGGGCGTTACGTCGTGTTCCCAGTCGAACATTACAGCAGCAGTCCCCAAGACAAGCGCGATGTTCATCATTGCATACTCCAAACCAATACACTTATGTGGGCCAGCACCAAAGACAAGATAGTTCTTTGGGTTGGCATTAGCGGAGCTTTGAGGATCAAGCCAGCGTTCAGGCTGGAGCACATCGGGGTCTGGGAAAACTTCAGGATCATGAAGAGCATTGTAGAACGAGGGAATGATCATGCTCCCCGCAGGCACGGTGTAGTCGCTGGCAATAGGAAAGGCTTTGGTCGTTTTATACGGAACCTTGAAATTGGGGATGAGATGTTAAACCAGTCAAATGGAGAGAACAGCATACCATAGTAACCGGAGGTTTGATTCTCATGCTCTCCTTGACGAAAGCTTGGAGATAAGGCATTTCATCCATCATCTCGATCGTGAGAGGTGCGTCATAGTTTCCCTGACGAACACGTTCCTGTTCCTCTCTAACCTTAGCCAAGATATCCGGACGATCGGCAAGGTGTTGGAAACCATAAATCAAGCCACTACTCATAGCATCTTGAGAAGCAAAGAGGAAAGAGAAGATAACCATCGCCATTTCAAGGTTGCTAAAGTCACGCCTCCCTTTCCAGCTGGGATCCTGGAGGATGCGAACCCATTCATCAAGCAAGCAAGCAGGCTCACCACCCCTGGCCATAGCAACCTTGCTACTAGCTGCCGCAAGCTCAAGCCAGTACATGGCCACCTTTCTGGACTGGATGGCTCTGTAAATCTTGGTTCCGGGAAGTGCGAGGGGAAAGTTGACAAGCTCGAGGGCCAAAGTGATTGCCCAGTATTTTTCGCTGATTTCCCGAGTAGCATGCTCTGGAATATAGTTGCCACAGAAAACGCGCAGTGAAGTATCCATATTGAGGTGGCGCGCAGTCATCATGATAGGTTTGGGAGATGGGTCCTTTGCAGCCTCAGCAAGCCAGTCTTTAAAATGCTTTCGAGTGATGACGTCCTGAATAGCGATATACATCCTGAAGGTGATGATCAAAAGATGGGAGATGAACTTAGTAAGTCGACGGACCCAATAGCTTTCCGCGTAAACAAGGCATTAAGACTCCGTCGGTAATCTACGTGTTCCTTGCCTGTCAAAAATACCCTAGAAATAAAATGTGTGTAAGAGAAGCGTCTTAGTAAAGGACCTGGAAATGCATACCAGTTATCGGGGAGAAGAACTTGTTTCGCTGAGTGGACAAGACAAGGCTCGGCATAGGTGGGTGAGTTGAGAATCTTGCGAGCGTACTCCGTCGATGAAGCCATCACGATGAAGCTTGTCAAGAGTCAATGACACGTCGTACATTTTCGAACGCCTCTTACATATTAAAGACGCTGATGGCGCTGAGGGCGCCCGAGTTCCATTGCTTCATGTAGCCCTCCATGGTCGGTTTCATGGAATCCGCAAACTTGCCGATAATAGGAATGGTCCATTTATCGCCGGGCAAATGACGCTTTTTATACCGATACACCGACTGCTCGAGGATCAACAAGGAAGCCAGAATGACTGTCGTGGTGACAAGCCACGTCGCCGACGGACTAGAAGAGAAGGCAAAAACGGACGGAAAGGCATAGTGGGACGCGCCGGACGACGAGGACGGAATGGAGGCAGACCGGGAGGAGTCGTTGAGTGCCATGGTGGAAGATAAAAAACAAGGATCCAGCATAGACACGACTGGGTAGTCTGGGCAGACAACTGCCCAGAACGGAAACTAACTATGGCACGATAACTTTTTTCTCCGGCCAATCACGTGAAAATGCCGTCCACAATGCACGTGACAGAGATCAGATCACTCGTCATTCAAATTGTTGACCCTTGTTCGTCATAAAAGCGGATTCCAAGGGTAGGGAGTGTTTTTGTAGACAAATCTCGAGCCACCCACGATTTCCTGTCGAGAGGTTCAGTCAACACTGCCATCAGATTTTTTGGATGGTCACTATTTAAGTTCATATTCAGTAGTGCAATCACAGCCATACTTTAGGATATTTTTTTATTCTGTAGTACCTCAGTCTTTTACACCCATTATGAGTGAAGACTGAGGTATGTTTTACTACTTTACATATTGACCTAGTACTCATACATATGTAGACCATTGTCTCTTGACAGATGCTATTAATTCAGTCTTTTACACCCATTACAAGTGAACACTGAGATTGTTGTCTCTTGACAGGTTATGTGGCCCCGCTGTGCTTAACCTTGTTGATTGTAATCCTGACAACAGCACTCAGACTTACCAAAGACTCAAGAAACTCAATACCAAACTGTAGAGTGAAAGCCTGAGAACATAGACTTTTGGCCCTCATAGAACATCATCTAGAAATAGAAGTTGAGACCTCTATAATTTTTTTATTACTTAGAAATATCAATGATAATGAACCAAGTCAGTGAGCATTGGCCACTCTTGTACTCCAGCAGTTTTCATCAGATCCATATGTAACTTTTCCTTCAAGATGATGAGATACTCTATTTTGAGTGTTTCAAACTCGTATTTTTCTGGTTTTAAATATAAATTGTTTTCCCATAGGATTTATAACACCTGAGGTTTCATGAGCAACATTACACTAAAAGATTATAGAACACAAAAAATAGCCCACCGCGAGGGTCGAACTCGCAGCCTTCAGATCCGCCTAGATTTCCTAAGAGTCTGACGCTCTATCCGATTGAGCTAGGCGGGCAGCTACATGTGCGTTTGGTTCACTTTTGACTATTATATCAATAAAATGGAACGACATTTCTAACATCCAAGTCACACGTCGTTTTTGACTATGTCTCATCTTAGAACTGTTCTACGACACGTCACTGCGTCTTGCTGTCCTGGATCTTATTGGCGGACAACGTTGCGGCTAGGTTGGCGGGGTCTGCATAGTGGCGACCGCCAGGTGAAATATGCTGAAAAGTTACGCCTTCGGGCTGAGCAGTACGGTGAATTTATTTCCGCGCCATTACGTCTCTCAGTATACATACCAATATCTCACAGGACTGGACTGAGCGTAGAGGAGCTCAAAGCGAAAGCAAAGAAAAGTTTGGAGGAGCAAAGGCAGCGTGAACGTCAAGAATTACTGGCATCCCTGCCCCAGCCGAAATTATCGTCCGACGAGCAGACATCGGGAGCATCAGTCGAACTAAAGCCCGAGACCCGTAAAGATAGTGCTCCAGTCAAAGTGTGTTCTCTGTTTGATGTCATTTCGTCGCCTAACTAGTTTCTTCATCAGCCGCTGTCGGATATTTTGAATCTGCCTCGCATCCTGAAGACCACACCTGAGCAACTTTCTGCATTGTGGACAGCTTACCATGCTTCACGATCAGACGGTACTGGTCGCGGGTTTCTTTGTGCAGCCATTCCTTTCTCTCTCTACAAGAAAATGACAACCGTGGCCATGAAGTACCCCTCGTTTATCATTCCTTTACCTCGACCAGACACTGAAAATCCCGCGAACGAGAGCAAAGCGAACTATGAATTCTTCTTCATGCAATGGGACTTCCATCACTCTCCTTCAAGTCCCACTCGTACCGAAGATCCTTTTCAAATAACTTCACCGGATGCATCCTCGATCCCGCCCATCTCGACTGTTCTGTTCACGCCTCTTCAGGAATACAAACATCGTAAATCTTTTGCCACCCCATATCTTGTTTTGACGCACTACACCGATCTCGTGAACACCCACGGCATCGTTCTTCTGAGGGGGGAAATCACGCCTTCGACAGCGAGTGGAGAGGCGAGATATATGTTGGGTCAAGAGGACGCTCAATTACTGGCGGTGGGTATCCAAAAATTCTATCTTTGGGGTGAGAAGGATGCAGGGCCAGCCGGCGAAAGGTTGCTCACGTCCTTCCATGACAATCCTGAGCAGTTCAAATGGGAAGAGCTTCTGAAGCTGTATAGCAAGACCCCTTGATCTGGCAATCGCTCATTATAATTGAAAATAGCATTAGATCTATACGAGAGATATGAGGCCATCTACCGCCCGGCGAACCGATGAGGTTGCCCGTATTCCCCGCTCGCAATCCGTCTTTCTGTTGCTGCTGTGACCATATCTATTTGTTCTTCAGTTACAACTGGATTTTTACCAAGAAGCCTGTGAGAAATGAGATCTATGCAATATAGTGAGCTACGTGACCCTACCGCTTCTTTGGTTTGGTAGTTTTCTGCTCAGCAGCTACCGTTGATGAGTTGCTCCACCCTATTGGCACAGCTGTTATTTCATATTCAAGGGTCAGTACGCACAATGACGGCTTGCCTTTAGCCGATGGAGACTTTGGGCGGAAGCTGTCAGGATCGCTTTCATCTCCATCCAAACTTGTCAGGTCGGAATCCTCGTTAGGCAAGGTCAAATCGACACCGTCAGTGTTCTGCGTAGAAATCAACACCTCCGTATCAGTTCTTTTTATCGTGGAGTATATCAGTCACTCACATCGCGTAGCTGAGTGCGACTAACGGGGGGAAGCCTGTCTTGCTTTACGGGGCTAAATAAACCTGCTTGATGAAGCATGTCTATCTTTGCATCCGTTTTAAGATTGTTCTGGTCAATCTACAAGGCGATACCATCAGACAAATAGACGCATAGAGAGCACGCAGCGGGACCTCGTTCCGTAGTCTCCGCTCGTAAGTATTCTCGACCATCCTCATGCGTTCTTCCATCTCTGCCATCACTTCCTCCCGGGTGTCGGCTTCTATATCAGCACAGCGAAGCTCTGCTTCATACAGCTATTTGGTCGTCAACTATCCTTGTCTAGTTCTGAGATGAAACGGCTTGCCTGTAATCGTAGGTGGTCGATTTCTTCAAACAGAGCATCCACGAGTGGGTTTGCGGGATATTCGTCGTCGTCGTCTCCGTTATCGCTACGCTCAGCTTCATCAACTATAAACTCCTATTAGAATAGCCCAAGCAAGGCAGGGCTTCGCGAGGCGCACCTTCCAACACTTCAAGAACGGCGTCTTTCATGTTCTTCCCACTCCCGGCACCACCGGTCGAAATCGTAACCTTTCGTCGCATAGGCTTTGGTACAATGTCGGGGTTTCGCATCGTCAAAGGCCCCAGTTGTTTGATGATGTTACCTGTGCTCTTTCCGGGTACAATGTTCAGCATGGAAGGAATTTGTTTTACGGGCGCTGGTGCAGGTGTAACATACACCTCCCTAGCTAAAGCAGCGAACTTCATGACGTGAGAATTTTCGTCGTAACCTGTGTCGAAAGGGTTGACATTGACAATCATGACCTTGATGTCATATCATCAGCAAAAACAATCACAAGGTTTCTGCGGACATACGGTTCTGCCATCGCCCACAAAGTAATCCATTAAAGTTTCCGTGAGTTTGCTGTGTCTGAACGGCACAATCGATAAAGTTTTCTTCACATCACGAGTATCCATTCGCGCTTGTGTTCCGACGCCTTCTTGGCCAAGGCTCATGGCCACTTTCCTTTGGTTTGACCGCAGAACTTCAAGGCATTGGCCGAGGACCATTAAGGACTTGTTGATGTTGCCTGCTTCTTTCAGTCGATCACCTGTTGTATGGGTGTGCTTGATGCGCTCAGAACCTGCCAAGTCGACGAGTGTCAGCCGCGAGATCTGCAAGCTTGTTGGATCCTGAAACAAGGTGCTTAATGAGTGGCAATGTATTGTAATTAAGTTTCTTACGTTCTTTTCGCCTCGATGACCCCTCATGATCTTTATCATAACCACACCGTGACTGCGACTGCTTTCGGCGTTCGCAAGGGTCCCAAAAACGCGCCGATGTAGCTGACCGAGCTTCACAAGGGCTTTCGCCTGTGCTGCTGTATCGACGCGAAACTGTCTGAGCCCTGAGATGTACTTTCCTCTTATGTCTGAATGAGCATTATCAGAAGGTGGCGATGTTTTCAAGGTGAGTGCCTTGCGCGTAAGCAAGAGAGCCTTAGTGTTTCCGGAATGAGGCAAGGGTTGTGTAGCCGATTCGCCTTTAACGGAATCCAGAAGGTCGTAAATCTTTTCGTTATAGACTTCAGCATACGAGAGCCATATGCTGTACTCGTAGTTCCTGTCAAGATTGAGTACAGTTGGATCGATGTCAGTGTCGAATGAGGTATCGACAGGATGTCCAAGAACTTCAGCTACAGATGGCTCTGGATGTAGGGTGAGAGCAGCTGTGTCTTGAGCGTCAGACAATTCAACGCCCTGGAGGCGTACAGGCCGATACTGAATGAATGAGCTTTAAAGGACGCAAAGAAGCTGCTTGTTAGGTGCATACCTTCGTCTGCCCCCGAAGACCCTCTGTACTGTTAAACAAGACGTCCAAACTTCTCGGCAGTATGCCAGCGCTACCGTCCTGGCTTCCACCCTGGATGGTGTACGTTTTGCCGGAGTTTGTAGCACCGTATGCGAAAAGTAAAGCGTTCTGGCCCTGCAGAGCGTCACGAACCAAAGGAAGGGTGGTGCTTTGAAAGAAGTCCGATTGGCTGGTGTCGGGAGTAAACACGCGGGAGAAGGTGTAGGTGGATAGAGGCATGACGCTAGCCCGATATCTATTTTGCTGGTCATTCAGGTCTGTCATACGAACAGTTGTGTCTGAGAGGCAAGTAAGATACGGAGTGCTGGCTTCGTCATCACTCAGATGTGGTCGAATCCTGAGATATGCCTTTTGAAAGAATAGTCAGCATGGGGCCTTTCACTGTGACAAAGGCAGACCATTATCGGTTCTTGTTCAACACACGGCTCATCCTTGACTTTTCGAAGAGATTCCAACTTTGATGGAGGCTTTGTTGCAGACGTTGCATTGTCTCCCTTCGCTACAAGAGGTTTTCGAGTCGTCTTTTTGACAATTGGTTCGGTAGCAGTAGCTGCCTTAGCAGTGGCCGTTGTCATTGTCGTTTTTGAACGAGTAGATCTGGTGGTCGGCGGTACCAGTGTCGCTGTCTTCGTCCTAGTGGATGCTCGAGTCGGTTGTTTAGCTCTGTCAGACATGATGGATGAGCACTGAGTGAAGATTATGTACGAATCTCGATGACGTCGTCGCATCGTCACGTGTTGGACGCGAGCGCGCTTCTGTCACATCAGGTGATACGTGACCGTCAACGAAACAACTTATCAAACTGTACTGGCATCGTCCACACCCGCCTTGCCCGCTATTTTCCGCCTTCCATTTATTTTCTTTTCTTGTCTTCGACTCTAAATTTTTCAAACAAGTTCACTCTATTTTCTCTCTGTGATCATGGGCATCAAGGACGCAGCGAATAGGCGGAAATCTATTGCAGTATCTAGCCATAGGGCTGGCAGCATGGTGCCAAAGAGTCGTAGAAGAGCACACAGTGTAGTTCCTAGTGAGCTGAGTCCGTTTGCACGATCTCGTTTATCAGCGGTGCGCGACATGTTTCTTGGACTGTGGAAGACTTATGGAATCTCTTTTAGGGCCCCGCCAAAGGCATCCTCAAAGCAACGTCTTTGAAAACAGCGCTACAGGATGATTCTCGCGCCAACTCTCATACCGCGAACCAAGGAAGTTCGCAGTCACAAGCCGGATTTCCTTCCTCAGCAAACGATGGTGACGACCCCAATGCCACAGAGTCTATGGATATGACCCATGATTTCCAAACAAGAATACATGATAACTTTACCCGAAAATCTATGGGTCGCCGCGTTAGCTTCAGTGAACACGCGTACGTTCGGCTTTTCGATGGAAGCACAGACAACACCAACAGCACAGGAACACCTCAGTCATCACCAGGAGCGCTGTCATCAGAGAGCGATGTGCCATCTGTTCCCGTCAATGACGAGAACGCGTACCCCAGTGCATCCCGTCGTCAGAGTTCACTTCGTCAATCGTTTGCCAGCGACGGGTCTGACATGGACCTTACCACAATCGGCGGTGCATCCTCAGCACTTTTGGACGAAGAATTCGACGATTTTGATGATGACATGGAGATAACGGAGGTTTTGAATGGAAATATTCTGCGTAAGCGTTCGATGTCGACCGCCGGACGCACTCCTTTGTCCGACAAACATACCTATTCTATGCCAGACCCTGATGATGTTGCTTCTTTTTCGGAAGAACAATCAATGTCCTTCTCAGAAGATATGTCACAGTCGGAAGGTGAACATATCCAGCCGATGGAGTTCACGATTCCTCTCGCACATGCGCTACGTCCTGCGAATCAAGATCCTGTCTGGCTTCAACTTCAAAAAGCTACGCATGCGGGGACGTCCTCTGTTCCTTATACAGAGGACGATGATGTGGACCTTTTGGGGATGGACGGTGCAGAAGAGATGGAAATCAGTGACGCTTTGGAAAGATTGCAACGGGCTCGAGAATCTTTGGGCTTGAGCGTCGGCGGAGATTCTTTCTCTAGTGTGGAGAGCGAGGATAACGCTGAAGATGTAGATCGGACCATGAACATCAGCAAAGTTTTTGGAAGGCCGAAAGCTGTATTCATGGATGAAGCAGAGCCCTCCGTCCAAGTATCACCGGCAGCCGAGCCACCACTGACTCATTCAGTATACCAGCCCATCCCATCCCCAGTCCTACTTCAGCCCACGTTTACCGATGTCCAACCTCCCACAGAGCCTAGGTCAAACGCAACTAATCTCACGACATCTCAACAGGCAAATGTATTTTCAAACTCGAAACCAAGCGTTTTTAGCTCCTCTAACGTAATCAATGTGCCGTCTCCATTAAGAAAATCCCCTGCTAGAGTTGGACCAAAAACCTTTACTGCTGCATTTGCTCCCCCAGTCGCACGGCCCTCTCCGAAGCAACCAACGAAATCCTCTCAGAACTCAAAGCGCACTCATTCTCAACAATCAAATGATGAAAACTCAGAGGACAGTCCCAGTCCAGCCAAACGATTCGTTATCACTTCACCTCGACTTGCTCATGATAATGACCGCACATCAGCCTCCTCAGCTACGCCAACCCCTCGACCGCTATCACCTAGTAAGAAAGCGCGTTTCGAGAGCATAAGATCTAAGGATTCCACACAGAAGATGGCAGCTACCAAACGCACTTCTGGTTATTTTGCTCGAAGACGCAGCATCGCAACAGGATTGGCCAGTGCCCATCGAGAAGTGGAACTTGTTCCATCTCTCACTCGAACGTCTTCCCAAAAGAAAACAGGTCTTGCATTGGGCCGGGCGAGTTTGGGGTCGGGTCCAATGGATGCGTGGAAGCGATTCAATAGGGACGCAGGTAGTCCCGCAAGTGAAGAGGCTGAAATGGCAGCACAAGATCCTGAAATTCCTGTACAAGATAGCACACCTATCTGTTCTTCGCCTGATCGTTCTGTACCTCCGGAAACACCTAGTTCACCTTCACCCACTCCTTCGTCTCCCGTGACCGATGGCAACCCTTTCTCTGTTTTGGACCCTCCAAGTCCTGAAACTCAGGAGCTTCGAATGGACGTTGACTTGCAGGCCACCGAACAGTGGCGACGGGAAGTCGAGCCAGACCTGGATGAGGATGAAGGAGTGAGTACTATAGCTGAGTATGGACGAGTCTAATACATCTTCTCCTAGCCGCCCATTTCCATCCAGCAGTTCTTCGAAATGACGAACATTAAATTCATGGATGATCTGACTGCTCCCAGGAGATCCTTGCATCCCTCACAACTTGCATCTAGGCAATCTCGAAACCCCTCAGATATACGTCCGACGGAATATACCATTGCTGTTGCCATCGACATCCCTCAACTCTTATTGTATTCACGCGTGTCAAGTGATCTTCAGGCGTGGATGCAACAGAGCAAGGGTGTCTTCGCTGAAGCAGAGGAAGAAGCAGCGAAGATGACACCAGAGTTATTCATCGAGTTCTCGCGTGCGGACGAAGAAGGGAAAGCTGAATTATTGGTATGTCGTCAAGGATTTTTTTCCCCCAGTTTGTTATCAAACAGCATGTTAGCACCAACTTAATCTCATCCGTACCAATACGAGAGCCCAAGCAAAATCGGATTGGTACGAATGGAAATTACAGTGGGTTGAGGGCTTGCGAGTGACGGCGGAACAGGCCTTGAGTGATCTCGAGATGGTGAATGATATTCATACCCGATCACTTCCTCGTTCTTAACGTGGTTAATGTAGGACGCGAGAACTCTGGCGGATCTGCGAGCTCACGCAGATGACATTGTCCCTGCTCTTCAACAGGAGTACGACAGCATCGTGCGAGAGTTGCAACAAGAACAAGCAGAAGTCGCTGAGATTGAACAATGTGACCAGGATTACTTAAACGAGCTCAAAGCCTCGATTGCTGAGCAAAAGTACGTCTGTTGCAACTTTACGTGTCTGTGCTCTGACTCTGTACCAGTATTGAAGTCGATGCTCTCAAAGCTGAAGTGTCTGAGGGGAATGATCAATTAAAATGGCTAGGTGAACGCCTGGAGGAAATCGAACTTCAACGGCGCCAAGCGAATGCCGCGATATCGGAAGCAAATCGCATTTTGCATATGCAGACCCACAGCACAGAGACTGAGGTCTTCAGGTTACGAAGTTAGCTCTTTTTTCTTGTGAAGATTTTTTTCTCTGACCCTCACTTTCAGGTGAGCTTGAAGCCCTAGAAGATATGCACATGTTCCACGTGGCTAAAGTGGACTCACATCTTTTTGAATATGTTTATGCCTCACAGTTCCGTGTGTGCATACCATGCGTTAACTTCTTACCAGTCGTCCAAAAGGTGGAAGTTCAGACGCTAGATGCCGTTCGCTTCAAGTATAAGGACGATTTCCCTCGTCTCAGCCGATTTTTAGTATCAGCAGCCAATCATCTTGTTCACAACGCCGATGCAATGACGACTCGGCAGGTCAGTAATCTCTGCTTCAATAATGTGGTCGTCTATATTGATCCATTATCAGATTTTCCACCTTCTTCGTGATTACTGGTCATCCTGTTCTCAGCTACGCCTTCAAATTTCGTACATATCTATAAGGTTCCCCGTGGACATAACGACTTGTATTTCTGAGAACCCGTCCTTCACTGCGGTCGTAAACATGATGTTTCCCCCCAAGAAGGCGAAGGTTTTGGTCTCATTCCACTTTGATTTGGGTGTATTCTCCAAATGGCCTTGTTCTGTTGCATCTGTCCAATACGGAGTGGAGGTTGCTTATGGCAGCATCGAGTACGTCTCTTTCCGAATCTTGCTACTCGTGTCGCTAAGATCTCATCTATAGCCCTTCCCCCATCTCTGACGCAGTGGCTCAGCGATTGCGAGAAGCGAGTCCCGATGACAGCTACGCGTGCTTGTTGGATGCATGCATAGATGCCCACGAAGCTTGTCGGTAGGGTCTTTTTAGGCAACATATATGTATTTATGTCTTCTACTTATTTCCTTGCTTCCGTCTGTAACATCATTAATGTCATTATTATCATGCATGTCCTATATTCATGAATTTATCATGTGTCCATGTAATAAGAGTAGCGCGAAAAGGCGTGGAGGTAACGAGAGTGCAATTCGAAAAGGAATGCAAAAAGTAGCCTGTAGAAACGGAAAACAGAAAACAGAAGACCTCCGTCAACTAATGACTGCCAATGAGCTCGTAAGCTTCCGGCTAAAGCGGCTAGGGATAATGATCTCCGTGCCTCATCCCGCTCACCGACTTGCCGGCCCACAAGAACCAACATCGGCTTCAGGGAAGAGTCCCATAGAAACATGAGAAGAAGGTGCCAAGGACGAAGCTGGGAATTGCAATGGCGGGAAACGAGATGAAGTGGCTTCAGCGAACGACGCCGCGACAACCTCCTGCGAGAAACTGCAGCGCCAACGGTCCATTCCCAAGCGGTGACGAAAATGCAGCTCAACAAATTGGGTTTAGACACAGGTGCGGTGGAAGTGAGATCGGTGTCGACAGCAGGGTCGGTGTGCTGAACGGACTTCTTGTAGATGATAGAGGACCTCGCCTTTCCCTCTCTGCCCTTGGACCGGTTCGATTTGTTGTTGTCCATGGAGCTTCTTTGAGTGTACGTGTCAGAGAGAAGAGGCGACTCGTTAGCTGACTTGGAGGACACACTGTCGTAAATGTAGCGCTTGGAACGTAGGTCAACTGAGATTCGACGTTGGCGAGATAGACTGGAAGGGTAGAGAGGCTTGTTAAGTGAAATCGTCAGAGCCATATACCGGCGTCGCTATACCCAACGCACTCCACGGACTCTGCGCCACGCCGAATTATTGCTGCAATAAGATGCTTGATTTACCGATGAATCCAAATCATTGCAGCCAAAATGTAGGACGTAAACATTTTCAAAGCAAAACTGTTCATAGCGTTCAGACATAAATGATAGTGGTGGGTAGTGGACAAAGAGACACATCATGACATTCGCGCCTATTACACAATTCGGATAAACAAGTGTACATAACTCTTCGCCCAATCAGATAAGGTCACTAAGGATCATATCAGTAGCTGGTAGAAAGGAACATTGAAATTTACAAACGCGACATTGAGCGGCATCTCATCAATTTGAGTAGAATAAAACTCTTGAAACACCCAGATGTCAGTGTGAAAAAAATCGCAACAGAAGTTCCTGCTCACTTTCGATATCCCTCAGCATGGGCACATCACTGCTGGTGACAAAGTTGATAGCAACACCCTTTCTTCCAAAGCGACCGCCACGACCTATGCGATGGATGTAATTCTCTCGGTTCGTCGGCAGGTCATAATTGATCACCAAAGACACTTGTTGTACGTCAATCCCACGAGCAAGTAAATCCGTCGTGATGAGTACACGAGAGGCTCCCGTACGGAACTCCTTCATGAGATTCTTACGTTCTTGTTGATCCATGTCACCGTGCTGTAGTTTCTTCAATCAGCAATCCTTGCGAGCAATTGAACAGCGCATACCATAGCTGACACCGTGAATTCGCGACTCTGCATCTGCTCCGTCAGGACATCGACCTTCCTCCTGGTGTTACAGAATATGACAGCTTGGGTGATGTTGACGGTGTCATAGATATCACACAGTGTGTCGAGTTTCCAGCCCTCCTTCTCCACAGCAATGTAAAATTGTTTGATACCCTCCAAAGTCAACTCGTCCTTTTTGACGAGGATTCTGATGGGATCACGCATGAACTTGGTCGTCACATCCAAGACCTCCGCAGGCATGGTAGCGGAGAACAAAGCGACCTGGATGTCGTTAGGCAAAAGCTGGAACGTATCATAGATCTGGGTAGTGAATCCCTGGGAAAGCATCTCATCTGCTTCGTCAATGCAGAGGACCTTTACCGCACTAGTGTTAAGTAACCCTCGGCGGATGATGTCGAGAACACGACCAGGAGTACCGACGACAATCTGAACGCCATCGCGGAGCTTTGCCATATCTTCGCGGATGCTGGTACCACCCACACAAGCCAGACTGGTTACATCTGTGTAGTCTCCAAGGGCGACGACGACTGTGTGGATCTGCGCAGCGAGCTCACGAGTGGGTGCTAGGATGATCGCCTGCGTCGCTTGGAGGTCGACATCAACTTTCTGCAAAAGGGACACGGCAAAAGCAGCAGTCTTTCCTGTGCCAGACTGGGCCTGAGCAATGACATCCTTGCCATTTGCGATCGGGATGATGGCGCGTTGCTGGATCGCAGAAGGTCTTTCAAACCTTTGGCAAAGGTATTAGAAAGGCAGATATAGCAAGGTAGAAATTATTTAAAACCAACCCATATGCATAGACACCGCGGAGCAGTTCCGGCTTTAGATTCATGTCATCGAAACTGTTTGAACGGAAGATTAACAAAGTATGAAGGGAAACTGATAGATATTTAACGGCACCTGTCGACAGCTTGGTCGAAATTTGACTGTATCTCTTCTATGGTGGCATCTTGTTCTTTACTGGACAATAGTTAAAAATATGTCTCACCAAGAGCAGCAACAAAGGAAGCTTACCTTTTCATACAAATGTGTTAATGGAAGGGGAGTTTTGAAGATAAACTGCCTTCTGAATGGTGTAGTGATGGAGGTTGATTATTAGTTTGGTTACGATGATATGTTTTTACTGGACTGTTACTTAAATACAATCGCATCGGTCCCGCCGGTGTCTGATGAGTCAGCACTAGACCTTCGTTCGAGTCAGGCGCCACTGTAGCACAGGTTCCGGAAGCGGCAAGGGCGGGTGTCGGTTGGGTGTCCGGCTCTATCCGGGCCGCCCACAATTAAAGAGTGACGTGACTTGCCGCGGCCTGTTTTCCGGTCTTGCACCCGCTGTCTCGTCGTTGTTATGCGCTCATGACCTTCTTTTTCACAGGATGCAAGAGAAAAGTACCAGTCGAGCGTGGACACAGGAAGAGGACGATCTCTTGGTGCAAGTCATGAACCGCAATGGCGGTTTTGAAAACTGGAAGGAAGTTGCTACCCTCATTCCCGGAAGAACGAACAAGGCCTGTAGGAAGGTCTGTCTTCCCGCTGTTCCCTTCGTTGGTTCTTACTGACATCATCCTTGTAGCGATGGCTACATTCCCTTTGCCCCGATCTTAGGAAATCCGCCTGGACACCCAAGGAGGACGCGCTCCTGGTGGCTCTGCACAAAAGGCACAAGAATAAATGGTCAACTATTGCTCGATTTATCCCTGGTCGGACAGACGATGCATGTTCCAAGCGGTTTCGAGAAGCATTGGATCCTAGGCTAAAGAAGGATCCATGGACGCACGCAGAGGATACCAAACTCTTGCAGCTGTATAGTCGGTTAGGCCCCAAGTGGAAAGAGGTCGGCGAAGAGATGCAGCGTAGTGGTTTAGGGTGTCGTAACAGGTATATTCTTTTTGTCGTTACCCTGTCAAGCAATGTCGAATGGTTCTCTTTCCAGATTGAGACTTCTTGAACGAAGAGCTTCGGCTCGTGTGCATCGGGAAGAGTCGTCACCAGACAGCGTTCATAGCTCTGACGTCGACGTTGGAGAGCCAAATACAGATTCTGCCGTCTCCTCGACCCTCACTCCAGACCCTTCCTCCTCTGCGCCAGACCGTCACTCTTCCCTCCGGGAACCTCCGCTATTGTTTCCTCCACTTCAAGCCCATGATTTTACTATAACCGAGGATCCCCTGGCGTTCACCGACTCAATGATCTTCAATCCTCACTCTATACCTTTCGAGAACGCCCCTTTGCAATACAGCATCCACACCGCATCATCTACTGGTGATGCGCAGCATCTTGTCCCTTCACAAGGTGACTCGATTCTTAGGGACATGGAATTACCCCAATCCCAGGATTACTCTTCACTGTTCTCACCCTACAATGATTTTGCGACCTTCGGAGACTTTTTCATGAACACTCCGTACCCGGATAGTGATGCCTCTCCTAACTTGGCTGTCCTTGACCTTAAGTCCCCACACTCCTCACGCTCCTCTCCCATGCCCGAGGGAAATGGAGTGACTTCTCAGCATGACCTGGAGTTGTTTTTCTACCTCCCGACGTTTACGGATCCTATAATTCAATGGTCCCCCAGTGTACCTTTGGATGACAATCTGGTATCCTCGGGTTTAGTTGACCAAACTGCATCCATCTCGATTACTTCAAGTATTGATATGCCGGCGCACAACCTGGTCAATCCTGATTCACCTACGATGCCTCTCTCCCCATCTCGGCACTATCGCCATTCAGCAACGCGAACTAGACCCAGAAGGAGGACGCCGCCGTCTAATGACACCCGAGTTTCTTCCGTGAGGCCGGCCGCATCTGAGTAAGGGTGTTGTTGTTCGAATACGTCAACTTCTCATACTAATTGTCAACCCAAGTCCAAACATCCTTCCTTATGCCTGTGGTTACCATAATTGTTGGCCACGAGAACGGTTTGCCACCTCGAGAGAATTATTGTATCATAGTAAAACCCACGAGCATGAGGACGAGGTGTCGGACGACGGCACAGACCGACTTTTCAGATGCGCGTTGGAAGGATGTGGGAAATCTTGGAAGGTAAGATGGTATTACAAAACATTTATCCTGATGCAGACTCACCTTCTGCAGAGTATAAATGGCCTTCAATACCATCTTCAAGTGTGAGTTTGTTTACCAAACCAACATACTTTGATGCTATTATCATACAGATCTCCCGCACATTTTATACAGGCTTTGTCTTCCAAGCTACAGGCTACTACGAACGCCGTCTTGAGCGAATCAGAATCCTTCCGCTGTCCCAAGCCTGGATGTCATAAGGCTTACAAGCAACACGGCGGTTTACGATATCACTTGAAGCATGTACGTAGGCGGTTCGGGATCATTGTCGTCCGCAATAACTGATATCTTCTTAGGGCCATCCAAAGCGAACACCTGAGCAACTCACTGATGTCCCACATACTGTGGGAAAACCGAGACGACTACGTCAAAGGAAAGAAAGGATAGAAGGAGTCCCCCGATCAATCGTCGAGCCCGGAGCGAGCATGAAGTAGATGACGATGAAAGTAGAATGTAGTTAGCTTCATAGTAATTTGCAAGCTGCATCATTAGGAGGGTTGATGGAAGCGTTTGAGACATTGTGGATCGAATTTCAAGGACATCTCGATATGTAGCCAGCACCGCTTGCATACGCCAAGCAACAAATGATGCTGTGAACTTCTGTCACTCATTTACTCTGAATAGTAGCTAATTCTCAACCTTCATTAATCAATGCTAACCCTTTGCAGATAGCAAAATACTCACCTGAGAAGATACTTGAATTAAATCTGCCAAATACTAGAGCCTTAACACCCTTGAACCAAAGCCTTAACTTGGTTGTGTTCTCTGACGTTTAGTCTCGTCAGGTAGCCCGTCGTGGTTCAAAAAAAGTTGCAGAGCTACGATGTATGATGACCAGTCTATGTTTGTCGCAGAGCTCTCTCGTGTATCTTGTAGCTTGTAACATTGTTGCCTCACTCTTCTCCGTTTAATTCAGATCTGTTCTTCGCAGCATAAACAAGATCTTCCCAAAAGACTTCGAGGCCTTGATACCCTGCATTGCTTGCTTCGGCTATCTTGACGTCAAGGCCATCGATCCATGCTCTGCCTATGGAGAAAACGTTTAATGAGGGCTTCACTGACAGACACGCCTTTATGGCTGACACAGCAATCAGAAGGGAGGCTACTGGTGTAGAAGACATCTGAACAAGCGAAACGGCAGAAAGAGTGAGTAGTGGAAAGCTCAAGGACAGTTGCGATTCTAATTTGAACGATGCGGTAAAGGGCTCCGCGTACAGGTCGGACGGCGCTTCGTCACTGCTTCGAGTCGACCAAGGCTTTTCAGTTCGTGACTCAAAATTCTTACAAATGTCTTCGATTAGTACTTATCCCTCTAACCAATCCCAAGTCGTAACGTCCTGCATGTATTTTATATCACTGACCCATACCAAATTGTTCGGCACTGAAGTTCGAATTGTGGATACATAGAGCAAAGGACAAAGAATCGACTTACAGTTGTCTAAGAGAGGGGTTCGCCATCAGTTCCTCCATTGAGGGCATGTTACCCGACTGTACTCGGCTCATCTAAACTTCACTGAGAAGGAGAGTCCAGAGAAGACGATATATACATACCATGTCTGCCAATGCAGGGTTTTGCATTAGGTTGGCCAACCCTCCATTAGCCGCCATTTGCTGGGCCATTGCCATCATCTGGGGATTGTTCATCATACTAGCAAGATCGGGCATTCCACCACCTCCGCCGCCCATGTTCCGGAACATATCTGCCATGCCGCCAAAGCCACCGGTGCTAGCACCAGCGTTATTGGTGGAATCGGTGTCACGAGTAAGTGGTGGCGGAACGTCCTCGTCCTCGTCAACGATGCGTGCCTTTGAACTTTGCAAACCAGTCTGAAGGGATGTGTTGTTTGGATCAATCTTAAGTCCCCTCTCGAAAGCATCGGCGGCAGCCTCGTAGTCGAGAAGAGCGTATTGCGCATGTCTGAACTGCTTAGTAGGCTTAGATCATGAGGTTGAAGGACACGCACCCTAGCCGATGATACGACTTCACATATTTAGGGTCAACAGAGATAGCCTTTTCAGCATCACCAACGGCCGAGAGATGATCTCCTTTGCTAGAATGAGCGGCGGCGCGATTTGAATAGTAGATTGGGTTGACTGGATCGAAAGCGATGGCCTTGGTGTAGGAAGCGATGGCCTCATCATACTTCTTTGCGGTCATTTGCGAGTTACCAGCCTGCTTCAGTTTCTCTGCCTGGGCTTTATCGTCAGCCGTAGGCAACTTGGATTGCGAAGTGGAAGCGCTCGCGGCAGCAGATGTACCCTGCGAGGCGGCGCCAACTTTGTTCATGGTCTTGAGATAAACATCAAAGATGTTCTGCAGCGTTGCAGGCTTGACGGTCAGGCGTTCTACCTGCTGCTTGCTGAGAGGGTCGACTCCGAAGGCTTCCCCAATGCATTGAACTATAATGTCACTGCCATATCAGACGTGCCCTTGGTTGACGAGAGAGAAAGAACCGACTTGCAATCTCCAAAGATTCCTTATCATCGGCCTTGACAGTGCCATCGATGATGGACTGGTTCAAAAAGTCGATAATGGAGAGAACGAGGCGCTGCTGCTTTTCTGCCATCCGTGATGCTGGACGATGAACTGACGCAGGGCCTTCCAAAACAAATCGTGGCAAACACCGGTTCATTTTCTTTTCCTCATCACCAACGACGAACACGACGAATACGAAGGCGCTCCTTCCGTGATGTTTTTCTGTGCGATATCTGGAGAGGTTCCTCAGGATCCGGTGGTGTCTTCCAAGTCTGGAAAGGTGTATGAGCGACGCCTCATCGTCAAGTACATTACGGAGAACGGCACTGACCCCATCACTGGCGACAAGTTGGAGGAGGCGGATCTCATCTCTATCAAGGCCTGTACGTCGTTTTCTCGTTTTTCTCCTTCCTTGCTGTACTTACACTGGACGCGTCAGCTCCAAACAGTGCTCCCCCTCGACCACCCACCCAAACTTCCATCCCAGCGTTGCTGCATAGCCTGCAAAACGAGTGGGATGCAATCATGCTCGAGACCTGGGCGTTGAAGCAGCAGTATACCAACGTGCGACAGGAACTCAGTCACGCCCTTTACCGCGACGATGCTGCGACTCGCGTTGTTGCGCGTCTCATTCGAGAGCGAGATGCGGCTAGAGAGTGCGTAGGCGTTGCCTTTCATCTTGCGCTCCAATTAATTCCTTATTAGGGCTCTCGCTAACGTTCAAGCAAGCATGGGTATTTCAGCGCCGATTGACAGCGCGACCGACGTTGAGATGGCAGAGAGCGGTGCTGAAAACGGGATGCCCAAGGCTATCGTCGACCAAATTACTGAGACCTACCAAGCACTATCCTCTACGCGTAAAAAGCGAAAGGCGCCTATTGGCTACGTCTCACCTGCCGATGTCAAAACATTTACCGCCAAACACACCATTCCTTCCCTCCATTCAGCTTCTCCCGCAGGCATCACTACTTTGGCCGTGTCGTGCTCGTCACCTTCCCAGTTCCTGACCGGGGGGAATGACAAGATTGTTCAGCTTTATGACAGAAGCACGGACAAGGTGCTGGCTTCGTTGAAAGGCCACACTAAAAAGGTTACCCACGTCGCGTTCCGGGAGCGCGAAGGCGACCCTACTATGCTACTCTCAGCCGGTGCCGACAAGATCGCCAAAATCTGGGCGTACGACACGGCTTCCCAGGAATACATTCCCAAATCGACTGTTCGCACTCACAAAGGAGAGCTCACAGGCCTGTTCGTGCATCCCACCTCCACCCTCCTTGCTCTTTCATCGACGGATAAAACCTTCTCCATCCATGACCTTACAAATTTTACACAAGTCTATCGCTCCTTGAGCGCCGATGAGGGATTCACTTCGCTGTCTATACACCCGGACGGAACTCTCATCGGTTTGGGTACGGCTACCTCGACCATTCAAATATATGACATCCGTGTGAGCGCAATCGCTGCAACACTGACTCCCAGCAATGCAGTTCCCTTCACAATTAATACCCTCTCATTCTCTGAGAACGGTTATCACCTTGCAGCTCCCAATGCTTCGTCGTCGGTCGGGATTTGGGATTTGCGTAAGCAGAAGGTTACGCAAAGTATTGTTTTGGAAGATGACTTCAAAATAAACAAGCTGCAATACGATATGAGTGCGCAGTTCTTGGGTGTTGCAGGAAGTGCTGGGGGCAGAATTTATGCACATAAATCATGGGAGGAGTTGGTCCGGCTTGAGGAGGGAGGGGAGATCTCGGACTTCACTTTTGGCGAGCTGGGTACTGAAATTTGGGGAGCTACAGGTCGGGAAGTGCGTGTATGGGGTTTACCTACTTAGTGCGATCCATTTCTTCATTATCTACTACCTGGTGTATCATATCTCCAAAGACTGTTGTATGGTCATGGCACACAGGGGCAACAAAGGATTGAGGTTTACGTCAAAATCCGAATAAGAGGCCTTCGCTTGCCAACGAGAACGGTGGCATTAAGGACCAAAAAGGAGGTTTTGATCATTTCTAGTCAAAAAACCGCGAAGTTACTCTAGGAATTTCTCTTCTCCCCAGGAATCCGGACAATTTTTCTGTGGCAGCACAAACCGTCAAAAAGGCCAAAATGAGCGTTGTTGTCCATCCATTTCGAGATCGCACAACTATCGTGACAACTTATTGTCATTCATGACATTTTGTACAAGGCCAGGTAAAAATACAGGCGACTTCGGAAAAAATGAAGGAATATAAAGTGGAATAAATCAGATAATGCGCATGAAAAGAATGGCCGTGACGAAGAAGGTAGGTATTGCAAAGTCAAAAATCAGGATGTTTCGTCAATCATATAATGCAGAAGGTCCACTGATCTAAATCGAAAAAACCGGGAAATAAAGAAACCGAAGCTCGGTCCTTATGACCAGGTCGACGGTCCAAATATTTCACCAGGATTTAGTGTCTTGAGAGGCAGGCCCAAGGCGTCAGCGGTCTTTTGCCAGACGGTGTTTCCCCACCAATTCAATGTAATACCACCCTTTGGGAGTTGTAGGCAAAGGAAGATAAGAATGATGGCGAACGCAGTTCCAGCGTCCAGAGCGGCGGAGAGAATGTAGTTGTATCGCATCCACCATCGGAAGTGGAAACGGCGAATATACCAGTTAAAGATGAATCCGACAAGCGCCCAAGATGCATAGTTCATTCCCGACGCTGGGGGAATGGCTAGAACGCCGGCAAGGAAGACGGGAATATTAGCGAATCGCCAATGTGAGTGAGGGTAGCGGCGGGCGAGGATATAGAATGGAATTGGGAGGATTGCACCGATAAGGAAGAACCAGAGCAAGGGATTGTAACTGAAAGGAAACATCAATCACAGACAAGATCACAGAGAATACGTAGCACTTACGTGGCACCTTTGCCAAACATGCGAGCGGGACCAATACCACCCCAGATTAATGAAGCAGTAGCGAAAATGTTTGTCGTAGGACAGGTGAAGCCATCCTTCTGAGTTGATAAACACATGTCTTCAATGTTCGCGAACATCCAAGCCTGTGTTCCGACAGCCACGAAACATGTAATGAATACCGCCACCATTTGGACCGTGAACATGGTGCGTGGAGGAATCTTCATGTAGTGACCCAACTTCAGGTCACCCGAAAAAGTAGCAGCTTGAGTGGAGCCCATAATACCCATAGCTTTGAAGATGACGTTGGCGACGGGTTTACCAGGGAGCATGAATCCGCCGATGAGTTCATACATGACGGAGAAGGCGATCTGCGTGTTGGAAATTGCTTGGAGCATAGCCAAGGGGAGCGCAGTGATGGCAGATAGGCCAAAGGCAATGAATGCGGCCCAAACCGGTAGCTGGGTCGGGAAGATCTCGATGGCGATGACAACAAGCAGGAAGGAAATGATTCCGACTAGACCATACCACCAGCTCGGAACTTCACGATAGGCCTGCATCAGACGCGAATGGACATCGCGCTCATCCCTCAGAGACGTGCGGAAGCGGCGCACAAGATCGCGGCGGAACCACACTAATAAAATGTCAGCGATGAGTTCGTAATTGACAGGAAAGCCACTCACGTAAAGTATGAACAATGACTGCCGGGAAGATAGCGAAGCTGATACCATATGCGAGGGAGAGCGTGGCGGGCACGAAGACCGGTGAGTACGCCCTGTACTTGTCGACGTCGAACACACCGTCCGTCACAACCTGACTGGCGTTATAGCTCGCACCGGTATTATCGAAGGAGTAGTAGGACGAGATGGGCAAGAAAGCAGAATTGAAGGTATTTGTGACTGACAACATTGAGATGAGTATGATAGAGAACATGACAAGAAAGCGGACGCACAGTAGATGATGGGAGCAATAATCCAGAACCAGAACACGAATGAAACGATGACATTTGCCTCCGACCACCACTGCAGATAAAGTAAGTCACCATGATACACGAAGGAGTGGAGAAAAAGCGTACTGGAGTGACCAGAGGACTGCTGACATAGGAGATCATCGACCAGTCGAAAGTTACAAGACTCATCCCAAGGCCGGACGAGCCAAAGAGTGCGTTCACGGTAACATTGTTGGGAGCAATCCAGCAGACCCAGTTGAACGCGCTCAAAGCGGTGAACAAATAGCCAGGCAAAAAGTAATAGATCATACTGCCAAAGACGACGAGGAAGAAAAATCTTTCACGTGTCATATGGCCCCGCTCTCGCTTGCCATAGCTCTTGTGAAGCGTGTTGAAAAGCGCCGAGTTGACGATGGCACCGGGCCAAATCATACTCGACGGCCACACAACATACCGACGCAGAATGCCGGCAAGGGAAAAGCCGAACACTTGGATACCAAGTACGAGGAGTATTTGGTACGCGAATGATAGCTGTTGGTCATAGAAGAGTCGCTGAGCGACTAGGATGTCGGTCGCGTAACCACCAGGGTACGCAATGTTGGCCATAACCGTGATGCATACATGCTCCTTGATGTTGAAGGGTCCGGGGTTCAACGACCAAATAAATCCGAATGTGTTGAACTTGGTGGTAGGCAGTATCCTCTCCATGCCTTTGCCCATGGGGAGTGAGAGCAACTGAATGACGAGGCCGGTAACGTACAGTGAAGGGTCTAAAGAAAAATGGTTAGATTTGCATGTGACCGTCGGGAATGGTATAGCGTACATCGCATGCCCAAGACTTGATTTAGTCCAGGGAGAAATATCGTGAAGAATAGACCAATGGTCCACCTAGATAAAATTGCGTCAATAAGCGCGATAGCAAGCTAAAGTGTTGCGTACATTCTGAACGTATTCACTGGCATACTTGGATCATCAATGCTGGACACTGCGGCTCGAACTTCTGGGTAAGGTGATTCGCTACGGGATATAATGTTAATGTCACATGAAAACAGGAGAGGAGGGTCACGTACTCGTCGAAGTCTTCCACTGCGCTAGAATTCCGGGATTCGGCGCGGGACGTCGAGTACCTGTCGAAGCGGGAGTCTGTGTCTCCATCCGAGGAAACATAGACTGGGGGAAGCTTCTTGTTTTCAAGCTCCCAAGCTTTAGTTGACGGGCGGAGGGCTTTGATGTCCAAGTTGGGATCGTTCAAGTGCTCGACGGTGAAGTCGATGTCCTCTGGCACGTCAGGGATGCCACGAGCTCTCAGATGTGGAGGCTGGTAAGGCAGTTGCTCTGTTGAGGAAGTATAAGACTTGGCTTCTTCCATGGCAAAAGCAGAGGGGATGGAGAGAATGTCAAGGAGGTCGACGAAGGCGAGGGGACCAAGTGGGGGAGGCGGAACCAGAGAACGGTCGCCCTTTTCTAGTCAGATCGACATTTGCCTTGTGGAGAATAGCGTCTGGTCGCTGACCCGGTAAGGCAAGTGAAGCAGTCGCAGAACAATTAGACAATAGATGAACGAGGACAGCTTGAAACAAAAAGATTGCCACCGAACTGCCGACATGATGTAATGACAACAGATGAACCATCTGGACATCGTTAGTAGCTCCGTCCTTTGCTCTGGTGGTCCTTTTTTTTTTTGACTACAGGCTCTGCTGAGTACTACTTATGCCTGGCAGTGACTCGAGACAGCAGAGAGACAAAGAGGCCATTACCACTGGATAGTCTAGGCACGGTATTCCAGGGGATATAGGGTGCCCTGCGCTTTCTTATTGTTATGCTTAGACCCGTGGGTGGCAATTGATTGGCAAGTGACGAGAGAACAAAAAGCGTTACCCGATCCGATCTCGTTAAGGGCCAAAAGATTGATAGCAACTTATCTGTGTACTCGTTGAAACCCTGGTTGCCAGTAGCGAGCATGCCTATACTGTTTGACTTTGCGTAGATAATAAGCAAACCAGAACAAAAGTCAAATCCGTTACCAAGCGCAAACCCCCATCAAGGATGAGCGCTTGAGCCAGCAAAAGGGGTCTTGCAGCAGCTAACCACCCAAGTTCTCCATCGAAGATATCAATTTTTCGGGGGCCACCAGTATTAGAATTTTAACCGTAACGAGCAAAGGCGGTGACCGAACGATGAGTCAAGCGACTGTATCCGACTTTGTATTATTTTCTTCGTTCTCTCTACCTGGGCGACTCGTGACTTGATCATCTTGTCGTCATCGTATCTAATCTATGTTTTCATGAATCCTTTCATTATTTGTTGACCCAATATCGTGACGTTTATTACACCATACACCACCGGAATTGCGGGAATGCCTGGCAAAAGAAAGATTGATATTCCTAGAGATGGCGTCTTTCGAAGCACAAATTGCGTTTTGTGGTCCTTTTTAAAGTTGTTTTCCAGTTGCTCGCTTGTTCAGCATTTCTGAGCATGTCTAGTATCACGACGACCGTCGAAACCTCCCAGTCTCTGCCTTCCTTGAAGCCTCGCTCGCCAAATGACAGATCGGAAGAGTCTCAGGAGGGGTACAAATATGCTCGTCTCCTTCCTGTCTTCGTCAATAACCAGTATCCTCCCTTGACACCCTTCGATCATGTCGATCCAGGTCACCGGGCTCTTACCCACTCCAATCCCAGAGCTTTCCTTGACCGTGCTACTAGTGTCTTTGATCTGACTCCACACCTTGGTACAGAAATCCGTGGTGCCAATCTCGCCACCCTTGATTCAGATGGAAGGGACCAACTGGCCCTCGAAGTATTACCTTCACACGCCCTCTGTTTTGCTCCCTCACCGCTATTTAGGTCGCTAAAAGGGGTGTTCTTGTCTTCAGGGACCAACAGGACTTTATTGATCGTGGCCCAGACTTTTACCTGCAGTTTGGAAGGCATTTTGGGCGGTAGGCTCCTCGAGAAACTTCATATCTCCAACTGGCTCAGCGTCTAACAGACTTCATATTCATCCATGCTCTGGTCATCCCAATGGCTATCCCGAACTGCACCTTGTCTACAAGTATGTCCTCATCAACTTTTACAATTGCGGTTCCCGTTAACAATGGCTGCGCAGGAACGCAAACACTACTTTCAATTTTGAGCAAAGTGATAGCGTCACGTCAACGCTATGGCATTCGGATGTTTCGTATGAGCTCCAGCCTCCCGGCTTGACCGGCCTTTTCTTGCTGTCATCGCCGGAAACTGGCGGTGATACATTGTTCACATCCCAAGTCTCTGCTTTGAAGAAATTGTCGCCCCAATTTGTAGCATTCCTTCGCACTTTGAAGGCAGTGCATTCAGGTGTTGAGCAAGCAAACCACTCTCGCACTGGAAAGAGGGGCGGTATCGTTCGTAGGGAACCTGTAGAAAATGTCCACCCCGTGGTCCGCCGTCATCCTGTCACTGGTGAGGAGGCACTATACGTGAACAGACAATTCACGCGTCGTATCGTTGGTCTAAAGCGGGAGGAATCAGGTAAGCAGAACCCACTGTTGCTACGTCATGGTTTCTCATTACTTCGGTCCCAGAGACCATTTTGCGATTCCTTTATGACCATATTGACAAAGGTGGGGACGTCCAGGCCCGCCTCAAATGGTCTCCCTATACTATTGCACTCTGGGACAACCGTGTAACTGCTCATGTGTGTAAATCATTCGTCTGGAAAATATTGTGTTGCTAATGCATGGTGTAGTCTGCCATTGTTGACTATGCCGATTCAAACGAAACGCGCCATGGTGTTCGGATCACCCCTCAGGCAGAGCGCCCTATCCCGGCCTTGGAAGGACTGGATCTCAGTTCATAAATGTAGCATGGAAAACAACTTTTGTATTATGCCCATATGTATCCTTAAAAATCATAGTAACGTTGGCTGCCCCAAGCTGGTTCAAAAAATTCGTAGGTTCCTGCTCCGGTGTACGACTTTGAGGCGGTTCGGCCCCATGGGTGGGGGCGTTCCGCACGTGATGAGAAATTGGAAAGTGGTTTCCTTCTCCCACATCTACCAACGCAGTTTCAAACGAAATCACTGCAGATTTTTCGTCTTGAAAAGAGCAGTCGTTCTTGGGGGATAAAAGCCATGTCGGCCGCTTATTTACTCTATTGCAGCATTTGCGTCACCGTACTCAAGGAACTCAATTCGATCGTGTTAGAACCTTACATGGTACATCCGTAGTACTACTATTCCGGCGCGTCACTGTGCACTGACATTCACACGAATATTCAGGATGAGCCCTTTCATATTCCTCAAGCACAGGCTTATTGTCGCGGAGAGTTCACCAATTGGGATCCCAAAATCACTACACCACCTGGCCTGTGCGTGTCTTTCTGGTCATGATAGCCATGAATGATAATCGTTCCCTAGGTATGCAATGAGTGTAGTGCTTAAGAGCATGTTTCTGTTCAAATGCTCTGTTCCGATGCTTCGACTCACCACAACACTGACTTTGCTGGCCCTGCCCCTTGCGTTGACACGACTATTGTGCTTTCATCAGCGTGTTCGACCTCCCTCTGCCATCCTTTCACCCACCTTTGAATCCCTTGTTTTGGCTTCGTTTCCTATAGCATGGTTCTTCGGGTTTCTCTACTACACCGAAGTTCCCAGCTTGGTTTGTGTAGTGTTGACAGTGGTTGCTGCAGCGGAAGGGCGTCACTGGTTAGCCGCGCTGGTATGTCACCTCAATTGTGCTTATACGAGTCAGCTTAATGCGACAAGGATGGTAGCTAGGACTCATCAGCTGCACATTTCGTCAAACCAATATCGTCTGGGTCATTTATGCCTTTGCCTCGAGCCAGCTTATGGATATGCGTTTCCGCCGTCCCGCTTCGGGTTCTTCGCTGGGAAGCAAGCTTTACGATCCTCCGGCATTAGCTGCGGTCCCCAGTGAGTTTGGCAGACTCCGGAGTGAACACTCAACTTCACACGTAGACAGGCGATCTTATAAAAATACTGAAAAGCACTCCTGCCGTCCTCCCTGAGCTTCTTCGATTATTTGCTCCGTACATGCTTCTTCTTGGAGTCTGCTTTGTTTTTGTCACATGGAATGGGGGCATTGTGTTGGGTGGACTACGTCTTACTTCTCATGTTCTGGCCAACTCACTTACGTTCAATCGATTAGGGGACAAGTCGAACCATGTACCGGTAGTTCACATTCCTCAAATGTATTACTTTGTTGCTTTTGCGACCGCATTTGGCTGGCCCGTTCTCATTTCTGGGGACCGAGGTGTCATTGGACTAGTTGGAGGTATACGGAACTGTATGTTTGGGAGTAAGAGGTGCGTGTTTTCTTCACACATCTTTCATGACTCCTGACATTATATGATCAGTCGTTCTACTGGTACATTCATAACGTCGGCTATAATGGCTGCCACTGTGCATAAATACACGTGTGTGCTGGTAGAAATCGTCATCTGGTTTCATACTCAATTATACATATGCAGAATTCATCACCCATTCCTACTCTCCGATAACCGCCATTATACGTTCTATGTCTGGCGTCGAATATATATGGTACACCCCCTAGCACCATACGTGCTTATTCCAGTTTACATTGCTTGCGGATGGGCGTGGTTTTTGCGTGTTGGTACATATCCGTCTTTCTTGCAGTACTGGGTGAACAACTGACTGGATGGCACAGGTCACGACCAAACCCTTCTTCAGACCTTGATCCTTCCGGTTTTCGCATTGCTCACGCTCATACCTACGCCTCTGTTAGAACCACGCTATTTTCTCATTCCGTACATATTGCTTCGATCACAGGTTGCGGATGTGCCTGCGTGGGGGATCGCACTAGAAGGAGGCTGGTACGCTGCGATGAATGCCGTGACCATGTCTGTGTTTTTATATCTGCCAAGAGACGGCGTAGGACGATTTATGTGGTGAAATACTGAACATTGCCGGATTCCTGTCTTTTAAATTTAAAAGTTTGAATGAGGCACGTGGTCTACCGGAAAAGGCAAGGTTGGTGTTAGAGCCAACACTGGCAGCTGCCACAGTGGCTTGACATTCTTCACGCGATACCGCGACGATTTCACGACCCGACACGTATTTTTCTTACATTCACTGGGTTTCTGTTGCCATGCCTGCCATCGTAACAGCGCCAGGGAGCCAGAAGGCTAAGCCGACCACCAGGAGCTCTATACGACATACCCTGGGATTTGCGTCCGTTGGTAGGGCCCTGGCAGACGTGATGAACAAAGAGGGAAAGGATGGAGATAAAAACGCAAAGAAGTCGCTGAAGGAATCCCGTCGCTTGAGCGCAGTTAATATGCCTGTCTCTTCGTTTCGGACTGCCAACTCGTCGTCGCCGGGGCCAAAGGTGTCTGATACACCAGACTCAAAGACCATTACCCGACGCAGAGCATCAGTGGCCTCCGCTTTGCAGAAACCCCGCGACGTCACGATGGCCCAGTCGACCGTCGTCACTCGCTCGACTTCACTTCGTCCTCGCCCCACAACCTCGTCTGGCCTCCCAAAGTATCGGCCCAAGTCGGTCACCCTGGATGTCGGTGCAAAGAAAGCGCCCTCTCCTGTGAACCCGTCCCGGAAGCGTCCCAGCACCTCAGACAAAGAGGAGGACCTTACAACCTCTGATGACACTAAAAAGGTCGCTCAGAAGGTTTCCAGACCCATCAGTCCATTACCCCAGAGAGCCGCCCTGAAGGCTAATATGTCGAGGACGGCCAATGTAACACCACCTGCTACTCCCACAAAACTTAGACAAACCCCTCCTTTGAAGACATCTGCTCGTCCCAATAAGATCATCAAGGTTGCGCCTGCGGCTGCCCCTTCTTCATCTTCGTCGTCTACCAATTCATTAGTTCCACGAACCCCCCAAACCCCCAAGCCATCTACTTCAAAGCTCTCGTCTGCAAACAAGGCTCATCACAGCTCCTCCTCCAGGAATTCTCCTCATCGTTCTCTCAATGAATCCCCACTCGCACGCCACTCACGACAGAACTCCAAAGCTAACCCTCCCATGCCGCCCCACGCTGGTAATATGTCCCATATATCCGAAGGTGGCAGCGATGACGGAGATGAGGAGGACGTAGAATTACTTCTTGCCCCTGTTGCTGTCATTGACGCCCCTACACCTGCTATGCCGCGTATACTTGCTTCTCGCCAGCGACAGGCCCCCGAGACACCATCACGATCTACTTTTCTACCATCACTCTCCGATCTTTCGTACGCTTCCCCTCAGCCACCAAGTAATGACAGTCCAGCATCCCTTCGTCCTCAGCCAATTTCAAGGGGGGCTCCCAGGGGATCCATCCTCTCATGGGAGCAACTTGCTGATGAAGCGTCGCGTACTCTGGGCGAAGACGAGATCCAGAATATGATATCCGATGTTCCTGCTCCATTCAGGTCAGGAACAGCATCTCCCGTGTCATCCACTATGCATCTAGAGTTACCCGAGAGCCCGTGCCTTAGTGCCATGAACTCCCCCGGTGGTTATGGATCCATTTCGCAAGTTTTACTACCTGAGGTCACCCCTTCTCCGGCTCTACATACTCGTCGTCAAAGTCGTGGACCGTCAGAAGTCCCTGTCATCGATGGCGCTATTGTAACCTTACTTCGACTTCAGTTAGAGTCTTCAGAGCACATCGCCAAGGAACGGCGTATCCAGCTGCAGTCTTTGGAGGAAGAACTTCACCACGTGAAAGACGCCCATGTCCATGATGTAGAACAGCTCGCACTACAGGTGAAACATTTGGAGGACCAGCTTCGGAGCAGTCTGGAAGTTCGTGAGCGTTCTGCAATCGAACAGGCCATGAACATTGCCGATTTGAAGAGTCAGCTGAAGAAGGCCCACTCATCGGGTGGACATAATACAACCTCAAGGGTGCAGGTTGCCGTGGAAGATTCACAAAACATGATACTTCGCTCCGAAAGGCTGAAATGGGCTCGTTCGTCTTCGGCTCATGTGGCCGCCATGCGTTGGACCTCTGTCAGGGAATTTGCAGAGATGGAGCTCGACGTTGTCAAGAGTGACCAAGAAGTTTTATTGCTTTTATTGGGTGAGCTGGATCTCATTCATAAGCAGCTGGCCGTATCTGTCTAAACATATTCTGTAAGTTTCTGCCTCGACCGTGTCGTGTCAAGCGTGCTAACGTTCCCACTAGTATCTTTCTTGTGTATATATGCCTAGGATCACTTTACACCTTTCAAATTGTATTTTTACACAGTCATCTATCATAGTTAATCATGATCTCATTCTATCATCGATCATCACCAAAGCAGAAGTCGACATCTTTGAAGTGCATTCGAGTCCTGACGACTCAAATTGTTTGATGGTTGCTCCAGGCACGTGACCCTGGAACCGGAACGATAGTGGCGTGGGTAATCGAGCCTTTGACGCGTCCCTCTTTTCTCATCTTGCCACCATGCTCGACGACACGCCTATCCCCGACGACCAGCATCGCGACAGGAGCCGTATTTTCGAAGAGTTTCTTGACTCTGAATCTGATATCTACAACTACAAAGATGATATTTACAGAATGCTTCGGATGGACCAGACGCGTCTTATCGTTAATATCGACGACCTCCGCGACTACAGGCGTGAATTCGCAGACGGTCTGCTCAAGCATCCAGTAGACTACCTGCCGGCCTTTGACGACGCACTTTCCGCCATTGTTTCCCGTGTTCATGATCCTCAAAAGCACGAGATCGAGAACAAGAGCTACTGTATAGGATTCAGTGGTTCCTTCGGTGACCACCATGTCACCCCTAGAACTCTCCATGCCGCCCATCTTGGAACCATGATATCCTTAGAAGGAATCATAACTCGTTGTTCCCTCGTGCGTCCCAAGATGCTCAAGTCGGTGCACTATTGCCCCGAAACACACCTTTTCCATTCGCGAGAATATCGTGACGCGACATCCTCCAGCTCAAACCTTCCACCTACGTCGTCTGTTACTCCACAGACCGACGATGATGGACATCTCCTTCAAACCGAATACGGTCTTTGCGTCTTCCGTGACCACCAGCGGATCAGCATCCAAGAGATGCCTGAGCGTGCACCTGCAGGCCAATTACCTCGTAGTACTGACATAATATTGGACGATGATCTAGTAGATAAATGCAAGCCAGGTGATCGAATCCAACTGGTTGGGATGTATCGTAGTGTTGGTGGTGGGTCCAGTGGGGCATTCAAGTGTGTCATATTTCTTTTGCGTCGACCAGTGATAACTAATAGCATTTTCGAATGTAGGTCCTTGATTCTTGCCAACAATATCAATCTTCTGTCTTCCAAAATTGGTGGTGGCATTGCGCAAACCCCTCTCACCGATACAGATATTCGCCAGATCAATCAACTAGCTAAAAAGTCGGACATCTTCAGGGAACTCTCAGAATCTCTTGCGCCATCCATTTGCGGTCATGAATATATCAAAAGGGCCATCCTTCTTCTACTACTGGGCGGTGCAGAAAAAAATCTGCCGAATGGTACACATATCCGTGGTGACATCAATTTGCTGATGGTTGGCGATCCCTCTACGGCTAAATCGCAGCTCCTGAGGTTCGTGCTCGGCACGGCACCTCTTGCTATTGCAACTACAGGTAGAGGGAGCTCTGGAGTTGGTCTGACCGCGGCTGTGACAACAGATCGCGATACAGGAGAACGGCGTCTAGAAGCTGGTGCCATGGTTCTGGCTGATCGTGGTGTGGTATGTATCGATGAATTTGACAAGATGTCGGACATCGACAGGGTAGCCATCCATGAAGTTATGGAGCAACAGACAGTTACTATTGCCAAAGCTGGAATCCATACAAGTTTGAATGCTAGGTGTAGTGTTGTAGCCGCTGCCAACCCTATCTACGGCCAGGTAAGTGAATTATAACGCAATTTTACTTGTAGAGACTCACGATCCGTAAAGTACGATATCCACAAAGATCCTCATAAAAACATCGCACTCCCGGATTCTCTTCTCTCTCGTTTCGATCTCCTCTTCATTGTGACAGACGATGTCGATGAAAAACGCGACCGACAAATTGCCGATCACGTCCTGCGTATACATCGGTATCTACCTCCTGGTGTCGAAGAAGGCACTCCGTCTCAAGACAATCTATCTCAACCTCTATCCGTAGATGGACCCTCCAACGCTCCAACTGACAATGAGGCCGACAGCAGTCCTTACGAGAAATTTGATCCATTGTTGCACATCGGTGTTGCGGCCTCTAATGCCGGCCGAAAAACGCGTAGTCAAACGGCAGCGCAGGCTGCTCAGACGCAGGTCCTCAAACTGTCCTTCGTGAAGAAATATATACAGTATGCGAAAAGCAAAGCGGCACCGGTTTTGACGAAGGGTGCAGCAGACCACATCGTTCAGGTATACGCCACCCTTCGAAACGAAATCATGGAGGGGAATAATAAAAGAGTAAGCCTCTTCAAAAAAATTGCAGACCAAAAACGATTGCTAATAGTTTTGGCTAGACTTCGCCGCTGACTGCACGTACTTTGGAGACACTGATTCGTCTGGCTACGGCGCATGCTAAGGCCCGCCTGTCTGTCAAGGTTGAGCATCAGGATGCGAAACAAGCTGAAGAAATCATGCGGTTTGCCCTCTTCAAGGAAGTTCCCAAACGTCAGCGCCGAAAGAAGAGAAAGCTCAACAATGGTGCGGCCGTTCGGAAAGGGACAGATGACGGGAGTGATGAAGAATCCGGTGGCGAAGAGACTGGAGACGATGAGCCTGCCACCGAGAGGATGAGTATGCCCCCTGCGTCTCCTAAGACGACAGGAACAACAGCCGTCCAGGACCCTGTCTGGGGCGACGAGAGTCAAGACGTGACGATGGTAGCGTCCTCGTCTGGTTCCGCTGCTGTAAGTGGAAAGATGAGCCCTGAAAGGTGAGCATGAACAATGTTCACGTTGCGAATTGTACTTAGCATCATTGTAGATACACCTTCTTTCGGTCTCGGGTATCCAAATTATTCGGCTCAAAGCTGCGGGATGATGAGTCAGTCTTCCTAAAAGATCTACTCGAGATGGTCAACGAGGGCTTGTCCACGGATATGCTTTTTGGGACAGCCGAAGCTACAGAAGCATGTCAGATCATGACAGATGCAGAAGAGCTAATGCTTAGCGAAGGGATCATCTACAAACTTTGATCTATGTCTTTCGCATTACTTATTTTACGCTGTTTTTATGCTTTCGATTTTTATGATCTGTTGTTGTAGAACTAACTATACATAATAATCCCTACGAAGTGCTGGAGTCAATCATTCAGTGTTTCGCCGCCGCAAGATGCGTCCGACTTCCTCACGGCTCAGTTCACTGAATCCAGTGGTTTCCACCATTGCGACCTCCCATTCGCGTTCACTTCCTGACCCATAAGTGAAGTCAACCGCCTTGTCCCAAACTGGACCTTCGGCCGCGATTAGCCTTCCTGCCTCCAAGAGCTTCGACCAAGGAGCTTCAACACGGTTACGGCCAGCACCAAGGGCCCCGGCTAGTCCTCCTTGGCTGGTCTCCACCCACAACTCACATTCCGCCTGTACTTCTCTCGCTTCTCGAACGGAAACATTTCCGCGATACAGAATTTGTCTTTGCATGATGTGCTCAGAAAGACGCGATGCAATCCGCCGATAAAGCAAGGTGATTGTCGATTGAGGTAAAGTCGTACGGATATAGGTAAGATGGGTCGATAACAGAGCAATAGGTGCCAAGAGCGTTTGTGATATGGCAACTTCGTCTTGCCCTGGATCCGTGCTTGAATTTGGATTACTAAAAAGCATTTTAGTACACCTGAAGGGCGCAGAAATTGCAATAAGACGCTGACGATGTCGTGGCTGTAAGATGAGGTCTGAGGCTCCCTTCCACTTCCGCGCAAACCTGTTGGACTATCATGTCCTGTGCTCGCACGGATAGTTTCCGGTAATGATTGATTAGTTCTTCAAATATTGTTTCGTGGCCCAACGGGCTTTCTTCGACTTCCGGATCAGGAAGTAAAGGGTTGCCTTGAACACGAGCTCGCAAAGAAGCGCGCATGTTTATTTCGGTCCACAGTTCCAAGAAGAACTGACAGAGCGTAAGGCAAAAAATCACAATCAGACAGGCACAGCTTACTTACCACCTCTTCGCCCCACGTTTCCATGCAGATTTCCATGTAGTTCGCGCTCAATAAAGCCTTACAAAGCCTTTGCACACCAGCCACGCCACTTGTCAGTGACCGTGTCTCAACATTTACGCTGGTATCCTCTTTGCCTCCGAGATTGACACCAAGGGCTCCTGGGACCGCACGGACAAGCGCAGAAGACAACGTCTCAAAGGCATCCAATGAGGATAATATACGACCATGATACAACTCCAATATTGGAAGCTGGACCGAAATAAGGAACCGTGTACGCTGAGTAAAATTCGGTAGCGGAGAATATCGGTCTAATAGTAACAAGATCAGCAGTGTCGTTGTTTGGTGAGTGTGTGACATGCCTGTGACTTGTTCGACAAGTGCCGATATCCTACGAGCCGAATTCGTCGTCTGTAACTCACTTGCCTGTTTTTCCACTTCGCATTCGGCAATTTGCCAAGCGTCCGGAGTAGATATGATCTCATGGTACTGATCTTCTGCGACTGACGTGGTCTAAGGATCCAGAACGGCAGAGGGGAAGGATGCACGCACATTTCTTTTCGCCATCTATCCAGGCTTCAAACCACTCCTTCTTTCCAAGAATAATGTCTGCAACCCCGGGCCATTGACTGGACTCAAAGGTATCCCGGGCAGAAGTGTCCATTGTTGTAAACCCTTCCTCCGACAATGCTGCATCGAAGGAAAGAGCTTGGTATATGGTATGAGCGAGAAGTGATGGGTGCAAGAACATTGATGGGACGGTATGTCTTAGTTTCCGGGACAGAAGCGGGAACAATAATAGCGTGAATTCGTGCTGAAACATGGCTATAATAGAAATACCAGAGTGTAGCATGAAGTGGACTCACCCATGCATTGAAAGATTTGTATTTCGTTGATGAAAGCAGACGTTGAACAACACTTTCCATGAAATTCTGGTGATCGGTTACAGCATTCAACACATGGGTGAAGTACCACTCCGGCTTGTGGATATACATTTTCAGAATGAAAGTAAACAAACATTGAATGCCAGCTTACCTTGTGCAACTGATTTGTCTGTCGATTCCCTTCAAAATGATATTTAAATCGTAGAGAAAGTGGCTGCACGAGAGTTTCTAAAGGATACAGGCCATCTTTTTCTGATCGTGTCTTTGTATCGTTATGTGAAAGAGTCTCTCCACTGCAAACAGGGCAAAGATAAGCACTGGCAATTGATACACAGCATTACAGCGTACATATTTTGAAGCTCCAAGAGATTGCAGAAAGATGCTTCGAACGCGACCCTGTCCTCTGGTGGTACAGAGGAATACCTGATTGTCATGGGCCATTCAAGTTTCTCTGCAGCAGATAATAGCGTGCTGTTTAGTACATTCTCAGTTGGGGTTTCAGCTGGGAATAAGCGGACACACTTTGATAGAACGGTCTTCATACCAGACCAAGTTGTTTCCTGCAGTCTCTCCAAAAATGCAACGAGACCTAGTCTGTCTCCATTGCTCTCACTCGTGACGCCCGAGCACACATCAGAGACACCTGTGACGAATGCACGCAGGGACCTAAAGTGAGTGACGGAGTCATTGGATATGGAAGACGAGGCTGATATTTGCTGCACTGCGGACTCGCTACGCACTATAAATAATAATCAAGGCAAGTGTGATATTTCGGGAACAAACCTAAGATTCAAGGCGTGTTTTATAATCTGCACATATTCCTTGACGCTCTTCAATTCCTTTAGGTTACGATGCAATGTCTCGATATCCTCCAAGAGGGTCGGGGATGGATCGACATCTGATAGGGAAGAGACGAAATCCTGGGATAGACTGGCAAGCTCGTCGGCGAGAGTGTGCCTCTTTAGAGAGAGTTCTTGTGCAGAGTGACGGTATGATTCCACGGCCACTCGTGTTTCTGCCGTGAGAACGTTGATTCTTGACTGGGAAAGCGCTAGCTGAACTAGTGTGTAGACGATGAGCATGAAGAAGAGTCCTGTCTTAGTGCGACGCACCCTGGTTTCCAGCTCGTCGCGACGCTGTTGAGCTTGGGCAACGTCCCTCTGAAGGCAATTAAGGTCTTCAAACGAATGGAATGTCGAATTGAGAAATATAGAGGCCTTGGAATACGCTTGTTGTGTGTTTGCGGGGGCGAGCAGCGACCGGATTTCTTGGGAGGACATGGTGGGAAGAAACGTGGAGGACCGGTATCTTGATGAATGCCGGTATTTTGACATGTATGTCGGGCCGAGATGTCCTGATAGATCTGGACTCTGGACTGTGAATAGGTAATTCTCGCGATATCGTGATCACTCAAAATGAAATAAATCCGAATTCGTAACTCACTTAGACGCGCCTCCTTGCCTTTATTTTCTTTCTTTCACCTCCAGTTATCCGTACCAGCATGCCGGCAACTCCCGGGCCAAATAACGTAGTACATAACCCCTTTATTTTGTTTATCTACTATTACAACTCGCCATGTTTCCTCTTCGTATCGCTCTGAGCTCGACGCGTCCGCGTCATGCTCTTTACAGTGCCACTCCAACACTTTTTTTGAACAGGTACTGCTCGAAAACAGATAAGGTATGCTTGGTAACACTTCAATTGATCTTTCGTGGTCTGAAATTCCTCCAAACAGCCAGAGTCTCCTTCAGAGAAACCGATTGCACTACCGCCAAAAAAGCGACTCGCTATAGGTGCCGTGTATACGTAACGATATATATTACCTCTCAACCAAGCCCAAGTTACTTGTATGGATGCTCGGATCAAGTGCGCGTCCAACTTTTTTCTCTGCTTCGTTACCGACCCATTAATGTCATCCTAGCCCATTCACACAGCTCGGCCTCGAAGAAGGAGATGCCCATATCATACGAAATGCTGGCGGAATGGCGTATGAGACCCCATCATCTTCTAGATCTATTTTACGCTCACGACGGTTTTTCGGCAGAAAAGATGCGTTGCGAAGTATAATTATATCACAGCGACTTTTGGGGACTCGGGAGATAGCCGTCGTGAGCGTCCTGACATCCAACACATTCAGAGCTCTGATATTAGGCTACAAGTATCACCACACGGGCTGTGGCATGGTTACATTCACCGGTCCATCTCTGCGAAGGATGTTGAGTGATGCAGACCCACAAAATCCTCAAGTCACCGAGCAGGCCGACGAGATCGACTTTTTGGAGTTTGATGATCTGGAGCAATCGGTCAGGGACGACGTGATGTTTCTGAAAGAAAGTCCTTTGGTAATGAAGGGCACCAAAATCACTGGCTGGGTCCATTATATGGAGACAGGCCAGGTGCGTGCCTTTTCCACATAGGTTCCCTAGACTGCTCAAAACTGGTATAGGCTGTGCAGGTAGTATAACTGTTATAATGCATTTCTGGGTACTTTCGTACAGTATCGCTGCTTGTAACTTCTATTCAAATCGTAAATTCTCAAAATAACGCAGGTGAAGATGGAAGTCTTCCAATGACATCATATCCATATCTACTTGTGAGTCATATCATTTCAAATTATCTCAGTCCACTTTTGCCAACCAACTCGGACCGGCTTCTCTTCAGGTCATCGGTGGGATTTCAGCCATGTCGGTAGCTGCGACACAACATGATTTAGAGCAGCCTGCTACAGGTCCGGTGGGCACCGACTCTGAAGCTTTTGAACGGCAGGCTCTTGAGCAACTTACGGACATCTCTCCATCTTCTCCTGTCCCCGTAATAGCCGTAGATTTGGACGATGTACTGGCCCAGACGAACCATGTTGTTGCAGAGTGTAAGTTACAAACACCCAGACGCGTCGATGCGCGTTGATGCCCATGTTTTCCCGTAGGGCACAATCAGGTTTACGGAACTAGAATGGATCTTTCCCATTTTTACTGTAAATGCCACTCATTTCGCGGTTATCTCCAATGTATTGATTTTCATCTGATACGAAGACTATTACTACTGGAAGGTACGTGGTGACCTCTCTGCTGGCCTACTCTGCATTTCTCAAAATCAATGTCTAGAATCCGTTTTGGGGCACACCCAAGCAAACGTTCGACAAAGTAAAGGCATTCTATCAGACTCCCCGGATCTTCCAGGCCGATCCAGTGCCGGGTGCTCGAGAGGGCACCCTGTCCCTAAAGGATATGGGATTCAAGTTGATTATCGTGACCGCCCGCGCGCCTGACACGGCCGACGAAAGCTGGATGTGGGTCAATAAGCATTTTCCGGGTAAGCTGACTTGATCGGAGATATCGTATCGTCTTAGAAACCATTTTTACAGGTGTATTCGACAGTATCATCTGTACAGGTCAGTTCAAGGATGTTCATAAAACTGGCCATGAGGTTGTCACTAAGCTCAGCAAGGCTCAAGTATGTCTAGATGTTCCACATGTCCAGTACGCTGATCATGTTGAACAGGTCTGTGCTGACTTAAACGCTCGTATTCTGATTGATGATTCATCGGAGAATGCCCTTCAATGCGCCACAGCGATACCTATTGCGACGCGTGTTTTGTTGTTCGGAGACTATGAGTGGAACAAGAGAGTATCTGGACCTGGAGATGCTTCTGATGATATGTCGTTCGACATACGTCTAAAAGCTCTGGTAGGGAAAGAATTCTGGAAAGAAGTAGGTTGACCAGTAGTAATCATTCCCTCATACTGATGCTATGCCATAGGAAACTGTGGATATACCCGAAGGTGCTCCTCTTGAACGGGTGAAAGACTGGTCAGAAGTGGTCAGATGGGTTAAGATACACATGGATACCCTGCAGTAGAGAGAAGATGTGAGAATACACTTGTCTGTTCTGTCTCTTCTCCAAATATGATGTGCAATGTATACCAGAGAGGGTTGGAGTTAGAAGCTGGCAAGGTTTTATTAGCCAGCCTATAGCTACTTAAATACAAGTGATATGGTAATAACTAAGCTGTACAAAGTCTAGGAAATGCATAGCTGGTTACTGCTGTACATATGACGACATTTCCACTTCTAGTAGCTACGGTGCAGATCAATTCCAATTCCAACAGAAGATGTAAGAGAGTCCTCCGAGTCTGCCATATAGCAAATAGTTTTCCGAGAATTTATAAGGCGTCCGGCACCGGGCCGACAGACTTGCAATCACATGCCATTGTGATTACTCCTTGATTGAACACAAGGAGTATGGTGGCCAGGCGCTTACTTTCTCCACCGAGTAATAAGAGTAACCCATTGTTCTCTTCAATCTTTTGGGGTCCAACTGCCCTGGGATCTTTTAGCCATGGCATCAGAGCTGCTTTCTGCCTTGCGCACCCAGGATTTTCGTAACCACTATATCCAGTTTAGCCGCTGGTATTCTTCCCATCGACCTCTCGTTCAGCGGGTAATCAACACTGCTTTCATCGTTTACGTTCTTGGTTCGACATTTAGTGGCTTGTCTGGAAAGGGCGGGTCATCCAGGTCGACCAAGTCTAGGAAGGGCAAGGGTTCCAAGGGCGGAAATGATGGTGACGACAAGAGGTCGACAAGGGTTGCGGTACGTTTTCCGGTCGGACTCTTGATATTGCATCGACTGATACTGCAATAGGTCGACTCTGTCTTTTATCGGCGATTGGGTGCCATTCTCAGGATCGTTGTACCAAGTATAAGATCGAAGGAGGCTCTACTTCTGGTCACACACTCAAGTTTGTTGGTATTACGGACGGCAATCTCTCTCTATGTTGCCGCATTGGATGGACGGTCCGTAGTCCGTTTTCTGTTTTTTTTTGTGTATTCATACAGTTACTACAGGATTGTAGCGAGCCTTGTACGTGCCCAGCCCCTTCAATTTTTCCTCAACATTATGCGCTGGTTATGTGTCGCGATACCTGCGACATGGACAAATAGCTGGCTTAGCTATGTTCAAAACAAGCTCACCATCGCCTATCGGACGCGTCTTACAAATGTCATCATGCAACAGTATCTTGGTGATGAAGATGAAGGAGCCCATGGCAAAGTCTACTACAAACTATGTAAGCTTCGTGCTATTTCTTTCAATTCATGTCTCATCTTCAGAGGTTTTCGTAGCGAATTTGGATGACAGGATAAAAAATCCTGACCAGATGATCACTCACGACATCCACAAGTTCTCGACACACCTAGCCGCCATATACGCTAATCTTGCCAAACCGACGCTCGACGTGATACTATATAATTATCAGCTGTCTCAAAACGTGGGGGCCGAAGGTTTACTACTACTTACTGTTTTGGTCCAATCCTCGGCTGCCCTGCGTAAGTTGGATTATCATTGCACCCACTCGTACTAACCATTTTCACAGTGCGCTATCTGACGCCACCTCTTGGAATGTATACGGCACTGTCGGCACAGCTGGCTGGCGAATTGCGTCACACTCAATCCCGGCTGGCCGAATTTTCTGAAGAGGTGGCATTTCTTGGCGGAGAAGAGACTGAAAAGATGCTTGTCGAAAGGAAATACGCGACTGTGATAAAACATGAGAACAAAGTCCTAAATAAGCGCTGGTGGTTTGGATGCATCGAGGAAGGCATCATCAAGTGGCTATGGGGAGGTTTCGGAGTAAGTCATTGATATCTATCAAAGATTTTAGTGATACCAACCAACTTCCAGATGATAATATGCGGTATCCCTATCTTTATCAAACTTCCCGGCATCTCAAGTGTGGATCTAGGCGGACGTACAGAAGGTACCACCAACGTTCTTCGATCCAAGTTTATGCTCATTATCCCCCAGGGTTCGTAACCAACCGAAGACTACTGTTGTCATCTTCAGGTAAAGCATTGGTTTCATCTCAGACATTACCGGCAAGTTAACTTGTAATTTGAGACGCCATTGGTCGAGTGATGTACTCTTACAAAGACCTGTCGGAGCTGGCTGGTTACACCGCTCGTGTTTCTCTGTTGCTTGATACAATGAAAGACATCAAAAAGGGAAAATTTGAAAAAGTTCTCATTAGCAGTGCAACAACGGGAGAGAATGCCAAAAGTATGTCTTGCTCCATATTAGCGTGTCTATTGTTGATCAAAATGCAGTTTTCCGGGGTCAGGGGGAAATTATTATGTCTGAGGACATTCAGTTTGAGAATGTTCCCATTGTTACACCAAATGGTGATGTTCTAGTTAAAGGTTTAAGCTTTCATATCAAACATGGAGTGCGTAAAGCTGCTACTGCTTGATTTTTTCTCAATTCACAATATTTCCAGCAAAACTTGCTCATTGTGGGGCCTAATGGTGCGAATGATTCGTTCATCTTTGTTTCTTTCGATGGTTTAGATCAGCTTATATAGGGTGTGGCAAATCTTCGCTTTTCCGTATCCTGGGTGGACTTTGGCCCGTTTATGGTGGTGTAGTTCGAAAGCCTGCCGCTTCAGAGTTCATCTTGATCCCACAACGTCCGTATCTTTCCCTCGGAACACTTCGAGACCAGGTTATATACCCCCATTCGCGAGAAAATATGGAAGCTCGTAGGTCTACTTCGACGTCATAACGAACTGGTTAAGTAATAACGAGTATTCAGGTGGTATTAATGATGATGATCTGTTGAACATTTTGTCCGTTGTCCAGATGGAAGGCGTCGTTGAGAGAGAAGGTGGATGGAATGCCGCTCGGGAATGGAGAGACGCTTTGAGCGGTGGTGACCAGCAGAAGATTGCCTGGGCAAGGTTGTTTTATCATAATCCCAAGGTATTGCTCCCGTTTCGCGGTTAGTCTGATGGAAGATCTGATTGGTATGATAACTCTAGTATGCAATCTTGGATGAGGCGACATCACTGGTACCGCCAGATATGGAAGGAATGATGATGGAGTATGCTGCCAAACTTGGGATTACGCTCTTGACGGTGTCACATAGACCGTCGTTGTGGAAGTATCATGCTATGATTTTGCACTACGATGGTCAGGGTGGATATGTATTGTAAGCGGCCATTCATTGTGCTGACGGCTTTCTGACTATGTGCATTGACTAGTACCAAACTCGATGCAGACAAACGCTTAGCTCTCCAGACGGAGAAACAAGCGTTGGAAACGAAGTTGCTTGAAGTGTAAGTTGCGCTCCTTCTGTTTCGGTGATTCAACTCATAGATCCTTCATAGGCCGAAGATGAAAGCCAGGTTGGTGGAGCTGAAAGGCGTGGATCATGAAGAGCTGGTGTAATATTTTGCCGGTGATGTGCTATTTTATGGCGTACAAATAGACAAGGGACCTGTTGATGGGACACTCCCAGACGACACCACTTGCACCACGTACATATCTGATATGAGCATTTTGAACTCAAATGTTATACGTACGAAAAGCTTCGGCCATCTTGGACGCGTTTGGACACGGTGGGGCGGCTCTTGTCGCATTACTGCTATCAGAAATGATCGGCCAGCTTGGCAGCGCATTATCTTGTCGCTGATTGGTGGACTGATCCCTGAATTTCACGTGTCGGCTCCGGCCGGAAACGTAACGGTATAGGACAAGGGATTGATTGGTCATATCATCCTTTCCCCACTTCCCCTCAAGTGCTCACACGAGCGACCCCTAGACTTTTCCTTACTTTTACTCCTATCTCTTTCGCCTAATTTTTGCTCACGGCCATGCATTTCTTCAGTCAAGTGTATAATTACAAGTAAGCCATTCCCCTTCCTGTATGCGTTTCTGTTGATTAATTCCGTGGCAGTCACCCATGGTCTCACGTCGTCATTGGGATGTGGCACAAATACCCGAATCCAAAATGCTCGCATGTCATTAGTATTGATGTGCTGGATCGCTCTGTAGATCCAAAGACGGGGATAATTAGAACGGAGCGGATATTAGGATGTAAGCAAAAGGCACCAGGCTGGATCGTAAAGGTGAGAGTGATCTGTTTCGGCTTTGTGGCCTGGCTTATCGTTCTGTTCACAGTTGTTTGGTGGCTCTGAAGACGCTTTTGTGCGTGAGATATCTTTTATCGACCCCAGGAATCAGCGCGCTTCCATATCCTCGGTCAATATGTCACTATCACAGTTCGCCACATGCGTAGAGCAAATAGAATACTCACCTGCATCTCACGACTGCACGGCATTCACACAGACGGCAGAGATTCAAGCACGGTTAGGGATTTGGCGGAGTGCCGCAGATGGGCTGGAGAGATGGCTAGTACAGCGGTTTGAGCAAAATGCACATTTGGGAAAGCTTGGATTCACAGACGTGCTGCGGAGGTTGTGGGAAGAACGGCAGCAGCTGCAATCTGTAGCGGCGTAGGGGTGGTACCTGGGTCGTGTGTCTTCTCTACACTTCGTTTTCTGTTAACGTTGCATCAGGATTTTCTAGAGGTACTGTTACGCCTTGACCTAGATTGTTTAAAAGCCCCTCTACACTATTCGTTGTGTAAGCTATGTAGCTGAAAAACTGAAAAAATGGAAAAAATGATGACTTTGTGACTGTGTGACTTGTGTGATGTAACGTTCTGCCGTTCTGCAACGTGACTGTCACAATCGATAATTTGGTGGAATGACCCAGTGGTCGGGGCTGGCCAGTTCCTTCTCTGCTGCTTCTTTCAGAGTGCCTTCCGAGTCACGTCGAGGCGCGTCAAACTGCAATTCGTAGGACATTTCGTGAATTTGGAGAGAACGACGTGCACTTTCGAGAGGACCATCTTTTCCCCCCCTTCCCTTGTGGTTCGCCCTATCCGTCGTAGGGTGCAAGTACGATGGACGAGCTCCTGCACCACTGTCTGCGAGAGCTTTCATTTGACGGAGACCTTGGTGAGCTTTCCCATCATATGACCTCCAATTCCGAGGATAGCCGGGTTCGATCCCCCCTCTTCGCATCTACCTGGTCGTCCCATGAACTTGAAAGTGACTTTTTCTTCTTCTAGGCTCCAATCCCTCGCGTTTGAAGGATTTCATCGTTGATTTTTACTCCCACAACTCTTCGTCTGCCGCACAAAATACCGACGATTCCTTTTGCGCTTTCGTATGGTCACTCGTAGTTCAGCAGCCAAATGTTCTTGTCGGTACTAAGCCAGCTGGGGTAAACTCTGAAGTCTGGATAGCACCACAGACTAGTGCTAAGCGAAAGGCAAACGCCAAGGGGGAGGCCTTTGTTGAAACTCGTCCTGCACAGCTTGAAACTATCGCAGACGCAAAGTCTCGTACTCTCGAAGGCCTGATCAAAGAATATGGAGACGACTTGCGCATTGCAGTCGATCCGGACTCGATATATGCCGCAATAACCGGCTCGCACATCAGGGTGAGCGTTAAGCCATTGATTGAATTCTCAATTTTTTCAACATTAAATGCAAAGTTCCCAAAAATGAGCCCTATGGTCTATTCAGCGCTCCAAATAATCACTCGTGGCCGAGATAATGGTGTCTCAGTCGTCGAACTCGGACAGCGATCTAAATATGACCAAAAAACATGCTTCTATCTCGTGAGGCAGCTAACGGAGCTTGACTTAGTGTATGCCAGTTTTCTTTCTGAGGACCAAAAGAGCTTACGTCTTCTTGTCAGTGTCAAGGTTCGCAGAGGAGGGGTTGGTACCCATTTTTGTATACATCGGTACTTTTTCGATCGCAGTCCGTCCTGGAAGGCGATACGCGACGAAGAGAACAATGCGGCAGCGCTCCTGAAGCCTGAGTTCCCTCTCGGCGATGCCGAAGCTGCAGACGAGGACAATATCCCTCCTGAAATCCGGGCCCTCAACTTCACACCCATTGATGCCCGTCATCTTTCCAGTCTACCACTCATCCGGGCTCGCGTCCTTAATCTACTCAAAGTATCAAAAAACCAGATACATCCCGCAAACAATTTGATTATAACTATCGTACGTATCTTTAATTTATCTCTTCTGTCTCTCATATACTACATTTTCAACAGGGATTTAAGCACCCTACCAAGACCGATCGAAGATTTTTCCAAAGTCGTATCCGCGAAATGATCCAAGAAGGCATCATCGAGAAGGTGGTTGTCCCTAACAGGAAAAAGAATTCAGCATCGTCTGTGACCTGTTTTCGACTGGTGGAAGAGGAGGTCCAATCGAGAGCTCGAGGTCCAGTGGCTGTGCCGGACGCGGATGACGACGAAGATAATGAAACTGGTAAAGTTGTAAATGCCATTTTCGCCCCACTAAATTCATTTGTGTTGTAGAACAAGGCGGCGTCAAAATTAATACCACGATACACAAGCAAATCATCGATCTCTTGGAGGAATCGGGGACTAAAGGAATGACGCTCAATGTAAGTGCGGATCCATTCGTTGTCACGTATGGCGAATATTTCTCTGCAGGAACTTTCTGCTGCCTTGTGCCATTTCGACAAGAGGACAATAGAGCTTCTTCTTACTCGCGCTGAGAAGGTTCGGCCGCCTCCGCATTTGAGTGATCTCGGTATCTCTGGTCTTATGGAGACGTTTGGACGGGAGCGGCGACACAGATACTACACTGTGTCTGCCTACCATTCTCTGGTATCCCAGGAAAATTTAGATACATCGTCTGCAAGGCTTGCGGAAGTGGACTTTGGAGAGTCGGGCGGGTTCATGCCTGTGGATCCAAAGAGTTTCTATGACGATACAAAAAGCCTGATCAAGCACCAGGATGCTGGCAGGGAGGAACCGACAAAAAAATCCAAGTCCAAGAAGAAGGCTTCCAAAGACCCTATCTTACCCGACGGATCTGTCAAACTAGGCCGTCCAAAGAAATCACAAGACGGTGAAGACGGAACTCCCATCAACGCAGAGACCTCTCGGCGCCAGACCAGGAAGCGCAAGCACAATGCTGATGAAAGCCAAGACGCCAAAATAGACCTCGTTTCGGCGGGTCCGTCTACGAAAAAGCGAAAGATTACAAGGACTGACAGCGGCGATGCTGAGAACTCTGCGCAAGGTAACACTCCTTTTAAACTGTAATGCGTCATGCTCACCTTCCGTTCTCTAGCTATTCCCAAGAAACGAGGGCGGCCACGGAAAGTCAGGATTGAAGATGAAGATGCTCAAGTACCACAACCAGCTCGAGTGGTGACCCGGAGAACTGGGAAGAGAAAAGGCAACGGCGCCATTGACCTTGAGGATCAAGATGCAGTCGCGGATAACATTCCAGATAGTATTCCTGACGTCGAAGAGCCACCAGCAAAGCGACTTCATCGTTCCGCCTCTGTCGTGTCGCAGACATTCGAATTGCCCATATCAAATCCGTCGGACCAGGCGGACATAGCGGAGCCTAACGCAGAACTACGAGATACCCTTATTGGAGCAGCGGTACCATTGGAAGCAGGAGCCGATGATATACACGTCCCATCTCCCCTGGTCGAACCCACAGACGTCGCTACAGCTACAATACCAACACCAGACGCTATGGTCGTCGCTGAAGAGATACCGCAGGCAGCAATTCAGCCACCGCCCTCAATCACTGAGACTTCGGAGATCGAGATCCCCATTGACCCGGCTTTGTTGGGAGATTCTATGCAGGATGTACAAACCGTGTGTGGAAAAATCTCTTCGTGATATTCTATCCTTATCTGGTTATGCGAAATATTTTCACAGGCAACAGAAGCAGACCAGCAACCGAACACGCCCAGGGGGAGAGTCAATGTTTCTCATCTTCGCCGAGAGAACGAATTCTACCGGATCATTGAGCTATTAGGAGGCATCGTGAACACCCAGACGAAGGACATATACGATGCTCATTCGAGCCTCCTGGAAACCCTTTCACTGGCCGGAGAGCCCACCAGTTCTCCTGCTGGTATCAGGACTGACAAACGTACCGCCACTGCGACGTTTAACAGCTTGGAAAGCCGTGGTAGAATCAAGCAAATAAAGACGTCCATTCCTGGACCTACAGGTGTCAGTCGACCGACAGTCATTGCGTACTTACTCGACACATCAGAAGAGAAGTTGGCAACTTTCTTGACAGAAGTCGCGAAAGGGTCTATTCCCATTCCTCCCCAACCGGTTATTGCTCGTAAGATCGATGAACCTGTGGAATACGGACCAGATCCTACTCTGATAGCTCGTGAAGGCCTTCCGCTGCAGTTGTTGCAGATGGAGAATTCTTCTGGTTATGACCAGGCCGAAAGGTGGAAGAAGAATACTGCCCGTGCCGAAAAACTTTTCAGCCACGACGACAATGTGATTAAGGAGGTACTGCTGACGGAGCGGACTACACTGGGACAGATGTATGGAAACATTGTCGCGAAGGGTTTGCGGTCCCGGGTGCTGCATATCACTGCCATGAAAACCTTCGAAAACGCAGACCCATCCCCGCAGATTACATCACATGAGCACCGTGTATTGAACTTGTCCTTTTTTTGCTACGATCTACCACTCGGACTCTACTGCTCGTTGCTGTCCCCACTTTTCCACCATGATCAGCTCACCCAGTTTCTTGTGAATCCAGAATGCCGCCAAACGTTAGTACGAGATTTGCCCCAGGGTTTGCGATCAATCCTTCAAATTGGGAAATCACGGGCGAGGTCTCGATTCCTTGATATCCTTGAGCTTTTAAGACACCTCGGTCTTGTCGTCCCACTCACGCCATCCAAGTCAGCATCTCCGTGGCTGCGGTGCGACTCGTTGGGGGATCATCCGAAAGGTTATGAACCGGCATCTTTGGAAGGTTGGACAGCAAGCACTCCAACTACTGCGCCAGCTTACTGGCAGTTCAAGACGTCTGCCCCTCTGTATCATTGGGCATCATCAGAGTTGTCCCCTCCATTCCTACAGAATGTTGGCGTCAGTACTGCAGACGAAGTTTCTAAGTACTGGGAGCTACTCAGAGACGCATGTACGAACAGTAGCATTTTGCCTGCGATTACCGATGGCCAGGCTCCTCTATCCATCCCCACGGACTCTTCCAAGATCTCCCGATCTCTGCGTCGTTCAGTATCTTGGAATCCCAACTATGTTTTCACTTGGCACCAAACCCAATACCTTCGACGCTTCGTGAATATTGACACAGGAAAGACGCCTCTTGACCTGGAAGATGGAGGTGCTGCGGAGATCGCCAGAATCTCTGGTATCATCAGTGCACCTCCCGACGCAGTGCGAGAACACTATGTCACCGCTCACGAGAAGATGGTGAAAGACCTAGCGAAGATGGAGCGTCGACGGAAACGTGAAAGTTCTGAAACCTTTGCAAAAGAGGCCGCGGACGCCAAAGCTGCTCTCGCGAAGAGGGCAGCAGATGCACGCCTACATCGAGAGCATGAATGGGAGGATCTAGTTATGAAAGTCCATCCAGAGCCATCACCATATGCGATTGTCCGTTTGCGAAAAATTCAGACTCGATTTCTCCAGTCTGTAGGGAAGGAGACGGAGTGGGAAAGCGAAATAGAAAAGGCTTTTCGGGAAGCTGACTTCGCATCAGCCCAAGTTTTGAAAACATCTCAGGCACCCCCAGCACACAAAGCTAGGTCTCGTCTACCTCGAGTCGCTCCATCAACCGTTTTGGTTCAGCCAACGCCATCGACAGCATCCCCCTCTGCTCCTACTCCGATCACAACAAATCCGGTAGAAAAATCAATTTGCGCTCTGATTGCCGAGCAAGGTCCGCCTATCATTCCTCCACCTCGTACTGACTCCAAGCGAAAACGCAAACGAAAATTAGAAGAAGCTGGAGTAGAAGGTATGCGCCATCTCTTAGGTTGAGATATGCACGTCTAAGTCGAAATTGCAGATCAATCGCCGGAACCTAAAATCAAACCCATTACTCGTAGGCATCGCTTCCAATGGAATAGGGATTACGAAGAACTTGCTCGGGATGCATCGGTTATCATTAGAGCCAGATGTCGAAATGGGGTGCGACTGGATTGGGGAGCGTTTGAACAAGTATTTCCAGCGGTTCCCAGAAATAGTGTCCGTCAACGTCTAGCGCACATCCGAGAATCGCCTGGCAATGAGGCATATCTTACTCGTCTCGAAGACCGGTGGTATGATCTCTGGATGAAGCGTCGAGGCACAACCATCCTGCCGGATGACGATCTCAATAGTGCGACAAACTTCAACCTGATTCATCACCTCGAGTTCCTGCGGAGTCATATTGACAAGAATGCTCTGTGAGCACATCATTTGCTACCATTGAGACCAGTCACTAATGTTAGTGATAGGCGAGTCGGTTATGCCCAACCGCAAGGAAATTCAAATGTAGAGTTGATCATACCCGATACCGTGGATGATCTTTTATACAGCTTCGAAGTCATTGAAGCCGCAACAACTGGCCCAGTGTGGGACTTCATGTGGAATGGTGTTGTTGAGGAGGGTTGGGAAAAGCGCTTAACCTCATTGCCGTTCCTTGATTCACTTAGCGATTTGAGTGAAACGCCAGTCGAAGACGTGCTTGCGATAGCAGAATCTGCACTGAAGGTAAGAATATAGTCGTGATTGCTTTGATCGTTGTTAAATGTATTCAAGATGGCACTTGGTACTCCTCTTGAAAACTACAATGCGGAAGGGGCGTCGACTCTTCTGCGAAGTGCTGCAGAAGAACATATAGTCACATCTGCCACGAAAGGTCTTGTCAGTCGTGGCATCCTGTCTAAGCTCGTCCGAGATCATCATAGACAAAAACCCGGAAGACAGCTGAAGATTTCTGACGCGTAAGCTATTATTTCATTCTGAATGATTGTTTCCGTGCTAACCTGATACAGGAATCTAGCAGCTTTGGGGGGATCTATCAGTAGTGATCTATTCCAGGATGCTGCAGGGCTCGAAGAAGATCTCACGGCTGGAGAAAGTGATACATGGAGAGAGTGGCCTTTAACTGCGACAGACGGAGACTCGGCAGCTCTAATCCAGCATGTGTCCGACAATAAGGTGGGACATCATACTCAATTCTTTGCTCAGCAGTTACATGTTGTGATGATTAGGTCGATTTCAAAGTAGATACGACTAATGCTCAAGCCGCACGACCAATGCTTGACTGGAATAGTAAGAAAGCGGGTAAGATAAGGTTTCTTCAAGACAATCGAACGGCTCGTCGTTAAAGGTTGACTTCCTAGATGATGATCAAATCGAAACATCACTTCATGTTCAATTCCGCGATATGTCGTTGCAGTCGTCAAGCTCACAGGCGACGCCGGTCATCCAGTCCATGGACATTGATTGTTTGGTCAGTAACGAGCTGCACACCTCCAATGCAGTTCACGGACAAGCAGTGGATGGATCAGCTGCGTGCTGTCGAAGAGTGACCGATAATGGCGTAGTTGATTGCACTGGGTGTTTGGATGAGCAGTGGGCTAGTGTCGGCCCGACCTTCAGTGCAAAGGAAATGGCCATAGCACATTCGGTCCTTAGTATCGTCGGTCAAGCTGGGAGTCAAGGGTCTTCAAAGATTGCTCTAGCAGTAAGTGTCTGTCGCCATTACGGATACACATCACTGACATCGATTCCGGTATTTCAGGAACGTACCAATACTAGTATGAATGCATTGTTACCGGTTATCCAGCGACTAGTAGAACGTCCATTACCGTTGCTGTACTGGGTCGGCTACTCTTGTGCATACTTGGTATCTGCAGCGCACATCAAGACGTGGACAGTGACGTTACCATCTGCGATCCTTTTGAACATTTTCCCGCGACGATGGATCGACGTTTCTGGCACCAAGCTTGTGGAGGTTTGGGAAGCAGCTCTGAGAGCCGCTATAGGAGTTATAGTCTTCCGACCAGGAATTTCCCAGGTAGGCGGTGATGATATTGAAGGGAACATTTCTAACTTTGGCCTGTCTAGGCTGAACTTCGCTGGCGACTTCGAGGGGTATATGATAGACAAGAAGTCTATGACGTCCTTCAGTATCTCCTAGAAACTGAGATTATCAAGACCTCGATTGGTAGTCAAATGGTTCCTATGCTGGACGAGAGGGAGGAGAAGGAAGTTTTCTACTTCATAAATCAGTTGAAGAAGTGGTATCGTCTCTAATTGCATCCCACGACAATTTTTATGTTGTGAGTGCCGCGGCTCCTTCAAACATGCGAGAGGCATCTGACATTTGAATAATAAACAAGAAGGACCTTTATTTGAAAACCCCAACTGTATACTAGAACGCTCATCCACAGGTTTAGGCGTACTGCTTGTGTCGCCACTCGAATCAGCGGGCCGATGAAAGATAGCACAAATGGTTTGATCGCAGTGTCTTCCGTAAACATCCTCGTAATGGTCTGCCATGGCAGAGATAAGCTGTCTGATGTAGCGAAGTATCCAGTTTAGTCTCTTCGCAGGAGATGGAGAAGAACTTGTATGCGCCCTTTCGCCGTCTGGGGGTATCGTGCTTCGACCTGAAGTAACAACGTTAGAACTAACACATACCGATGATACACCGACCATCCCAAGAGCACCATCATGAGTGTTCAACCCTTCATTGTCATTGATTGACCTGAACAATGCACGAGTCGCCTCATCCGCTGAAGATAAAAGCTCTTCATCACCGGGAACACAGTCGCCGCTCGTACCTGTAATCAAATGTTAGATTGTCGTACAATGAAAAATGGAGACTGCTGACATTCATGACCTCCTTAAGCGCCTGCAATGCGGTGCCACGCTTTAGCCGCCGCGAATCGAATGTTAGCCTGGTCGTCGACCAAGGCAAAATGTCGCTAAGGGGTCGATGCATCGCCGATCGGAAACAGCAGGGTGGCCACGTGTTTGGCATGCTCCGAGTTGATCCTCGTTAAGAGTGTGGCTTACAATTTCGATCCATTCATATATTTCAAGCGCCATACTCTCGAAAAGCTGGAGAATGTTGAAATATCTCTTCTACTTTATCATGATGCACTACCATCTGCATGATTTTGCTACTATCCCTTCTCACAACACTTATATTTTTGATCCCAATTCTACCTCTTGTCAAGACAGAAAACTGTGGACCACTCAGTTGTATCTCAACTTTGTGGTTCTGCACTGTCCCTATGGAGTGGGAGAGGTGATTGTCAAAAAGATTGAGTTCATGAAGTCCACATGGGCCCTGAACTATGAGTATCTCCTCTTCTATGTTAAGGACTGCCATAATATGTTAAGCTCAAATTCCACATGACCAATTCCACATGATAAACTAACAGAACCTCACACTTCAGGTTAGACTATTAGAGTTCACTGATGCATTGTTGGCTTGTGTGATCAAGGCAGTTGCAAGTTGCTTGAGATAAGATGGTGAAAGAATAAACTTTAGCTCGAAGCTGGAACTACTACAGCAAGAGCTATGCTACTTAAATACTAGTTTCTTATTGTTCTAAGAATATAACTACCTAATTGTCCTTGCTGGTGCTGTATAGCATTTTGTCCAGCATCGCTAAGATACCTACAAAAAGTATTGTTCTGCTGTTGTGCTGTTACTGCTGTTACTGCTGTGCAAAGATAAGAGAGAGTTTTCTGTCATTGTGCTGTTGCATGACTTCACAGCAGCAAAATAGAATTGGGGTAGTGCTGCTGACTAAGCATTCCCACAATCCTAAGCACCAGGTCTAGGTGCCCTGACTAAGCAGAAATAGAGGTCAATCCTGAATAAATTAAGAAAAAAGAAAAGAAAATAGGAAAAATCATAATATTACACTCTCCTTAAGACCATTGTCCTGATAGCTAATTTAGGGATAAGTCCTCCTGTCTATGTACAAATAGCAGATATCCTGTTCTCATAATATTGAATATGACCTCTCCTTGGCAGTTGTGCTCCACACATAGAGTGGCGATAGGCACTGTAGCTTTGCATGTAAGTGCTGTCACTGCCATCTATTTCTGGCTTGGTCATCTATTGACAATTGGCAAATTGTGACTCAGCAGGATACCCTCTCCTGCATTATCCTTGCTCTTTGCTGTATGTCCTCTGCTGATGCATATATCCACCCTATTATTGCATTGTTCATAGTCATAGATTGCATCATTGGCATCTATATGTTTCTCATTGACCCATTAGTTTGATTCTGGGCCATATCCTTTCCAACTGACTAGATAGTCAATAGTTGTTTTTATACCTCCATCTTGCACCTTGACTTTTCAGTATTTGTAGTTTAGAACTTCATTGATTTTATAATGTTTCTCATCATTGATGAGTTTTAGTGATGGCAGTGGCAGTTGTTTTTGGTTTGAAAAGACAGATGTGATGTATGGTGTTAGCAACATCTCATTGAAGATGTTATGGACTTTTTAAGTTGTTGATAGTTGCAACTTATATGCAGAGTTGCCCATCTTGGCAAGAATTTTGAATAAGCCTATTTGTTTGTCTGTGAGTTTCTGTTTGAGATGTGGAAGATAAAGATTTATGATATCCAACCAGACTTTGTTATTAGTTGAATATTTGTGAGCCATTCTATAGTGTTTGTCATATTGTTTCTTCATTGTTGAAGCAGTCTTTTCAAGTGCTGTCTTTATTTTCTTATAGATTTTTGCTATCATTGCAGCAAAATCTGTGGATACTGGTGTTGTCATATGTTTTCCATTTACTTTGGGCTACTTGTAGATATCTCCTATAGTTTACAAAAAATGGTGTTTTGCCAGTTGCTAAGTGAATCCTATTGTTGTGTTGGAAGGCTGCTAATGCCAGCCACTCTGTCCAATCATCCTGTCTGTTACACACATGCTGCTGGCCTCCGCATCACCTAAACCAACCACAATTCCAATCACACTACCCACTGGACTCTGGCCACTTTCTATTACCTACTAATTTCATTTCATCATTATCATTTCACATTCATATTTCACATTGTAATATCTAGACCCCAAGCTTGGTAGCGAATATTGACACTGGAACCCAATGGAACCTGACTCAGAATTAGCTACTATTAGTATATAAAGCTATGTATATCATCGTAACTACTCAGTTTGAACATCAACTTGAATAAACCACCTATACTTCGCACTCATCTCAACTCCTCTCTATCTCATCTGTCGGATTCCGCTCTGAAGGATATTCCTGTTCACTTCTCTGATAGAACTCCATTCTGCCCATCCAGATCCTTGGGCTCTGACTCAAGGGTGACATTGCCAATAGCTTTGTCGATGCTCATGCACTCTGCCAGACTCCATGCATGCACTCAAGTCTACTCAATTGGCATGTTCCTAACAGTATATTTGAACTCAAACTCTTGAGTCAAAAATTTTATCATATCCACCATATTTACCGAACCCACAGAAACTGATTTTGAACAAATCCAGCCTACCCATCCAAACATATTTTCCATGGAAGACATTCTGGCCTCTGCTTCAAAGGAACAACCAGGCCTTTTCGGATCGGCCTCCAGTGGAGGACAACCTTCCTGTAGGGAAACCTACAATCACTCTAGCTTCACTGCTTGCCAACCTAATTACGATGAATCCCCTAATCCTTTTGATACCACCAGCATTCCAACCAACAGAGTCTGATGGATCAGCCTGATGTATGGTGCCTAAACTGACCCCTCAATAAACCCCTTATCTCTGGACAACATGCACAGGGATTTAGACAGCCTAGACTCAGAGGGCAGAGATGAAAACACTCCTACTCATACTCCCATCTAATGAGAACCAGGTGACAATCCACTAAACCCTTTTCCAGGTGGACCAGGAGGACCAGAAGGACCAGGTGATTTCAATGGCCTAGGCAGCTCTAATGGCTCTGCAGGAAGTAACAATCCAAACCAGCAGGACATGTTCCTAAAATTCATGAACCTGCTATGAGGAGTCTCTGCTTCCCTTAATAACCCTAAACCAGCCACTATCTGCACTAAGGTCAAGAAACCAGAACCATTTGATGGCTCTGACCCTTGCAAACTAAAGGCTTTTATCATCTCTCTTCAGTTGAACTTCAATGACAGATCTACCACATTTGCAACAGATGCTAACAAGGTTAATTATGCTATTTCATTCCTGGCCAGCACCATGCTTAACTGGTTCGAACCAGATATTCTTAACCCCAATCTACGGAATCCACCAGTCTGGCAATTCTCCTATGCAGCTTTCCTAGATGAGCTTCATAACAACTTTAGCTTCTTTGATGCTATCAGAGATGCTAAAGATGCATTAGAACATCTTCAGATGCATGATGGGGATCAGATCATGAGGTATATAGTCCAATTCAACCAGTATGCTTTACAAATTGAGTACGGAGATAACTCCCTCCACCATGCCTTTTACTATGGTCTCTACACCCATATCAAGAATGATATGGCACACTATGGGAAGCCAAACAATCTTTGTGATATGTGCTTCCTCGCCCAAGAACTTGATGCTCGCTACTGGACTCAGAAGACTGAAATTGCCTGTGAAAATTGGGACAATAAATTCTCCAACTCCAAATCCAAGAGGTCTAACACATCTTCCTCAGACTCCAGCTCCACATCAAAATCTACCACCTCTAAGCCCTATGCTGACAAGCTAGACAAAGATAGCTATCTTACTCAGGAAGAAAAAGACTGCAGGCACCAAAACAACCTTTGCATGTTCTGTGGAGCCAAACACAAGATGTTAAGCCCAAATTCCACATGACTACTAACACATGATAAACAGTTTGATACCTCGCACTTCGGGTATGTCCAACTGAGTTCACTGATGTGTTAATAGAGGTGTGAGATCAAGGCGTTGCAAGTAGCAGAAGCTCGAGATAAGATGATGAAGTAAAACTTTAGTTCGAGACTGGGGTATTACAGCGAGAACTAAGCTGCTTAAATACTGTTCTGTTATCGTACTATAAATAACTGTTCACAAAAAGCTGTTGTCCTGCTGTTATGCTGTTTCCTCTACCATTGCCAGTCTCTCCACAAAAACTATTGTCCTGCTGTGTGCTGTTACTGCTGCACTGCAGTTGGAGGACAAAAAGGTCATTGTCTCTCCCTTTACAGCACATAGCCATACAGTATGATACTGACTGACTGGGTTGCTGACCAAGCTTTCCCATGGTCATAAATGCTGGCCTAAGCACCCTGACTAAGTAAGGATAGGGGTCACTTCTGAAGAAAAAGAAAAGAAAATAGGAAAAATCGTAACATAAGATCAAAGACTGCAACAAGTGGAAGGCAGCAGCCTCTGCTAAGAGTTGTGCAGCAAAAGTCGACACTGCTCCTGTGGAACCAATCCTGATGGAGTCAGAAAACTAGGAAGCAACCCTGTTTCCTCCATACAAGTTCAGGGTTGCATTGACTCTATTTGCACACCAGAGGTCATCACTCTCAATACAACATCCCTTTCCAATCACTCCTTCCATATTCCCCTCTCAGCAGAATTACTGACTACTACAGAATCTGATGGTTCTCCAACTTGTATCATTCTGTGTTTTCTTGCTCTTATTGATTCTGGCTCTAGCCACTGCTTTGTTGACACTAAGTATGTAGCTGCCAATGAAATTCCCATTAAAATCATCCCTAGTGTGCAACTTCAATTATTTGATGGCTCCATTAGGAGCTGTATATTTCAAATCACAACTATCCCCATCTGTTTCTCATCCAGAGACACCTTCACCACTGACTTCTATATCACTCCTCTGGATTCATCTTGTAATCTTGTCTTAGGATACAACTGGCTCTCTCACTACAATTCTCTGATTGACTGAGTTAAGAACAGTATCATTTTCTGCTTAAGCTACCAGGATCTCACTCCAACCAATTCCACAGCCTCCGCCACATCCCAGAGACTTCTGTACTCACAGGA